TAAGCGGGGGCGCACATGGGGTGTGGGGCTGTTTGCCCCTGCACAGGTACTTGTGGGGCGAGCACAGGGCGCGGTGGCAGATGGCACGTGTATCTGACAAAGCCGTCACCACCCAAGAGATCCTGCAGCTGTTTCGGGAGATTGAGCGCGCACACCTGCACAGGTAGGGGGCTTGGGGCTTTGGGGCGTGTCTAACAAGCCCGCCACACTACCCAGGAGCACCTTCAGTTGTTTCGGGAGATTGAGTGCGCTATGGTTACACCCCACCACCACAACTCCCTTCCCCTTCACCCCATTCCCCCACCTTTTTCCAGGGTGACCTAGGCGGCGGTGCAGGAGAAAAAAGTGGAGCTGGAGTCAGTGAGGGGTTATGTGTACTCCGCAGAGGTAGTGGCCAGCATGCTGCAGCACCCTCCCTGAACCTCGACCCCCCCAATTGGTATGACTTTTGAGAATTCTCAAAAGTCATACCTGAACCTCGACCCCCCCAATCCCCCCCAACCCCTCCCCTCCACCCCCACCTCCCTTTCCCTTCTTAGGGTGACCAAAGCAGCTGTTCAGGAGAAGAAGGCGGAGCTAGAGTCAGTAAGGGGATATGTGTACTCGGCAGAGGTGGTGGCCAGCATGCTAAGGGAGAAGCTGTTCCCTCTGCTTCACCCCACCACCACACCTCCGCTTCACCCCACCACCACACCTCCGCTTCACCCCACCACCACACCTCCGCTTCACCCGCCACCACTCCCCCCCAACCTCCCCAACCCCCCAGGGTGACCAAGGCAGCGGTGCAGGAGAAAAAAGCGGAGTTGGAGTCAGTGAGGGGATATGTGTACTCGGCAGAGGTGGTGGCCAGCATGCTAAGGGAGAAGCGTGCAGCGGCGGCGAAACCAAAGCTGGTGGTGATGGAGCGGGAGAGGGTGCGACTGGATATAGCTGCTGCTGAGCAGAGAGGGGACCTGGGGGCCGTGGAACAACTCAAGGCGGAGGTGAGAGGGGGGAGGGGGAGGGGGGGTGGGAAGGGGGGGAAAAGGGGGCAAAAGGACGGCGGCGAGATGGGGGAAACGGGGGGAAGGGGGGGAAAGCGGGCGGGAAGGGGGTAAGGGGCATGTGTGAGGGATAGGTGTTGAGGTTGCTGGTGGCGGTGTGACCGAAGCTGGTGGTGATGGAGAGGGAGAGGGTGCGACTTGATATAGCTGCTGCTGAGCAGAGAGGGGACCTGGGAGCTGTGGAACAACTCAAGGCGGAGGTGAGGAGAGGGAGGGGGGGTGAAGATGCGGGGAAAGGGGGAAAAAAAGGGTAGGGTGCTGCTGCTGAGCAGAGGGGGGATCCGGGGCTCGTGGAACAAGTTAAGGTGGAGGTAAGAGGGGAGAGGGATGGGGGGGAAGGGGGAAAGAGAGCGCCTCACGACATGTCTGCTACGTATGCATGCCCTCCGCGTTTCAAAGTCCATTCTCACCATCATGGAATCATGCATCAATGTTACCCATGCTGCTCTAACATGCGTCATCGTTACATGTGTCACCCGGTTACCATCGTCGCCACCTAACCCTCACCAGTTGGAGAAGCTGGAGAGGATAGGGGAGGACAAGGGCGAGGCGAACAAGGGCAGGCGAGAGGTGGACCTGGCGAGGATGAACAAGCGCAACCGGCAGGAGAACTTCCGCACCGCCACCAACGCCCCTGCTGGTGCCACAGGTGGGTAGAGTGGCCACACGGGCGTGCAGAGTGGCACCACATGTAGGTTGCTCCCCTTGCGTGCCACACGTGAGTGGAGAGAAGAGGGTCTGACAAGGATGAACAAGCGCAATTGGTGGATGCGCTCTTAGAACTCCTACAAGAGCCCTGCCGCCCCCTGTGCTGCCCCCTCTGCTACCCCCTCTGCTGCCAGTGCGCCCTTGTTTTCTCAATATGTCTGCCATCTTTCCACCTTCGTCCCTTTCACAGAGACCAAGACCGGAGAGGCGGCTGTGGATCCTTTCATTTGCAGGTGGACGCACTCTCAGAACTACTACAAGAGCCCCGCCGCCCCCTTGTGTCCTCATGCTGTCCACTGTCCATCCACCCTCACCCCTTTTAAACAGAGACAAAGACGGGCGAGGCAGCTGTGGATCCCTTTATTCGCCGGTGGACGCGCTCTCAGAACTACTACAAGAGCCCTGCCGCCCCCTCTGCTGCCCCCACCCTGCCGCCCCCACTGCTGCCGCCACCCTGCTGCCACCACTGCTGCACCCTTGTTTTCTCAGTCGGTCAACTGTCCCTCTGCCCATACCCCTCCAACAGAGACCAAGACTGGAGAGGCGGCTGTGGATCCCTTCATTCGCCGGTGGACGCGTTCCCAAAACTACTACAAGAGCCCCGCCGCCCCCTCTGCTGCCGCTGCGCCTTGGTCCGATGACGACGAGGAGGGTGCTGGCAAGGACGGGGGAGGGAAGAGCAAGGACGGGAAGGGGAAAGACGGCAAGGGCGAGAAGGGGAAGGAGGGGAAAGATGCGGATGGTGGGAAGGGTGGAGGAGCGGAGGAGGAGGAGAGGGAGAAGGAGCGGGAGAAGGAGAGGGAGAGGCAGTTAGGGAGCTGGTTGGGGCAGCAGTTGGACGAGCGGGCAAAGCAGGTGCTGCGGAAGCACGCCTTCGATATGGACATAGATCTCAGCGTCGTAGACAAGTGGGGGGGAGCGGGGGCAGCGGCGGTGGCGCAGAGAGGGAGTGTGGGACCGGCGGTATGGGAAGCGGCGTTTCTGGCACGCAAGAGACAGCAGGAGGCGCTGTATGGGGCGCCGATTGGCGTGGCTGCTGGGGAGACTCCGCGGGGGCTCAGGCTGCTGACTCTTAGCGAGTTTAAGCGACGGTGGGGGCTGCCCTGTGACTGAGCTGAACCCAGGATTGGTGGTGAGATGTGTTACGGGTGATGGAGGGCTTAGATGGATGCCAGGTAGTAGCTACTCTGGGGTTCGATTGATCTGCACCACAGGTTAGCGGAGATGGTTAGAGGTGCAGATGTATTGAAAGTTGGGAGGTAAGGTAGGAGGAGATGGCTCCCACAACGTTTTTGCATGAATTTGTCCATATCAACCAGAGTGGCCCTGTTGGATTGGCAGTACCCTGCTGCTCCTGAATAATGACTTGAGTTACTTCGGAGCCAATGCAATGCAGAGACGATTTTTTCCTGCCCATTTCTTCCTGCCCTCTTTGCCGCGTGGGAAGTGCTAAGCTGTGACGATTCTCTTTCAGGGACTGAAGAAAAGCTCAAGCTGCACATCACATGACAGCAGGCAAGGTTTAGTGTTCCTACTCAAATGTCCGAATCGTTTTTAGGTCTTGAAGCATGGCTTCGATCTGGTCATCATCAATCATTGGCTCCCTGCCGTCCATCTGCACACACATGACAGGGGAGGAGAAATGAGTGCGTTCCTACCACAAATACATGTCGCTGTTTAGTGCCTAGGATTGGTGATAAAAAATGAAAGCCCTGGTGTTTAGAAGTGTGGAAACAGTCTGAGCAATGGACGTACAGCTAGTGAAGGCACGAGTGACTTGGCCTCATCCACTGTGTCGGGTGCCAGGTTGCCTATCACACACACCTGCACAGACACAATGAAGCACACGTGGTTAAGCCATTGTGAAAGGAGCAACAGGCAAGAATGTACACCTGTCTTCAGGGATAATGGTCAAGCATTGGGAAGAGAGGGAGGTTGAGGGATACCAGGCGGATGCAGCACTCACTTCGAATTCGTGCAGCTTGCCTTTGCCAGCCAATGCCCTGCCACACCATGATGTCAACCCACAGTGTGATGCTTGATCCATACCATGACAGCAATTGCATGCTGAAAAATCGGAACCGAGCGGGACTGGATTAACTTATGCTGTGCACTGGGTGACTTACTCCCTGACTTGTTTCACCGCTTGAGGGTTCTGATACCGGCTGAACCGCTTCACATACTGTAGTGACTTCTCCAGCACCCTGCAAGCAAATTGTTGATATTGTTATTATGGTTATTGTAGTTATGAAAGCTTGTAAACGTAATTCGGTTACAGCCTGACAGGGAGAAGAAAAATAGTGCAGGCCTTGATCAGGTACTCACGAATTGAGCTGCAGCATTGGATCGACGTTGTTCTCCCTGAGGCTCTCAAGTTTCTTATCGAGGATAAGAGCCACCTCCGCGTTCATGAGACACTTGGCTCGACTGAACTCTGACACACCGAAGGAAAATCAAGACTCGCGAAGCAGTAAGTTCACAGATATGAGAGGAAAGACGGTTCTAGGGTTAGCTGCGAGGGTGTCATGCTGGAGAATCAGGCAGGCGATGACGGAGTGAGGTTAGGGAATGTTGTGAGACCTGATCCAAGCTTCAGTTGACCTGCGTCCTCCTCCTCCGCGACGTTCTCGGACGCCATGCTGTGATGGACGAGTGGAGGCAAGGTGGTGTATGAATGTCCCTAAGAGCACTTCTACAAGTTCTGAATCACTAAATACCGATAGAATGTCACTCAAGTCAGGCAGACATGCCAGTTGCGCTTGATTTAGATACAGCTGGCCGAGGAAAGGAAGTATTTGATCACCTCAGCAACTGAATGCGCGAGGAAACGGCTTTTCCTTCCTGAAATGAAATAGATGCTGCAGCACAGCACGGGATTTTGCCAAACACAGCACAAGATACCCCCTTTACAAGAGGTGCAGCCTATGTTTCGTTAAACGTTTCGATGTAATACATGCTTGTGCAATATACTATCTCAACAATTTGAGTTGTGTGGATAATCCCCCTTCTGTTCCTGTCCATCCTTGGCCCTCGAGATCTCCAATTCCTCCAAATCCGCCACCACAGATACATTTCCTGGTCATCCCCGCCATTCCTCAATTTAGCTCTGCCGTTTGCTGGGAGTGAGGAGCAAGTCAGAGGACGGACAGGTTGTTCTCGCGATTTTTGCTAGGACTGCGTCATTGTCCGGATCCTCGTCGAAAATTTAGATCTTCCTGGTGCTGTGTGGGCGAGCCTTAGATTTCCGACATGGCTCCAGCCAAGGCTGCTGGAGCAGCGGGATCCGCTCCCGCTGCTCCCAAGTCCGCTACGGCAGAGTTATTAGACACTCTGGAGGAGAAATTTCGGCTTACGACGAAGCAGCAGGAGCTCCTGATCCGCGTCGCGACGCTTCTGCTAATCTACATCCTCGCATTCGCGACTCGACTCTTCTCCGTGCTCCGTTACGAGAGCGTCATTCACGAGTTCGATCCCTATTTTAACTACCGGACTACCCTGTACCTCACTCGTAAGGGATTCTACGAATTTTGGAACTGGTTCGACCACGAGACATGGTACCCGCTGGGTCGCATTATCGGATTTACTCTCTACCCTGGTCTCATGGTGACGTCAGCGGTTATCTACTGGGCTCTCCACGCGCTCTCATTGGTGGTTCACATCCGTGATGTGTGCGTGATGACTGCTCCGTTCTTCGCGTCTAACACTGCCATGGTCGCCTATTTCTTCGGAAAGGAGATCCGCGATTCGGGAACCGGACTTATCGCAGCGATCTTCCTGGCCATCTGCCCGGGTTACATTTCGCGATCCGTCGCAGGATCGTACGATTACGAGTGCATCGCGATTTTCGCGATGATCCTTACGTTCTTCCTCTTCGTCAAGGCCGTTAACACCGGCTCTCTCGCATGGGCTGCCGGCGCCGCGCTCACTTACTTTTACATGGCAGCATCATGGGGAGGCTACATCTTTATTATCAATCTGATTCCGATCTACGTGGTGGTGCTGCTGATCACGGGTCGCTACACCCCGCGGCTCTATATCGCGTACAACGCGTTTTACATAATCGGAATGCTGCTGGCGATGCAGATCCGCTTCATCGGCTTCCAGCACGTGCAGTCCAGCGAGCACATGGCGGCTCTCGGTACCTTCTGCCTCATCCAGGTACGCGCTTAAAACAAATTGTCCGCTAGACACTTAGCGGACATTTTGCCATTCTGCCTCATCCAGGTACGCAATTAGTGAAATTCGGCTTATTCTGTCGCATTGAGACACGCAGTTAGCGGTTCTCGGAACGTTTTGTCTTATTGAGGTACGCAGTTAGCGGAATTTTAGCACATTCTGTTGCATTGAGATAGGCAGTTCGCGGGTTTTTGGCACATTCTCCCTCATCCAGGTAGGCAGTTGCGGATTCATGCACATTCTGTCTCATTCCGCTTCGCCGCTCAATACCATGTCGCTGCTAGAAGCCCCATTTCATTAGCACCGTTCCATGGCATTGCACTGCCCAGACGCTCACTGAGAGCACCCGTGAGGCGGGCATCTCCATTTCGCGGCGTGCCGTCTCCTCCCTTCCCGTCCGTGTGTCTGTGCGGCCGGCAGGTGTTTTACTTCGTGGACTGGGTGAAGCACCAGCTGGCGGACCCGAAGCTCTTCCGCACCTTCCTGCGCGTCGTCGTCTTCTCCTTCGGTGGTGTCGGCTCCCTCGCTTTCGCTGTCGGCATGGCCACCGGTGAGAGATGGGCTATGCTGTGAAAGAACACAGGTATTTGCGTGCGTGGTTGGTCGATGCATTCGCTCGTCGCATCCGCTGCAGTGACTCACATTCCATTCTCTTATCACATGTCACACCCACCTGACCCCCTTTTAATCGTCTTTCATAACCGTCTGGCCTCCTTTATAACGCCTTTCACATCCGTCTGGCCTCCTTTATAACGCCTTTCACATCCGTCTGGCCTCCTTTATAACGCCTCTCACATCCGTCTGGCCTCCTTTATATCGCCTCTCACATCCGTCTTGCCTCCGTGTTATCACCCCTTGCGCTTGTGTGAGCTCCGTCTAATTGCCTCACGCCTTCCTCTCCTAACCCCTGCTTTTCTTTCGTGCATCACTCTTTCACATTTTCTCCCCCTCTCCCTCCTTCCCCGTCTATCCCGCACTCCCCTCTCCCCCTCTCCCCCTCTCCCCCTCTCCCCTCTCCCCCTCTCCGCTCTCCCCTCCTCCCGCTTGCCCGTCTCGCCTCTTCCCCTCTCCCCCTTTCCCCGTCTCGCCTCTTCCCCTCTCCCCCCTTCCCCGTCTCGCCGGTGTTCGGAGGGGTTACAGGTTATTCCTCCGACGATATCAACAAGTGAGAGAGGGCTTGCGCTTGGTGTGCATGTTGGGTTGTGGTACGCGGAGAGGATGGTGACATGTTGCTGGAGTAGCCACATGCCATGTTTGTGGAGGTGGAACAGTGCCTTAGGTTATCTTGGTCTGTGTCGCCCTATTCCGTGGTGCCATAGGAGGGAGCATGTTCCTCAACATCAAGAACCGTGCCACTCCCTCTCCCCTCCTTCCCCTCCCCCGCCCCTCTCCTTCTCCTGCTGCCCCCCCCCCCCGCGCCAGGCTCCATCAGGCCTGTGGATGGTGCGCATAGCAGGCGGTATGTTCCCGGACATAAAGGAACATCTAAATCTCCCCTCCTCCTCCCCTCCTCTCCCACTCCCCTCGACCCCATCCCCTCCCCTCCCATCCCCTCCCCTCCCCTCCCCTCCGTCTTCTCCCCCCTCTCCCCCCCGCAGGTTCCTGTGGATGGTGCGCATCGGAGGGGGTGTGTTTCCGGACATAAAGGAGCCGGACTATCTCAACAATGGGGACTACCGCACGGATGCCAATGGCTCACCCAAGATGCTCAACTGCCTCATGTGAGTGCCCCCTTGAGTCGTCTCAAAGCGTTGCTGCCTCATGTGAGTGCTGCTCATGTGAGTGAACATCATTTCGCATGTTCAGTCCCATTTGTATGACTCCTCATGGGGCCATCACCGCCACTCCATACGGGCCCCATCCTTTCGCCCTGTGTAACTCACTTGCCCCTTCCCGCTGCTCCTTTGCATTCCTGCTAAAGCTTCACTCTTTCCCTGGCTGCCTGTTGGCCTAACCCATATCGTCTGCCATGTCACCCTGGTGCGGGATGGTGATGGGTGGGCATGCTTGCTGTGCCGCATTGCCATGGCCGTGCGTGCTGTCTGTCTGGGTGTGCATCACGGCAGGTACAAGATGTGCTACTACCGCTTTGGCGAGCTGCAAACGGAATATGGCAAGCCAACCGGGTGAGTGATAGGAGGGGAGGGGAATCGGGGGAGTGACCAGGTGAAAGAGAGGGCAATGCAAGCTTGTGAGTGAAAAGGCAAGGCATATGGTGAGTGAGGGGGTGAGGCAGGAGGGCAAGGGCAGCTGTGTGCACGCAATGGCATTCGCAGATGCTGCTTGCCGTTCATCTCCATCTCTTCAACCCATCACTCTTCGTGGGCAAGCTATGCCGCAAGGAGATATATCCCTCCCCCTCTCATCGCACGCTTTCTGTTGTGCACTTAATCCGCACTCAGTCTGTCAAGCACTCTCATCCTCCCCTGCTTCACCTTGCGCAGGTGGGACCGAGCACGAGGGTATGAGATAGGCAACAAGGACATCGAGCTGGAGTACATTGAGGAGGCGTTCACCTCTTCCAACTGGATCGTGCGCATCTACCGTGTCAAGCAGCCCGACAACCGCTGGTAGCACACCCTTGCATGCCTGCTCACGCCTGCTCAGGCTGCTGGGGCTGCTGGGGCTGCTGGGGCTGCTGGGGCTGCTGGGGATCTATCAGGTCAATCCTCGCTTCGACGTGGACAGAGGGTAGCAGTGGCAAGAGCACGGAAACAGGGGACAGAACAGGGGAAGGCAGGAGCAGAGTATTGAACCCCGCAGTGCTCCCCTGGTGGCACAGGGGGAGGGCTATAGGGTGGGTATTCAACTAGCCAAAGAACTGGCCAATCAGCTGGTCACAGCAGTCTGGTGGGGGGAACCTCTCCCACTGTCCCTCCCTGCTTGCCATCTGTTCGGGTTTGACCTGCCGTTTGGGTAGTTTTCATGTCTGTCCGTTTGGTTCTGTGCGTATCAAGGAGGCGGCGGGGGGGGGGGGGGGGGGGCTTCTGCCACCAGATCATCTTCTGATGAAGGCATCCTGGCTCTCAGCTTGGGTTGGGTTACTCCTGAATGCTGCCCTGAACACCACCTTGAGAACCCACCTTGAGACATGCATGGCAAGACGACATGGCTGCACACATCATGGTAGTAATTGTGTTGCTGGGGGGCGGTATTCCTGTTTATCAGCCTGGCACCTGTTGAGAGTGTGATCTGATTATACTAATGCACTGTGTGATGTGGCTGCTGATTCAACTACCTATATGTTGAGACTGCCTGTGGAAGGGATTTACAAAAAGCATATAAAAATAGCAAAATGCACTGCAAGGTGAGGTGCAACTAAACCATAAACTCTAGTAGCTACAAATCCGGCAAGGTGCCACTACAAATCCAGCTGGATCCTGCACCTCTCCACTTCAGCCTTTAGCTTCTCAACTTTCACCCTGTACTGCTCCCCCTAAACTTTCTGCTTCTCCCCCTCGTCCTTCCTGCTCTTCCCCTTGTCCCTGTGCTTCTTGCAAGCGATTTGAAATGGCGAGAGCGAGAGCGTAGGCCTGCTTGCGCTTCACTCGCAATGTCTCTGCTGCCATCCTTGCAGCCTGCACAGGTGCAGGGGCAGGAGAAGGTCCATATGCCCCGGCAGCAGCAAACACACACCAGCGAAAAATGAGAGGGGGGTAAGGATGAGGGTGACTGAAAGGAGGGGTTCCGAAGCCTTGAAATCCTGCAAAACAAGGTGAAGGTGCCTCAAGAACACCCTGTGAGCTAACCTGGGAGGGGGGTGTGCCGACGTGAATCAGCTTCTCAAGATAAGCTGTCACCTCCTCCTCTCCTGTCTGCTGCGATGCCTCCAGGTCCTTTCGGGGCAGCCCGTCAATTACCAGGGTAAATTCCCCTTTTGGCCCGCGTGCCGTGTATTCCGCAAGTGCCTCTGAGAGCGTTCCTCGCCACAGCTGAGCAAGAGAGTGGGCAAACAGAAAAATGCGGGCAGGATTTAGAAAACTGAAGGAGCTGTATGTTCAAGACAGAGTGTATCGTCAGCTCGTTTAGTTTTCTACAAAAGAATATCATCAGGTTGCCGTAACTCTACAAGCGCAGATAATAGGGCCTCGACGAACCTCTTCATGCAGTTTGGTGAGTTCCCGAGCCACGAGGCACGGGCGGTCCGGGCCAAAGGCGTCAACGCAGTGGGAGAGCGAGGAGAGCAGCTTGTGTGGAGCCACAAACAGCACCTGCATCGCCTCCCCCTGCGCTGCTTCCTTTAGCCGACGCTGCCTCACTGCCGATCGCTCTGGGAGGAACCCCACTGGATGGGCAATGCAATGAAGGAGGCATGGACGAGGGAGGAGAGCAGCTTGTGCGACACAAAGCGCTGCAAAGCGAAGAGACAAAGCAGAGCAGCACAGCAGAAGACGGAGATCACCCACATGAGCCTTGTCACGCACAGAAGGTGAAGCCGTTGGTGAGAAAGCCAGCAGCCGCAACCGCAGTGGTGGCAGCAGAGGGGCCGGGAATCACGCTGACAGGGACTGCTGACTCAGCGCACGCGGCGACCAGGTCAGCACCGGGGTCGCTGACGCCCGGCATGCCTGCGTCAGACACGAGCGCGAGCGATTGGCCGGATCGCATCCGACCAATGAGAGCCTCTCGACGAGCCGTGGCATTGAAGGCATGGTAACTCATCTGCACATTGTACAAAACAGACGGACCGGAGGGAGGTATAGCACGTTGGAACGTTGTAACAGGCTGAATAAGAGAGGGAGCAGGGGAGAGAGGGGAGGAAAAGAGCATGTGTTCTCAACGTGTAGGATGCTAAAGCAAATAATATATATATATATATGTATATAAACAATAGAGAAAGCAGCGCACCATGGGTGTGGTGATGCCGTAGAAGCGCAGCAGCTTGACCGAGCGGCGAGTGTCCTCTGCAAGAATGAGGTCGGCACAGCGCAGCACCCTCAGCGCCCTGGTGGGGGCAGGGGGGTGTGGTGCGGTGGTGTGGGGTGGTGATGGGGGATGGTGGTGTGGGATGGTAACCACACCCATCTGATGGTAACCGCAACCATCTGATGGTAACCGCACCCACCTGATGGTAACCGCACCCACCTGATGGTAACCGCACCCACCTGATGGTAACCGCACCCACCTGATGGTAACCGCACCCACCTGATGGTAACATCTTCTAAGTTGCCGATAGGTGTTCCCACCAGATACAGTCCGGGGGGCAAGCGCAGCTGCAGGGGTGCATGATGGGATGGTTGAACGGAGAAGAGGGAAGAGGAGTGTGTGGGAGGGGGGAACAAAGGGGATGGGAAGGGGAAAGGTTAGGTGGGGCAAAAGAGGGCAAGTGCAAAGATTCAGGAAAAGGAGGGGGGGAGTTGTAAAAGGCATGGTGCTCCTTGGAACCACGTGGAACCACGTGGGACCACTTGGAATCACACAGATTCCTACACAACGGGTGATACCTTGTCCGGCCATTTGCACATGTCCTCGTTATAGAGCCGTTCGTTTCTGCCTTCTCCGTCCTCTGCTAATACCTCCTCCTCCCCAGCTCCTTCCTCCTCGCTGTTCCCCCTCAGCATCAGCTCCGTGTCGCTTCCCCCCGTGTCGCCTCCACTCGCGTCGCCGCCAATCGCGCTGCGCCTCTTGACTTGCGCTCGATAGTTCTCGCCGTCGTCAGCCGTCGTCCCGCCAACCGCGGCAGAATCGCGTCGCGCGATTCCACCAGCCGTGACTCCGCGCTGCGCATATCCCCTGAAACCCCCCTCCGAACCAACGTAGAACCCGCGAGTGCACAGAAACGCTCTTCTCCGTTGTCCTCGCGATCTTGCATTCCATGGTTGCGACGGATCCCCTTCAGGTGATTCCATCCGCCCGTGTTTTCCGGACACATTTGTGAAGCCTCGAAAATCAAAATGTCGATAAGCTGCGTGTATTCTTCGCGGGAGATTCGGAGTTACGCTGCGAGTCAGCCTTCCTGCGGCCCTTGATAACACCAGCCTGCCCGCAGCGTGCGCTGCAGCCATGGCACCTCGTCAGTCAACAGTTCAGAGGCATAGGCACGTCAGAGAGTGTGTGAGTTGCGGCGAATCTGACGACAACTCGTGAGGTGGGCCCCTGAAATTCGGTAGTTTCTCGTTCTCCGCACAATTCGCCATGAAATGCGGTGCGTGTTGTGACATCGAGAGGAACTCGAGAATCCAATTGCTGGCACATTTTTCCATTCATGATATTCAATAGCCTACGATGTGTGTTACTGTACGAAACGTGAGAGCCTACAAATACGAAACTGCAACCTATGAGACGTGGCATTTTCAATATCGAGGATGGTCCAGATTGATTTGAAACTTGTGGAGGTATGTGAGGCGAGAATCCCAGTTGTTCGCCGAGAATTTTCGCGAATGCGCGAAGGTTTTGTTGGCGAGCCGGCTTCACGAATCGGAAACATGGCCTCGTCAGTTGCACGTCTGATGGCTAGCGATGATTTCGTAGACACGGGACACGTGTCGCAGAGGACCACGATTCGCCAACCGCATCTCCGCTCTACCCCCTCGGAATTATGCGTCTCCCCGTAGCTCACAACGGCGGCACCGATTCCTCTAGTCACTGTTCATGGGGTCCCTGATTCGCATGGCATCGCAACTCCTTTGTGCGACTGGAAAAGTCGTCGCGTCGTGAATCGTGATGACATGCTTGCAGGCTCGCACGGCCCTTGAATCTGAACCTGGTGACCAGATTCGTAAACTCGCATGGTCAACACACTCACGCACAGCTCAACGAGGAAGACGATTCGTCAGGCCCTCGTGAAGTCTCATCAATGATGCATCGTGCCGAATTGGGTAGATGAGGCGCGTGTCGCTCAACCACAACCATCGGTCGCAACGACTTGTCGTTCCCGAATTTCACCGTAATTCTGCGCCTCGAAGTGCCCTCACCTTCCCCTTCCCCCTTCTCGCCCTTGCTTTCGTCATTCGCTCCCCTGCAGTGTCACACCCACCCGCCATTCAAAAGCTCAAAGCAAGCACCATTGCGAAACAATCAAGCCAACAGAGCAGTTGTCTTTATCCCAGTTAGCTGTAGTGAGGTCAGGAAAGCAGGGAGAGCAACTAAAAGCACCCCCAGCTTCTCCAACAGCCCGACGAGTTTATTCGTAGTGCTCGCTTCTGCTGTTAGGGAAGGCCGTTGCAGGAAGTTTACTTGAAACCTCACTTGAGTAGGAGCTAACATCGTTCTCGGCTCAGCCCCTCCCTTTTCACTCCGCGTCCGTCGACAACTGCGAGCCAAAATGGTGCAGATTAAAGAATTGTAAGAAGCATTTCTTTTACATCGTTGCGTCTCAGCTCGCCGCTCCAATTCCGATTGGTTCTCAATCTTCTATCTGCTTTGCGCGACGCGAACTGTGTGATTCTCGCCTGTGGTAGGAAGTTCTGCTTGTTTTGTTAGAGTTTGCGTCTCGAAACTCCAATTGAGTGCTGTTGTCAAGATTTCGTGCAAGAATTACGTCTGACCCGCCTCGTGCTTCTGTTTCTGCTTTTGTTTCTTTTGCGTGGACCCCGGGTTCCTCCCTCGCGACTATCGACCGTTTCCTTGTCAATGGCAACGGCGCTCATTGTGCGCGTCACTCGTCCCTTCTAAATTGTTTCGCGCCCGTGATCGCCTGTGCTCCATCCTCAGCCGGATCACCATGCCTTTTACTCTCGACGAGGTACGCTTACGTGAATCAACCGGCTCACTCGGCTTTTCGCGTCCCTTCCAACTCAACTTAGACCAGCGAGTGAAGCACATCAGCGCATATTCCTCTCCATGCCCTTACCATCCCGCATCCTCACCTTTCTCTCATCTTTCCCCGTCTCCGCCCTCCATTTCTCCCTCACATTCCATTCTCAAATGTGCCAGTATCGAGTGGGGAACACGTACATGCGGTCGCGCATGCAAATGGAGAACACCAAGGGGCGCGAGGGAATCGAGGTGATCGCAAGCGAGCCGTTTAAAGACGACGTCTTGGGCGAGGGGCACTTCTCGCACGTCGTCTATCACTTCCAAAGCCGTGCGCCCGCGTGGATCCGCGCGCTCGCTCCGGTCGAGGCGCTGCGGCTCGAAGAAAAGAACTGGAACGCGTTTCCCCGATGCCGTACGGAGATTAGCGTAAGCCTGCAGGGGGTGGGGATGGAGGGGGGGGGAAAGGGAGGGAGAAAGCGGGAGCGGGGACGGCGGGGAGTGGGCGCTGAGAAACCAAATCGTGGTTTAAAGAAAGACGTACATGGAAAATCATGGTGTGCGCTGATTGCTCCCCTACCGCGTGCATGAGATATTAAAGACCGTGCTCCACCTCTCCTGTCTTCCCCGTTCGTCACAGTGCCCGTACTTCTCCAACTACAAGATCACCACCGACTCGTTTCACGTCGCCGACCGTGGCGAATCCGAGAACGTGAGTGTCGCACACACTGTCGCAGGGTAATTCGCATGCCAGGGGAATTTTCAAGTCTGCTAGAAGCTCGCATTGGCTGAAATTGAACTTGTCGATGTGGCATGAAGAGCACTGAAACATTCCAGATTGTTCTGCGAAATCCTTTGCGCTTACCTCCGTGTGCGACCTGCTCGCGAGCCGTCTTGGTCCTCAAACCCCCATGCGACTCGTCTCATCCCCATCCGCGTCGTCCGCCAGGCGTTGAAGCTGTCGGATGCTGAGCTGGAGCTGCGCAAGGTGGATCACGTGGACATCGCGTCGGCCGACAGGGACATGTGGTCGCGGACCATCGCGCGGAAGCGCACCGACCCCTCCAAGATCGCCCTGCTGAAACTCAACCGCGGGCCTCTCGCCCCCGGGTGGCAGGTAAGCAAATCCTGGTAACGATATTATGGTGACCAGCCAGATTTTGTCGCAAATTTTCTCTTTTGAAGGCCCACCAATCCCAATTTCGTTACACTGGTTGGCATGTAATGACTGGGTGCCCCTGGATGTTGACGGCTCAAGTTCAAATTTGAATTCCTCTTCTCTGTTACCGGATGCAGGCCACGTGTCAGCCTGTAATGACGGTCTACAAGGTGGTACACGTGGACGCGCCTTACTGGGGGATCGGCAGGCAGATGGAGCTCGCAACAATCGCGGTGAGTGTGCTGTCGTGTGGTGTTCTGTCAGCTATCGCAATCGGTTTTCGTTGCACCCCTTTAACAACTGCAGCTGTTGCTGTTTTCATGAGTGTCATAGCTCTTGCAAGGGTCTCTTTCAGTGTAAGCCTTATCTAACCCTAGTACATCCCCGTCCCACCTCCCCACCATTCTCAGGCGCAACGCGCGCTTTATCTGGAGGCGCACAGGAAGTGCTATGGGTGGGCGGACGATTGGTGCTCATTGACTGTGGCTGATGCACGGCGGATAGAGCAGGAGAACATTGACAAAATGCGAAAGGTGAGGGTCTGGTGGCAGTTTGGCGTGAAACACGTGTCAAAGGCCAAAAGGCACCTATCATCATCACCCTAATCGTAACCTTGTTCGTGTCCTCATCCCACCATTTGCCCACAGAGCCTTTCCTTGAGTGACCGCTTTGACGAAGAAGCTTTTAGCGAGTCAACAGAGGATGCCGAGGAAGTGGAGGAGGAGGAAGAAGAAGAGGGCATGTTCAACTCGGTGGCAGCCCTGCCTGCCGTTGCTTCTGTAGCTGCATGAATTCTAGTCATGGACGACAATAAAGTCGCATCGCTGCGGTGCCATGGGGTCACTGGACACACTAAGATGACCAGCAGTGGCTGGGTGGAGAGTGCAAGAATAGGCTTGCAGTAGGTGCGAAACTGAGTAGGCAACAAGGTGGGTGGCAGCATGGCACATCTCACTACAGCAAGTGTCATGACTAGGAGGACAGACAGTTGGTACCACAGATCTATTTATGTATAAAACTACTGGCTTATTGGCCTGCTGTTATTCCCTCCAGGGTGAGGTATTATGGTAATATTTACCAAGAATAGGGGCATGGATAAGGGAAGAGATGGTTGGCTTGGCATGCCTGTTCATGTACAACCCCACAACTCCAGCACTGGAAGAGATGTGGCCAGAAATTTTGCACGACACCAAGGTGTGTATGCGTGACCTTCCCTTGCACCAAATCGCAGGAGAGGAGAGATGGGTGATGTTCAATGTGTTCATGAGTGATGTTCAATGTTGAGGAGAGATGTACACAGACTTCGATATTTTTTTCTGGGGAGTAGGTGATAAAACACTTGCTCTGATTTCTCATATGCTTTTGCGGCTTGATTGTTACCGGAGCTGTTCTTACTGTTGAGATGAATGTTCCCCATCTGAACGGCATTATCCAATCCAAGCATCACAATTCATGACTTCGGCGCGTCGTAACCCAATTGCTGCAGTCGCTGAAAGTTCGCACGACGGAGTCACTTCCAACCATCGTCGCATTCTGCGCGAACAGCACGTACTGGTAACAAGGCACTCTATACGCCCGTCGATTCGCGAAGCTCTCGCGAATGCCAGTCGTGCAACTTTTTGAATCCAACAGTCGAAGCGCATATCGTTCCACCATCACCACCACCATCCGCTTCCGCGACACAACAAGCGGTCGCTCGCCCTATCCGCAACACAGCTGCCACTTGAATTCCCCCACCCTTGCCGTCCGCTCGAATCTATCGTCCCCTACCCTCCTCCCCAGTCCCCGCTAAGCTGAAAACCCTTTTCCCTCGTTCCACTCCATCTGCTATACAAATAGCGAGGCAAGAATCCCGTTAGCTCCCATTCCCCCAACCAACCAACCCCACCAAGCTGCTTCCGTCGCCCTCGCAGCCCGACCAAACCAGCTGACACCCATCCCAGCCCTCTTCTCCTCCAACGACAGAAGACGAGAAAGAGCAACTCAACGCACCGCCAACTCCTCGAGCACGCTTTTACGAACATCTAGTCTCTGCTGCAAAAGGTGTCTGTAGAAGGAAAGTGTCGAATTGGCCGGGAATCCTCGCTCACCTCACCCAACGATCTTGCGTCAACCTCAGCTCTGCCCCCTCCCGTTTCGCTCCGCGCTCGTCGACAACTGCTAGCCAGAATGGTGCAGATTAAGGAATTGTAAGATGCAAAACGATTTCCCGTACGCGCTAATATTGCTCGTTTACCAGAGTATTCTCTAACTTGTTCCCCTCCTGCGTGTTTCTTGTTTTGCGTCGTCGCGGTGCTCCCTCGCCGCGATATCATTGTGGCGATATCGACGGCCATCTGCGCTCGTCGCTCGCCTCTCGTCGTCCGTCCCGCGTGGTCCACCATCTTCAGCCGCATCACGATGCCCTTTTCACTCGACGAGGTACGCACACGCACGCGCATACCCTGCGCACGCGCACCCGCATACCCTGCGCACGCGCACGCGCATACCCTTGCGCATTCACCCTTCAACTCATGCCCCGCAACGCAACTTGAGGCAACAAGAAAATTTACCCACCCTTTCTTACTAAACGGAAGGGGCACACGTACATGCAGTCGCGCATGCAACCTCCCTTCACTCACCTTCCCCGTCTCTCTCCTCAACTCTTCCCCAACATTCTCCCCGTACACGTGACAGTATCACGTGGGGCACACGTACATGCGGTCGCGCATGCAGATGGAGAACACCAAGGGGCGCGAGGGCGTAGAGGTGATCGCCAGCGAGCCGTTCAAAGACGACGTCTTGGGCGAGGGGCACTTTTCGCACGTCGTGCACCACTTTCAGGGCCGCGCGCCCGCGTGGATTCGCGCGCTCGCGCCGCTCAAGGCGCTGCGGCTCGAGGAGAAGAACTGGAACGCGTACCCGCGCAGCCGCATGGAGCTCAGCGTAAGCTCGACGGGGAAGGGGAGGGGAGGCGGAAGGGGAAAGAGGGTAGCGGTGTCGAGAAACCGAGGCGGCATTTCTAGTGTGTCGTGCGCGTTGTGATTTGGCTACGCGCTGTTTGCTGTTTGCTTCCCCTATCTCATGCGTTAGTATTTTCTGACTCATTTTTCGCCTCTCCCGTCTCCCCCTGTTTCCCCTTCCCCCCCCCCCGTCACAGTGCCCGTATTTCACCAACTTCAAGATAGTCGTCGACACATATCACCTCGCCGACCGAGGCGACACGGAGAACGTGAGTGTCTCCCGTCCCGGGTTTAGGATGCTGGTATTCGCCAGGGGTAGGCGTAGAGGTCTAGAATAAATGAATCTCGAAAGCAATGTGAGACATGTTTTTGTGGTTTTTGTGGTTCCCAGACTCCATTACTTGTGCTCCTCTCGCCTTAATTTGGTCCTCACCCCGCCACTCCCCTTCCGCTCCCCCCACCCCCCATTCGTCTCGTCTCGTCATCCATTCTTCTTTGCCCTTCAGGCGCTGAATCTCCCAAAAGCTGACCTGGCGCTGCGCAAGGTGGACCACGTGGACATCGCGTCGGCCGACAGGGACATGTGGTCGCGAATCATCGCACGGAAGCGCACCGACCCCTCCAAGATCGCCCTGCTTAAACTCAACCGCGGCCCGCTCGCCCCCGGATGGCAGGTAAGAATGGAGGGTAATCAGTTGCCACTATTAGCTTGCATGTGGCTGCTAATCATAGCATGTTATATTGAACGAAATTGACGAGTACATTGTTCCCGACCGTTCCTTTCCGCGTGCAGGAATCGTGTGAGCCTGTGATGACGTCGTACAAGGTGATTCGCGTGGACGCGCCCTACTGGGGGTTCGGCAGGCAGATGGAGCTGGCCGCAATCGCCGTGAGTGCTGTCTTGTCGTCGTCGCTGCTTTGGTTCATGCCATTGTTAGGACGCTGCACAGGTCGCTATTTCTATTCTAACCCGTGTCTCCTCCCCTCCTCTCATTCTCCCCCTCCAATGCTCCCCCCTTCACCCCCCTTCCCCTTTCTCCCCGCGCTCCCCATTCAATCTCAGGCGCACCGTGCTCTTTACTTGGAGGCATACAGGAAGTGCTACGCTTGGGCGGACGAGTGGTGCGAGATGACTGTGGCGGACGCGCGCCGGATCGAGCAGGAAAACATCGACAGAATGCGAAAGGTGAGGGCGCGTTGTAACATCCGCTTGTAACATAATTTGCAACTTCGACTATAATCTACTGACATCCCACGCTCATATCATGAATCACCAAAGCACGTTACAGCCCTTATTTCTATCCTATCCCTTTGTCCTGACCCACTCGTACCCACCCTCTGCCCATATCAGAGCCTTTCCTTGAGCGACGGCTTGGATGAGGAAGCTTTCAGTGATGCAGTGGAGGATGCAGTGGAGGGGGAGGAGGAACGAGAGGAAGAGGGCGTGTTCAAGTCAGTAACAGCTTTACCTGCTGTTGCTCCGGTGGCCGCATGAAGGTGACAACAGACAATAACAGCTGCATGGCGGTGCGGCTTGATTCTTACCATAAGCTTTCCCATAAGCTCAACTATACAATCTTTACGTTGCACCACTGCTCTTAAAGCATAAGCTTGCAGTGGTTGCACCACTGAGCATTTAGCACAATACATAGGTGTGTAAAGGTGGCCTGTCCTTCCCTTACACCTAGCCAGTAAAAGCAACTGTGGATGATCGTCAAGAAAATGGACACATACGGTAATTCGATATTTTGGGCTGGTACGACGTTCTAGTTTCTGTTCTCTATAACACTAATTACCTCTGATTCTCATATGCTTCTGCGGCGGGTAAGGAGCTGTTCTTACTAGTCTGTTGAATGACCACATCAAATTCTTGCATCACAATCCAAATTTTTTTTTAGGTGAATGATATTACACTATAAGAAGTGCATACATTCTCAGTCGTAACTGATTGCCAGTCCATGAACGTCCTGATTGCGACTACATTTACGATTTGGTCGCATCGTAACCCCGCTACACCCGCTGAGACGTCGCACGACGACATCTCCAAACATCACGTGCTGGTAACAAGGCACTCCCACAAGCACGTCGATTCGCGAAGCTCTCGCGAAGGCAGTCGTGCGACTTTGCGAGTCCAACAGTCGAAGCGCATGTCTTTCCAAACCATCCGCTATCGCAACAACAATGGTCGCTCGGATGCCCTTTCCGCAGCTGCCACCTGAATCCCCCACCCTTGCCGTCCGCTCAAATCTCTCCTCCTTTTCCCCCCTCCCCCCCCACCCTTGCTTTTTCCTCGTTCCCCTCCATCCGCCATACAAATAGTAGTGAGACTAGGAGAATCTTGTTTAGCTCCCATTCCCCCAACCAAGAAACCCAAGGTCGTCACAAACCGACCAAGCCGCTTCCGTCACCCAGCCCATAGCCTTTCACCAACGGCAGGAGACGAGCAAGAGCAACGCAACACACCTTCAGCTCCTCGAGCACGCTCATAATTCGTTTCTGCTGCTACTAAGGGTGTTGGAAGAAGGTGTCGACTTGACAGGGAATCCTCGCACATTTCACCCGACGACCTTGCGTCAAACTCGGCTCAGCCCCGTCCCGTTCCGCTCCGCGCGCGTCGACAACTGCTAGCCAGAATGGTGCAGATTCAGGAATTGTAAGACGCAAAATAAATTTCCGGACGCGCTTCCTCGTTTATCCAAACATTCTCTAACCTATTCCCCTCGTGCTTGATTCTTGTTTTGCGTGGACTGCGGGGTTCTCCCTCGCCGCGATGTCGTTGTGACGATATCGACGGCTCTCCGCGCTCGTCGCTCGTCTCTCGTCGCCTCGCCGCCTCTCATCGTCCGTCGCGCGTGGTCCACCTGCAGCCTCATCACGATGCCCTTTTCTCTCGACGAGGTACGCACTCGCGCTCGCGCACGTGCACGCGCACCCACCCTTCAAGTCAAGCCGCGCCTTGGCAACTTGAGGCGAATGAAAACCCTATACTTGTCCAACGAGACGCAAGCCACCGCCAACGCCAGTTTGCGGCGCTAAACAACAAGGAACATACCAACCAACCCTATCCACGCAATCCACGCCAACCCAATCCTTCCTTTCTTCCAACCCCCCGCCCTCCGTCACCCTCTCCTTCCGACCGACCAACCATACCACCTCACGTGGGCCGCTCCCACATGCAGTCGCGCATGCAATCTCCCTTCGCTCCCCTCACTTCTCCCCCCACATTCTCCCCGTGCATTATCGGACAGCCACGTGGGGCACACCTACATGCGGTCGCGCATGCAACCACTTGAGCTCACTTCCCCGCTCTCTTTCCTCACTTCCCCCCGTACACTATCCGACGTGACAGTATCACGTGGGGCACACCTACATGCGGTCGCGCATGCAGATGGAGAACACAAAAGGCCGCGAGGGCGTCGAGGTGATCGCCAGCGAGCCGTTCAAAGACGCGGCTCTGGGCGAGGGGCACTTTTCGCACGTCGTGCACCACTTTCAGGGCCGCGCTCCCGCGTGGATCCGCGCGCTCGCGCCGCGGAAGGCGCTGCGGCTGGAGGAGAAGAACTGGAACGCGTACCCGCGCAGCCGCATGGAGCTCAGCGTAAGCATGCGGGGGATGGGGAGGGGGAAGGGGGGAGGGAATGGGGGAGGGGAAAGGGGGAAGTGGTAAGGGGGAGAGGGGGAAACTGGCGCGGCATTTGAAGTGTGCGCGCGTGTGGTTGATGCAGCTACTTGCTATTTGCAGCTACCTCTTGTGCGAGTATTATCTAATCCATTTTCCACCGCTGCTCTCTCCTCTCCCCCGCCCGTCACAGTGCCCGTATTTCAACAACTTCAAGATAGTGGCCGACACGTATCACCTCGCCGACCGAGGCGACACGGAGAACGTGAGTGTCCCGTTACAGTGCCCGTATTGTGGCTCGCGAGGGAAAAGCTTACATGGCTGGGATGGATATAGCTTACAAGCCTAGGTGAGAATCAAGATTCACCCAGCAATGTGACTCAGCGTGGGTGATTTATTGTGGTTCCTGTGCTCTCTCGTTCTACAGCTACTTGCGCTGCTCTCGCCTTGGTTTGGTTCTCAACCATTCTCGTTTGTCTCCTCATCATCTTCTCTTCTTCCTCCAGGCGCTGAATCTCCCAAAAGCTGACCTGGCGCTGCGCAAGGTGGACCACGTGGACATCGCGTCGCCCGACAGGGACATGTGGTCGCGAATCATCGCGCGGAAGCGCACCGACCCCTCCAAGATCGCCCTGCTTAAACTCAACCGCGGCCCGCTCGCCCCGGGATGGCAGGTAAGCATGGAGGGTAATTAAATGGCTCGCTATTAGCTTGCATGCGCATGCTCGTCTTATCATATTCTCTTGAACGGAATTTGACGACTAGTACGATGCGAGTCGAACATCGTTCCCATGCGTTCCTTTCCGCGTGCAGAAAACGTGTGAGCCAGTGATGACGTCGTACAAGGTGGTACGCGTGGATGCGCCCTACTGGGGGTTCGGCCGGCAGATGGAGCTCGCCGCAATCGCGGTGAGTGCTGTTGCGTTGAGCGCTGTCGCGTTGTGTTGAGTGCTGCCACCGTTGCCGTCGCTGCGTATATTTTATGCGATTGTAGCAACGCTTTTTCCTACCGTCAGAATCGCCGCACCGGTCGCTATTGCTACCCTAACCCCCGTCTCCTCCCCCCCTCTCATTCTCCCCCTCCAATGCATCCCTCCCCATTTCCCGCTTCTCCCTTCCCCGTTCCCGCTTCCCCTTTCCCCCTTCCCCTTTCTCCTCGCGCTCCCTCATTCGATCTCAGGCGCACCGCGCTCTTTACCTGGAGGCGTACAGGAAGTGCTATGCATGGGCGGACGAGTGGTGCGAGCTGACTGTGGCGGACGCACATCGGATCGAGCAGGAGAACATTGACAAAATGCGAGAGGTGAGGGCGTGTTGTAACATCCGGTTGTAACATTTGTTACAATTCGACTACAATCTACTGACATCATCTAAATTTGTTAATGCACTCATGGGCATCCCAGGCTTGTATCATGAATCACCAAAGCATATTACAATGCTTATTTCTACCGACACACTCATTCCCACCCTCTGCCCACATCAGAGCCTGTCCTTGACTGATCGCTCAGATAATGAAGAATTTAGCGATGCAGTGGATAGTGAAGAATTTAGCGATGCAGTGGAGGGTGAAGAATTTAACGATGCAGTGGAGGGTGCAGTTGAGGTGAAGGAGGAAGAGGAAGAGAAAGGGGATATCAAGTCAGTAACAGCTCTACCTACTATTGATCCCGTGTCCGCATGAACACGACAACAGACAATCACAGCCGCATGGCGATGCAGACTGAGCTATCTAACAGACCATCGATGGCGTCTACTGTACAGTTTAGAAGAGGTGACGGACAGTGGTTGCACCACTGTGCAAAGTTGAAAGATACCCCTGTGCAAGCCGCTCGGGCGGAGGTGAGCAGCGGGGTGGAGGGGAGTTTGCAACATGATAGTACCAACCAAGAGGCACATCACATGCTACCCGGCTACCGTCAGCCAGTCGTCCTACCAGTACTAATGTACCTTGCTTCCCAAGCATATATTTTCCAATTTACTAGTTTGGATGGGGTTCAGGTGCCGAGCCAGGCGCTCTAGGATGTGGTGGTGGGGGCTGGGCCTGGTCAGCTCGAAACACAAAAAATGAAGATGCTATGCTACCAGTAACCAGCAACAAGATGGATGGGGGAGGAACAATTAAGATACTGTGAATGAAAAGCAGCTCAAATCCTGGAAGCCATTTTATATCCAGTTCACTTCATCCCAGATGTGGTATTCTCAGCATACCGGTATCGTTTCTTCATCGATCACCACCACCACCCATCACCACCACCCATCACCACCCAACCCAACCCAACACCTAACGAAGCCATGAACATTGACCACATGTTTCCATGCGTACACACATCTGTGACAGGCTGACAGCGATAGAAACTTCCCCTCCAAGCCTGTTTCGAATCCGCCATCCCTCACACCAGCTGCTTCACATCCACAGCCCCCACGATCACAAAACCCAACAGTCTCCTCCACTTGAAAACTCACCCTCACAATCTGACTCAACTGACAAGTCATCTCACCTCCCCCGCCTCCTCCTCGGTGACTCATCTTCACTTTCACTCTCCTCCCTTCCCCTGCGCCTCCTCCCCCCCTCCCTGTCCCCCCGACCGGCCCTGCCCTCAAGAGAGACATCCCTCCCCCCTGCCCCCTTGCCCTCGCCCATCATCCCTCGAGAACCCCCCTTGCCGCCCCTTGCAACAGGAGACACATCCCTGCCCTTGCCCCCAGCCCTGCGCACTGGAGACCCATCCTCCCTCCCCCTAACCTCTGGAGACCCACCCCTGCCCCTACCGCCACCACTCCCACCTCCCCCCCTGCCCCCGCCACCCCTGGGCGCGGGGGACGCGCTCCTGCTGTCGTGGCGGGGCCTGGGAGCAGCAGCGACCGGCCTGCGGGGGGGAGGAGAGGGCGACCTGGAGGGCGAGCGAGAGAGAGATGACGAGGGCGAGGAGGGACCGGACGAGCTCGTGGGGGAAGCGGCAGCGGCAGCAGCAGCAGGGGCAGCAGCAGCAGCAGCAGCCCTTACTGGGCGCCGCTGGGGGCTGGGGGAACGGCCTCTCCTTGGGCTGGGGGAGCGGGCGCGCTTGGGGCTGGGGGAGCGGGCGCGCTTGGGGCTGGGGGAACGGGCGCGCTTGAACGTGGGCGGAGCGGCGCGTTTAGGGCTGGGAGAACGAGAGCGCTGGGAACTGGGGGAAAGAGCGGCTCTGGGGCTGGGGGCGCGATAACGCTTGGGGCTGGGAGAACGGGCACGCTTGGGGCTGGGGGAGCGTCCGCGCTTGGGAGAGACAGAGCGGCGATTGGGCGAGAGGTCTTTGGGCTCGGCGCGGAACGACCTCTGCTGCCTGCTGCCGCGACCCTCGGAGTCCCTCTCAACCTGCGCCGCCTTCCTTCCCCGCCCCCGCTCCTTCTCCTCCTCCTCGCTCTCCGATTCCCCTCTCACCTCCCTCACCCCCTCCCGCTTCTTGAAAGATATGCTCTTGCCAGCCATCCACCTGTCCTCGCCCTCATCTATATCCGCAGCATCAGTAGCGCGCGCGTCCCTCCGCTGCTTCTTCCGCTCACCCCCCTGCTCCTCCTCCCTCCCCCTCCCCCTCCTCTCGTCTCCCCTCCGCGTCTCCCCTTCAACCTTCCGCCGCCCTTCCTCCCTCTTCCGCTCCACGCTCAACCTCTCCGCCTCCCTGCGCTCCGCCTCCTCCTCCCTCCGCCTAACTTCCTCTTCCGCCCTCCGCGCCTCCGCCTCCCGCGCCTCTTCCGCCCGCCGCGCCTCCTCCGCTTCCCGGAGCTTCCGCGCCTTCTTTTCCTTCCGCCTCATCTCCTCCTCCCGCTCCGCCGCCTCCTCCTCCGCCCGCCTCCGCGCCTTCTCTTCTTTCTTTAGCCTCTTCTTCATCTCTTTCTCCTCCTTCCGCCTCTGCTTCTCCCTCCGCCGTTCCTCCTTCTCCCGCTCCTTCTCCTCCCGCCGCCGCGCCTCCTCCGCCTCCTCCCGCGCCAGCTGGCGCTCCTGCCGCCGCTGCTCCTGCAGCTCGCGGTCGAACGCGTCCCCTTCTTTAGCAGACTCGTTAATGCGCAGAGCGGCCTTGAGCGTCTCCATCTTCTTCTCCTTGCGCGCCACGATCTGATGTGTCTGGTTCCTGCCAGCCGTCGCCACCCGTCGCCACCCGTCGCCAACCGTCGCCAACCGTTGCCACCCGTCGCCACGAAAGGACCGGAAAACAAGTCGAAGCAAAGATCGAACACAATCAGGAGCCGAGAAACCCTAAGCAAGTCCGAGCAGTCGAGAAACGAGCGGAAAATCAGCGAGTAAATGAGCCACCGAACAGAACTACCAAGCTAGCAGAATCAAACAGCAGTGAAGACACGTGGTTGGGTCAGCTCACCCTAGCGACTCAAGCGCCTGGTCCTCCGATTCCTCGCGCATGGCGGCCTCGAGCTGCGCGCGCGCCTGCTCCATCTGCTCCTCCATCTCCTCCTCCAGGTACCCCTGCTCCTCCAGCGTCTCGCGCAGCAGCAGCAGCTTCAGCTCGATCTGCCGCTTCCGGTCGTGCTCCAGAATCTCCTTGTTCGCCTTGCGGCTGATTCCGCCCGTTCCCGCGCCTTCCTGAAACTCTTTCGCCTCGAACTTCGTGTGCCGGTGGCGAATCACGAATTTGTTCGCCTGCACGTAACCGTTGGTGCCGGACCCGCGGGCCGTCTGAAGCCCTATGCCGTTATACATGGCTGCTCGTTTTCACCCGCACTCAGCTCCGATAGACTTGAAGTTTGACTCAGTCGTATTAGCGATTCGTAAGCTTTTATCGCAGAAATACAACGGCCGGATCGAAAATGGCCAGGTTCAAGATTCAAGAAACGCGTCGAGATGAAGAACTCGATATCCAAAGCACGCGAAATCAGCAGCGATAGAGAGGGAGGGATGGAAGTTATTGGGGTTTACTCGTGGTTGGTTAGGGCAGGGCAGGGCAGAGGGCAGGCTGTCGTCCGCTGATCCTCCCTATGGTGGAGTTCTTTATTAGCCCGACTTGGGATAAATACCTGTTACGGGCACGAATGTTACGGGCAGTGTTGGATAAGCCCGACCTGACAGTGTGGCAACCCGTGTTGACGGTGACTGTCAAGCGACAGCTGAGGGCGGAAAAGAACTATTCGCTGCAGACAATTCGCTACCCTTCATTACATAAACATAGGAGATTGGCTCACAAAAATGAAACGTCCGATAAAAAGAAGAAAAAACATTTCACATGCTGCACACTTTGTGCAGGCACAGCACTGACACGAGTGATTCCAGGGGCATTCAACAAAAATATGCAGTCGCTATGATAACCCGGCGTTCTTTTACTCTTATTTGTCCATTCCACTTGATAACCCTCCTCCGGAGGCTCCTTCACTTTTATCCAAACCTGCTTCTTTCCCATCAACTCCACTCTCCTCGCCTTGCATGAATGGTGGGACTTCACCAGTCACAGCACCAGCCGCCACATCAGCAGCTGCCGCTTCTGCAGCTGCCACCTCAGCAGCCTCTCGCCGCCGTTGCTCCTCGACGACCCGCTCAGCCGCCACCCGGCGGGCCTCGTCCACATGCTGCCACATGTCATCGCCTGGTTGGACGCCCGCTCGCTGCATATCTTCCAAGATTGCAACTGCTGTGTCTATCTCCAGGAGCCCAAGGCACGTGTTGACCACCGTCTTGTAGAGGTTGCTGCACGTGACGCGGAGGAGAACAGAGGAAGGCAGGGGGGGAGGGAGAGCAGACCGGGATGGCAGAGCAGGAGCAGGAAGGAGAGGCAGTTGGTTAGGAATGAAAGGGCAGAAAAGCGACAATGGAAATGGGGTGGGAAGGAGGTGAGCGTCACAGAGCTTTCAAGTTGGAACAATTTCGGACAGGAGCAAGGGCAAGAAGAGAAGCAGGCTTGCATCGAATGTATGCAACATCCTTATAAACTCCATAACCATGTCAGAATTCGTGATACGGAGTGGTAAGAGACATGCTTACAATGTACACCAAGGGACATGCTTAACGTTTCACTCACATGCCGAACTTGTGACCAATCGCGTGCGACTTCTCGACCACCCCCTGCATAATACGACAATCGTTGCCGTCCACTGCCGCCCACAGCACCATGCAGCAGTCTGCCAGGGTCAGCACGCCGCCCAGCTCAATCACCTGAGGGAGCAACAAATGGCACGGGCAGTGGGAATGGTGAGAGGGAAGCTTTGTCCCATATAAGCACCAAAGACAGATTCATTCGCTCGTCGCATTGTATCATCATCTCTTTGTCCCAATGCCTCACTCCCTTATTGTCACTTCGTCACTTCCTCTCATCCTCACCAGTTGAAAGATGCTCCAAGCAATATCAAGCTCCACCCTCTCGCTCCACGGCTGCACGACCCGCTCCTTGTCAGCCCGCTCCCACCAGTGCCCCCACCGCTCCTCCAAGGTGAATATGCCGTCCAGAGTGGTGGAGAGCGGAATGAGGTCCTCCTCCGCTCGGAACGCCTGCATCTCCTCGTCCTCCTCTGCTGCCTGCGCGGCCGATCCGGCTAGGATGGCTGGTGCTGCTGCATGCACCTCCCCCTCGTCCTCATCGTCATACAGGTCCTGCTTGGAAAGGGAGGAGGGGGGGGGGGAGCGGAAGGGGGAGTGGGAGGGGAAGCGGGAGGAGAAGCGGGAGGGGAAGCGGGAGGTGAGTGGGTTTGAGAAAGCTGCTGCTGCATGCACCTCCCCCTCGTCCTCATCGTCGTACAGGTCCTGGGGGGGAAAAGGGAGGGGAAGGTGGGGAAGGAGAGAAAGAGGAGGGTAACGGAGAGGGAGGAGATGAGTGCCTCGGCTGCGTGCGCCTCCCCCTCGTCCTCATCGTCGTACAGGTCCTGGGGGAGGGGGGAGATAGGAAGGGGAGGAAGGGGCAGAGATTGGGGGAAAAAAAGGCTGAAGGGGAGCACAAGTGCATAAGTGCAGGAGCGAATGAGGGGAGAAGAGCAGGAGCGAATGAGGGGAGAAGAGCAGGAGCGAATGAGGGGAGAAGAGCAGGAGCGAATGAGGGGAGAAGAGCAGGAGCGAATGAGGGGAGAAGAGCAGGAGCGCACGCATCTGTGCACTTCATCCGTCATCTCACCGACCACTCATCTCACCAACCACTCATCACACCGACCACGCATATCACCGACCACGCATCTCACCGACCACTCATCTCACCGAAACACTTCTTCAATCACCTCCCTCTCTGCTCCGTGCAAGAGAGGACGGGGGCACAAGTGCACACATCTGTGTGGCTCAACTCACCGACGATTTAGCCTTGGCTCTGCCTGCAGCGCTCCCACCACCGCTGCCCACAAGCTGCGATGTGAGCAGCCCGCCGCCGCCCCGCATGCCCTCCTCCTCCATGGCCAGCACCGACACCTCCCTCTCTGCTCCGCCGCCCAGCATGCCGCCCGCCTGCCCTGGCGCCACCTCCTCCTCGTCCACCGCCTCGTCCTCTTCCCCCACCGCCCCCTCCTCCTCCTCCTCGTCCTCATCCTCCTCATCATCTATCACATCGTCAACTTCTAACTCCTCCTCCTCCTCCTCCTCCTCCTCCTCCTCTTCCTCCTCATCTTCATCATCCTCGTCTTCTTCCTCCTCCTCCTCTTCTTCGTCCAATTCTTCATCCTCCTCCTCGTCCTCTTCCTCCCCGCCGGACAGTGCCGCCCGGATCCGCTTGTCTTCCACGCGCTGCCGCTCGTCGGCCGCCCGCTGCTTCTCGTCTGCTTCCCGCTGCCGCTCGTCCTGCTCGCGCTGCTGCTGCGCCTCATTCGCCCGCCGCTCGCTCTCCCTCATCATCTCTATCACCTGCGGCCACGATGCTGCCGTGCCGTCCAGGGTCAGGTGCTCCAACAGATACTCCACTCTTGCGCTCGCCTGTAAAAACATAGGGGTTGTGGGGGGGATGGCAACGGAAAAAGAGGGCTCTCCCTCATCATCTCTATCACCTGCGGCCACGACGCTGCTGTGCCGTCCAGTGTCAGGTGCTCCAACAGATACTCCACTCTCGCACTCGCCTGTAAGAGCAGGGGGGTGTGGGGAAGGAATGGGAAGGACTTGAGCCGATCATCTTTATCACCTGCAGGCTGCAGCCACAATACGACGCTGCCGTCCAGTGTGAGGTGTTCCAGGAGATACTCCACTCTCGCACTCGCCTGTAAGACAAGGGGGTTACAGGGGAAGGTAAGGAGGAAAGGAGTCTCTATCATCTCTATCACCTGCAGCCACGATGCCGCTGTGCCGTCCAGGGTCAGGTGCTCTAGCAAGTACTCCACTCTTGCGCTCGCCTGGAGAACCAAGGGGGGTACAGGGGACGATATGGGGCGGAATTGAGTCGATCATCTCGATCACCTGCGGCCAGGACGCTTCTGTGCCGTCCAGTGTCAGGTGCTCCAACAGATACTCCACTCTCGCACTCGCCTGTAAGAGCAGGGGGGTGTGGGGAAGGAATGGGAAGGACTTGAGCCGATCATCTTTATCACCTGCAGGCTGCAGCCACAATACGACGCTGCTGTGCCGTCCAGTGTGAGATGTTCCAACAGATACTCCACTCTCGCACTCGCCTGTAAAGTAAGGGGGGTAGAGGGGACGAAATGGGGCGGAATTGAGTCGATCATCTCTATCACCTGCGGCCAGGACGCTTCTGTGCCGTCCAGTGTCAGGTGCTCCAGCAGATACTCCACTCACACACTCGCCTGTAAGAGCAGGGGTGTGGGGAAGGTGAGAGAGAAAGAGGAGTTTATCCTCCCTCATCAGGAGCTCTAGCAGATACTCCACTCACACACTCGCCTGCACATGTAGGGGCTCGAGAGAGAAAAGAGGCAAGGTCATGGAGAGCAGGAGACTATCCTCTCAATCTCCTAGAAACACAATGATTGACTCAAATCTGATGATTCACCAACCACCCACCTACATGACGGGCTCCCGGGCCTGGGGCGTCCACTAGAGCTTCCTCGGCAGCAGTCACCTCCACCTCCACCAGTCAGCACCCCAATCTCACCTGCATGACGGGTTCTCTGGTTTGCGGCGTCCACAGGGGCTTCCCAAGAGCCTTATTCAGCCGCCTAGCACGCTGCACCCGCGCATACAGCACGGCGCGGTTCCCATCGGTGGGCAGCCCCTGCCCCGCCAGCTCCTGCCTCAGCTCCCCCACCCACCTGCACCACTCAGCACCATAATCTCACCTGCATCACAGGTTCCCGGGTCTGGGGCGTCCACAGCGGCTTCCCTAGTGCCTTATTCAGCCTCCTAGCGCGCTGCACGCGAGCATACAGCACGGCGCGGTTGCCATCGGTGGGCAGCCCCTGCCCCGCCAGCTCCTGCCTCAGCTCCCCCACCACCATCTTGCTCGCCGCCTTCGGCGCCCTCGCCCCCCCCCCTCGCCCCCATCAACCCCCCCGTCAGCCCCCCCGTCAAGCCCCCGGTTAGGCCCCAGCTGCTGCTGGTAGTGCTGCCAGTGCTGGCAGCAGCGGCGGTACCAGCAGCAGTGGCAGCATCAGCACCAGAAGCACCGGCAGCAGCAGCGGCTGGGAGTAAGGCGGATCCGCCTCCGCCCATGGGAGTGCCTGCGCCCGCCCCTGTGGGGCCCTGGATCTGCAGCTCCATCTCTAACCACTCCGCCACCTCCACCGCCTCCTCCTTGCTCACCCCTAGATCCGCCGGCCACGCCGCCACTCCCTGGAAGAAAGGAGAAACGGTAGACGAGAGAAAGGTGGGGGGGCGGAGGGAGGAGCGGGGTGATGTGGGGGAAAGGGAAGAGATGGGGCAGGGTCAGACCTCCAGCCACTCCGCCACTGTCACCCACCGCCTCCTCCTTGCTCACCCCTAGATCCACTGGCCATGCCGCCACTCCCTGGTAGATGGGAGGAGAGGGGGCGGAAGGGAATGACGAGAAGGGGGAGGAAATTTTAGTGGCGGGATGGTCGGATCTCCAGCCACTCCGCCACCTCCACCGCCTCCTCCTTGCTCACTCCCAATCCTGCCGGCCACGCTGCCACTCCCTAAAGGGTGGACGGTTGGGAGGGTTGGAGGGCAAAGCAGGAGGGAAGAGATGCTGGAAAGGTATGACCTGCACACGCTCCTTGCAGAGTGTAGTAGGGCTGCAGAGATTTTTTTAGTATTCTAAAAAAATCCCCGCAACGTCAAGAATTTCTTAAAAATCCCGGAAAGGTATGACCTGCACACACTCCTTGCAGAGTGTAGTAGGGCTGCTTGCACCACTCTCAACGCTCTCCCCCTCTGCTCTCACACGCCACATGAGGGTGGAATAAAGCTGCTTGCACCGCACTCAACCACCTTCACCTCCTGCACACCACCATTCCCTAAAGAAGCATGTGTTGTAGAGAGCTGCTTGCACCGCGCTCAACCACACTCTATCGTACTCAACCGTTCTCACCCGCCACATGAGTGTGTAGTAGAGCTGCTTGCGGTATGCCCGGAAGCGCCGCACAAGGCTCTGCTCAAACGGCACCGTTTCGTGGCGGCAGCCAGAACTAGCACACACTTTACCGCACTACACTGTTATCTCCCTCTATCCCCTCACCCGCCACATAAGTGTGTAGTAGAGCTGCTTGCGGTAGCCCCGGAAGCGGCGCACAAGGCTCTCTTCAAACGACACGATGGGGGGGGGCAGCCAGAAGCCAGGCAGCTCGTCCGTGTCCATCTTCACCCGCCACCACCCCCCATGGCGCTCCATGTCCCTCTTCTCCCTCCTCTCCCTGCTCCACTCCTCTGACTCCTCTGCAGCTCTGTTCAGGGCATGGGTGCATGTGTGAGTAAGGGGTACAGAGGCACACAATCAAACAAAGAAGAGGGGATCACGACAGAAGGATTGGTAACAGAGGAGGGAGCAGCGCAACCAGAAGCCCGGCAGCTCGTACGTTTCCATCCACCACGCCCCATGGCGCTCCATGTCCCTCTTCTCCCTCCTCTCCCTGCTCCACTCCTCTGACTCCTCTGCGGCTCTGGTGGGGTGGGGGTTTATGTGGGGGTAACGAAACAAGGAGCACAGGCAGACGATAAGAATGGAAGGAGAAGTAAGTGCGTTTGGCTACAATTGGGCTCCATGTCACACGGCTGCATCCATGTCACACGGCTGCATCCATGCCACACGGCTGCATCCATGTCACACGGCTGCATCCATGCCACACGGCTGCATCCATGTCACACGGCTGCATCCATGTCACACGGCTGCATCCATGCCACACGGCTGCATCCATGTCACACGGCTGCATCCATGCCGACTCCAGTGTGCGCCGCTTAAGCCACTGGTGGCGTTGGTATGCTGATGCTGATGCTGATGCTGATGCTGATGCTGATTCTGATGCTGATGCTGACGCTGACGCTGACGCTGACGCTGATGCTGATGCTGATGCTGATGCTGATGCTGATGCTGATATGCTGATATGCTGATATGCTGATGCTGATATGCTGATATGCTGATATGCTGATATGCTGATATGCTGATATGCTGATATGCTGATATGCTGATATGCTGATATGCTGATATGCTGATATGCTGATATGCTGATGCTGATGCTGGCTGATGTTCCTCCTATAATGAAGCTCATAATCCTGTAGTCACCAGCATCTCACCGTTGAATGTAGTCAGTGGGCTGGCCATAATCGGGTTCCATGTCGCACGGCTGAAACCATGCGGACAGCAGCGCTGGTGATGATGCTGGTATACATGCTGATGCCGATGATGGCACTTGATACGATGCTGGCGCTGAGCCTTCTTACCGTTGAATGAAGTCAGTGGGCTGCCCATAATCGGGCTCCATGTCGCACGGCTGCATCCATGCCGACACCAGCGCTGATGGTACTGGAGATGATTCTGGTAATGATACTTCTGCTGAAGCACTGCTCGCGTCTCACCGTTGGATGAAGTCAGTGGGCTGCCCATAGTCAGGTTCCATGTCACACGGCTGCATCCATGCCGGCACCAGCTAATTCTGCTGATGATGCTCATGTTGACGCTGATGCTAATAATTATTCAAACAGTTAGCCCTGGTGCTGCTGCAAGCAGCAAGCTCATACCTTTGAATGAAGTCAGTGGGCTGCCCATAATCGGGTTCCATGTCGCACGGCTGCATCCATGCGGACACCAGTGTGCGGCGGGTGCGCTTGTCCACCAGCAGTGCCGACGCCGGCAGCCTCACTCTGTCGCGCACCATCGCCTGCAACACTTCCTGCATCTCCTGCACCAGACCTGGCAGGCGGGGGTGGCAAGGGAGGGAAAGGTCCAAGCGGTCTCGACACCAGAGTGTGGCGGGTGCGCTTGTCCACCAGCAGTGCAGATTCCGGCAGCCTCACTCTGTCCCGAACCATCGCCTGCAAAACTTCCTGCATCTCCTGCACCAGACCTGGGAGGCGAGGTGGGGGGGGTCGAGAGAGGAAAAAACGGATCATTGCAAATGGAATTGGGAAAGGTTAAAGTGGTCTTGGCACCAGCGTGCGGCGAGTGCGCTTGTCCAGCAGCAATGCCGACGCCGGCAGCCTCACTCCGTCTCGCACCATTGCAGTCAGCACCTCCTGCATCTCCTGCACCAGACCTGGGAGGTGGGGGGGGTGATGGAGGACATGACAAGCATATTTCAAGTTTTGAGTCGACTCAAAACTCGACTTATCACATGGGGGGGGTGATGGAGGACATCATAAGCATATTTCAAGGAAACGGGCAAAGGGTCAAGCTGACACACACCCACCTGTCACTTGCAAACGCCCCATTCATTGTTATCTCTCACATATCCTGTGGTAGCACGTTGATTGCGACCTGCGTTCCTATCAAATTAACCAACCTATCCATCATCTGAAACGTCCATCAACTGAGGCTCACCTGCTCGGCAGAGCACTCTGAGGAAGAGGGCGGTGGCGTGGTAGCGCTCCCCCCTCTGCACGTTCAGGCAGGTCATCTGGCCTGGCAGCCAATATCGGACTTTTGAGGCGCCTCACAAGTCGGGACCCACCTGCTCGGCAGAGCGCTCTGAGAAAGAGAGCCGTGGCGTGGTAGCGGTCGCCGCTCTGCACGTCGAGGCAGTTCATCTGGCCTGGCAGGCGCTGCAGGGCCTTTTGAGGCGCCTTGAGGCGCCTCAGAAGTCACAACCCACCTGCTCGGCAGAGCGCTCTGAGGAAGAGAGCGGTGGCGTGGTAGCGCTCCCCCCTCTGCACGTCGAGGCAGGTCATCTGGCCTGGCAGGCGCTGCAGGGCTCGGAAGTGGCGCACGGCCTCTGATAGGAAGTTCCAGTCCTTGCAGAATATCTCCACTAGCAGACTGGGAGGAGGAAAAATGAGGGGGGGTGGGGGAGGGGCAAAGGCAGGGAACACAGCTATGGGGAAGAGGTGTGGGGGGAAGGGAAGTGCTGCACGGCCTCTGATAGGAAGTTCCAGTCCTTGCAGACTATCTCCACCAGCAAACTGGAGAGACGAAAGGGGGCGGGGGGGGGGGGGGCATAGGTAGAGGACAAGGGTATGGGGAAGAGGTGTGGGGGGGAAGTGCTGCACGGCTGATAGGAAGTTCCAGTCCTTGTGGTATATCTCCACCAGTAGACTGGGAAGGGGAGGGGGAGCAGGGTGAAGGGAGAGGTAGAGGACCGGGAAATGGGGGACAGGTGTGTGGGGAAGTGGCGCACCCACCTATGGGGAAAACGAATGCCAATTGACACATACTCACACTGAAGCAGCAGTGATGGCGGCACAGAGAAGGGATGGAAAGCAAGGCCACATATGCACATACATGCTCTTGAGAATTCTCATAAGTGATATGCACATACATACTCTTGAGAATTCTCATAAGTGATATGCACATACATGCTCTTGAGAATTCTCATAAGTGATATGCACATACATACTCTTGAGAAGTCTCATAAGTGATATGCACATACATACTCTTGAGAAGTCTCATAAGTGATATGCACATACATACTCTTGAGAAGTCTCAAATGTGATATGCACATACATACTCTTGAGAAGTCTCATAAGTGATATGCACATACATACTCTTGAGAATTCTCATAAGTGATATGCACATACATACTCTTGAGAAATCTCAAAAGTGATATGCACATACATACTCTTGAGAAATCTCAAAAGTGATATGCACATACATACTCTTGAGAATTCTCATAAGTGATATGCACATACATACTCTTGAGAAATCTCAAAAGTGATATGCACATACATACTCTTGAGAAATCTCAAAAGTGATATGCACATACATACTCTTGAGAAATCTCAAAAGTGATATGCACATACATACTCTTGAGAATTCTCATAAGTGATATGCACATACATACTCTTGAGAATTCTCATAAGTGATATGCACATACATACTCTTGAGAAATCTCATAAGTGATATGAACATACATACTCTTGAGAAATCTCAAAAGTGATATGCACATACATACTCTTGAGAAATCTCAAAAGTGATATGCACATACATACTCTTGAGAAATCTCAAAAGTGATATGCACATACATAATCTTGAGAAATCTCAAAAGTGATATGCACATACATACTCTTGAGAAATCTCAAAAGTGATATGCACATACATACTCTTGAGAATTCTCATAAGTGATATGCACATACATACTCTTGAGAAATCTCAAAAGTGATATGCACATACATACTCTTGAGAAATCTCAAAAGTGATATGCACATACATACTCTTGAGAAATCTCAAAAGTGATATGCACATACATACTCACAATCAAGCAACAGCGAGGGCACGGATACGGCAAGCCATGCAAAGCAATGCTATGCGAGGGCACAGATATGGCAAGCCATGCAAAGCAATGCTATGCGAGGGCACTTACGAAGAGACATATCAACAGGGAAGGCGCAGTGAAGGCATGAGATGCAAGGATTTGGCACGTACGCATAGGTCTCCCCTCTCCCCCTCTCCGCTCTCCCCTCCTCCCGCTTGCCCGTCTCGCCTCTTCCCCTCTCCCCCTTCCCCGTCTCGCCTCTTCCCCTCTCCCCCTTCCCCGTCTCGCCTCTTCACCTCTCCCCCTTCCACTCTCAACTCGCCCGCACCCCACACGCGCCAGGCTACATCTCGCCGTGGACGGGGCGGTTCTACTCGCTGCTGGACCCCACGTACGCCAAGGACAACATCCCCATCATCGTCTCTGTCTCCCTCCGTCTCCCTCCCTCTCCCTCCATCTCCCTCCGTGCCACTCCCTTCCCTCTCTCCCCTCTCCCCAACTTTCCTTCTCCTGCTGCCCTCCCCACACGCGCCAGGCTACATCTCGCCGTGGACGGGGCGGTTCTACTCGCTGCTGGACCCCACGTACGCCAAGGACAACATCCCCATCATCGCCTGTCTCGCTCCCTTCTTCTCTCCCACCTCCCCTCGCCCCATGTCCCGCTTTTTCCCCACACCCCCCGCGCGCCAGGCTACATCTCCCCATGGACGGGGCGGTTCTACTCGCTGCTGGACCCCACGTACGCCAAGGACAACATCCCCATCATCGCGTCCGTGTCGGAGCACCAGCCCACCGCCTGGTCCTCCTTCTTCTTCGACTTCCACATCCTCCTCATCCTCTTCCCCGCTGGTCAGTACCGCATTTCCGCCCCTCCTCCCCATAATTCTCTTCCCTCCCTCCTTCCCGCCCCTTCCCCCCCTCTTTACTTCCCCTTTTGCCTCCTTCCCTCCCTCCCGCTGCTCCCCTCCCTCTTTTCTTCCCCTCTTCGTCGTCTCATTTCAAAGAGAAAACTGTATTTTCCGCCATGCACTCCCCTCCCTGTCGCCTCCTTCTCCCCAAACCCCCGTCCTCCCCCCCTTGCTTTGCTCCGTATCTGTGCCTTCCCCTATGTGCCAACCCCCCACCGTGTCCACCTTCCACCCGCCCCTCCTCTCCCCCCACCTCTCCCCGTGCCAAATCCTCCTCCTCCCTCCATGCCAAACCCCCCACTGTGCCAAAACCTCCCTTTCCATGGCAACTTGCCCAGGGCTCTACTTCTGCTTCAAGCGTCTGAACGACGCCTCCATGTTTGTGATCATCTACGGGCTCACAGCCATGTACTTCGCGGGAGTCATGGTGCGCCTCATCCTCGTCGCCACGCCCGCCCTCTGCCTGCTCGGCGCCGTTGCTGTCAGCGCCTCGCTCTCCCGCCTCTCCGTCATCGCCCGCGAGAAGACCCCCGAGCCTGCTGCTGCTGCTGCTGCTGCACCCAGCTCTGGGAAGCTGTCTGGGAAGGCCAGAGACAAGCTGAAGGTGAGTGGGGATGCATGGAAGGAAGGAATGCTGGGCTCGGGATGTGCCTGTCACAGGTGTGCCTGTAACAACCTCGCACTTCAAATCTGCGCTCTCCTTTTTTTCCCCATTATTTTTCTCCCCTCGTGTTTGTCGCTCCTGCTGCCCCTGCCCCTCTCCCTGTGCGCGCCCTCTGCCGGTGACAGGGTGCGCAGGACAGCTCGCTGCCGTACCAGAAGGAGGGCGCGGTGGTGCTGATAGCGGGGATATTCTTCTGCCTCATCAACTTCGCACGGCACTGCACGTGGGTGACGTCAGAGGCGTACTCGTCCCCGTCCATTGTGCTCATGGCCCGCCAGCACAACGGCGACCGCGTCATCTTTGATGACTTCCGTGAAGCCTACTTCTGGCTCAAGCACAACACCAAGCCCGATGCCAAGGTGCGTGGATGGGTGGGTGGGTGGGGGACTGGGTAAGGGGTTGAGTGGGTGGGGATGACTGTTGAGGTGCCTCAAATGTCATCTTTGATGACTTCCGTGAAGCCTACTTCTGGCTCAAACACAACACCAAGCCCGATGCCAAGGTGCGTGCTCCCTGGGGGGAGGGGTTGTTGAGGGGTGGGTGTGTATGTGTGAGTGGTGAGGTTGCTCACAGGTCGCTTGTGATGACTTCCGTGAGGCCTACTTCTGGCTCAAGTACAACACCAAGCCCGACGCCAAGGTGCGTGCGTGCGTGCGTGCGTGCGTGCGTGCGTGCGTGCGTGTGTTAGGGGGGAAGAGGAGGGGGGTGGGTGGGTGACGTCAGAGGCGTACTCGTAGCCGTCCATTGTGCTCATGGCCCGCCAGCACAACGGCGGCCGCGTCATCTTTGATGACTTCCGTGAAGCCTACTTCTGGCTCAAACACAACACCAAGCCCGATGCCAAGGTGCGTGGGGGTGTGTAGCTCAACGCCAAGCCCTGGTGGCTGCCTAGGGGGTGGGGCTGGGCGGGGGAGAGGGTGTATGTGTGTGATTGCTGAGTCGCCTCAAAGGTCATCTTTGATGACTTTCGTGAGGCCTACTTCTGGCTCAAACACAACACCAAGCCCGACGCTAAGGTGCGTTTGGTGATGGGGGGTTGGATAGGGGGTTGAATGGGTGGGTGGGTGTGTATGTGTGCGACTGTTGAGGCACCTCAATGGTTATCTTTGATGACTTCCGTGAGGCTTACTTCTGGTTCAAGCACAACACCAAGCCCGACGCTAAGGTGCATGTGTGGGCGTGTCAGTGTGTGTGTGTGCGTGTGAGTGTGCGTGTTCGTGCCTACCCCCAAGTCCTTGACATCCCAACCCCACACCCACTGTCCCCTCTCTCCCCCCCCCCCTCGAGGTGATGTCATGGTGGGACTACGGGTATCAGATCACAGCGATGGCGAACCGCACGATGATAGTGGACAACAACACGTGGAACAACACTCACATCGCCACCTGCCCTCTCTCCCCCCATGCTACACTCCCTCCTCCTCTCCCCACCCCTCCCCAGGTGATGTCATGGTGGGACTACGGGTATCAGATCACGGCGATGGCGAACCGCACAGTCATAGTGGACAACAACACGTGGAACAACACTCACATCGCCACTGTGGGGCGCGCCATGGCCTCCCATGAGGAGCAGGCGTATGGCATCATGCAGCAGCTGGACGTTGATTATGTGCTCGTGGTGTTCGGAGGTGTCACAGGTTATTCCTCCGACGATATCAACAAGTGAGCCGCGTTTGCTTGCATGCTGTTGGTTAGGGCTTGAGAGGGGTTGAGAGGGGTTGTGAGGGTCAGGCAGCAGCGTTTGTCTCTGTGGGTGGGTCATGCTATGGCTTGTGGTACGAGGAGCAGGCGTATGGCATCATGCAGCAGCTGGACGTTCACTATGTGCTCGTGGTGTTCGGTGGGGTTACGGGGTATTCCTCTGAGGATATCAACAAGTGAGTGGGTTCTGCTCTGCTCTGTGTGCTGTTGGGTGCGACTCGCCATGCCGTGGTGTGCCTCCTCGTATTGAGGAGCAGGCGTACAGCATCATGCAGCAGCTGGACGTGGACTACGTGCTCGTGGTGTTCGGAGGGGTTACAGGTTATTCCTCCGACGATATTAACAAGTGAGAGAGGGCTTGGCTTGGTGTGCTGTTGGGTTGTGGTAGAGCGTTAGAGAGGATGGTGACATGTTGTATGAGCAGTAGCCACATGCCATGTTTGTGGATGGTGGATGGTGATTAGTGCCTTAGGTTATGGGGACTTGGTTTGTGGATCGCCCTATTCCTTGAATGGTGCTCATAGGAGGGAGCATGTTCCTCAACATCAAGAACTTCCCCCTTTCCGCTCTCCCCTCCTTCCCCTCCCCCGCCCCTCTCCTCTCTTCTCCACCCCCCCCCCCCCTCCCCGCCCTCCCATCAGGTTCCTGTGGATGGTGCGCATAGCAGGCGGTATGTTCCCGGACATAAAGGAACTCTAAAGTCTCCCCTCCCCTCCCCTCCACTCCTCTCCCCTCGACTCCCCTCCCCTCCCCTCCCATCCCCTCCCCTCCCCTCCCCTCCGTCTTCTCCCCCCTCTCCCCCCCGCAGGTTCCTGTGGATGGTGCGCATCGGAGGGGGTGTGTTTCCGGACATAAAGGAGCCGGACTATCTCAACAATGGGGACTACCGCACGGATGCCAATGGCTCACCCAAGATGCTCAACTGCCTCATGTGAGTGCCCCCTTGAGTCGTCTCAAAGCGTTGCTGCCTCATGTGAGTGCTGCTCATGTGAGTGAACATCATTTCGCATGTTCAGTCCCATTTGTATGACTCCTCATGGGGCCATCACCGCCACTCCATACGGGCCCCATCCTTTCGCCCTGTGTAACTCACTTGCCCCTTCCCGCTGCTCCTTTGCATTCCTGCTAAAGCTTCACTCTTTCCCTGGCTGCCTGTTGGCCTAACCCATATCGTCTGCCATGTCACCCTGGTGCGGGATGGTGATGGGTGGGCATGCTTGCTGTGCCGCATTGCCATGGCCGTGCGTGCTGTCTGTCTGGGTGTGCATCACGGCAGGTACAAGATGTGCTACTACCGCTTTGGCGAGCTGCAAACGGAATATGGCAAGCCAACCGGGTGAGTGATAGGAGGGGAGGGGAATCGGGGGAGTGACCAGGTGAAAGAGAGGGCAATGCAAGCTTGTGAGTGAAAAGGCAAGGCATATGGTGAGTGAGGGGGTGAGGCAGGAGGGCAAGGGCAGCTGTGTGCACGCAATGGCATTCGCAGATGCTGCTTGCCGTTCATCTCCATCTCTTCAACCCATCACTCTTCGTGGGCAAGCTATGCCGCAAGGAGATATATCCCTCCCCCTCTCATCGCACGCTTTCTGTTGTGCACTTAATCCGCACTCAGTCTGTCAAGCACTCTCATCCTCCCCTGCTTCACCTTGCGCAGGTGGGACCGAGCACGAGGGTATGAGATAGGCAACAAGGACATCGAGCTGGAGTACATTGAGGAGGCGTTCACCTCTTCCAACTGGATCGTGCGCATCTACCGTGTCAAGCAGCCCGACAACCGCTGGTAGCACACCCTTGCATGCCTGCTCACGCCTGCTCAGGCTGCTGGGGCTGCTGGGGCTGCTGGGGCTGCTGGGGCTGCTGGGGATCTATCAGGTCAATCCTCGCTTCGACGTGGACAGAGGGTAGCAGTGGCAAGAGCACGGAAACAGGGGACAGAACAGGGGAAGGCAGGAGCAGAGTATTGAACCCCGCAGTGCTCCCCTGGTGGCACAGGGGGAGGGCTATAGGGTGGGTATTCAACTAGCCAAAGAACTGGCCAATCAGCTGGTCACAGCAGTCTGGTGGGGGGAACCTCTCCCACTGTCCCTCCCTGCTTGCCATCTGTTCGGGTTTGACCTGCCGTTTGGGTAGTTTTCATGTCTGTCCGTTTGGTTCTGTGCGTATCAAGGAGGCGGCGGGGGGGGGGGGGGGGGGGCTTCTGCCACCAGATCATCTTCTGATGAAGGCATCCTGGCTCTCAGCTTGGGTTGGGTTACTCCTGAATGCTGCCCTGAACACCACCTTGAGAACCCACCTTGAGACATGCATGGCAAGACGACATGGCTGCACACATCATGGTAGTAATTGTGTTGCTGGGGGGCGGTATTCCTGTTTATCAGCCTGGCACCTGTTGAGAGTGTGATCTGATTATACTAATGCACTGTGTGATGTGGCTGCTGATTCAACTACCTATATGTTGAGACTGCCTGTGGAAGGGATTTACAAAAAGCATATAAAAATAGCAAAATGCACTGCAAGGTGAGGTGCAACTAAACCATAAACTCTAGTAGCTACAAATCCGGCAAGGTGCCACTACAAATCCAGCTGGATCCTGCACCTCTCCACTTCAGCCTTTAGCTTCTCAACTTTCACCCTGTACTGCTCCCCCTAAACTTTCTGCTTCTCCCCCTCGTCCTTCCTGCTCTTCCCCTTGTCCCTGTGCTTCTTGCAAGCGATTTGAAATGGCGAGAGCGAGAGCGTAGGCCTGCTTGCGCTTCACTCGCAATGTCTCTGCTGCCATCCTTGCAGCCTGCACAGGTGCAGGGGCAGGAGAAGGTCCATATGCCCCGGCAGCAGCAAACACACACCAGCGAAAAATGAGAGGGGGGTAAGGATGAGGGTGACTGAAAGGAGGGGTTCCGAAGCCTTGAAATCCTGCAAAACAAGGTGAAGGTGCCTCAAGAACACCCTGTGAGCTAACCTGGGAGGGGGGTGTGCCGACGTGAATCAGCTTCTCAAGATAAGCTGTCACCTCCTCCTCTCCTGTCTGCTGCGATGCCTCCAGGTCCTTTCGGGGCAGCCCGTCAATTACCAGGGTAAATTCCCCTTTTGGCCCGCGTGCCGTGTATTCCGCAAGTGCCTCTGAGAGCGTTCCTCGCCACAGCTGAGCAAGAGAGTGGGCAAACAGAAAAATGCGGGCAGGATTTAGAAAACTGAAGGAGCTGTATGTTCAAGACAGAGTGTATCGTCAGCTCGTTTAGTTTTCTACAAAAGAATATCATCAGGTTGCCGTAACTCTACAAGCGCAGATAATAGGGCCTCGACGAACCTCTTCATGCAGTTTGGTGAGTTCCCGAGCCACGAGGCACGGGCGGTCCGGGCCAAAGGCGTCAACGCAGTGGGAGAGCGAGGAGAGCAGCTTGTGTGGAGCCACAAACAGCACCTGCATCGCCTCCCCCTGCGCTGCTTCCTTTAGCCGACGCTGCCTCACTGCCGATCGCTCTGGGAGGAACCCCACTGGATGGGCAATGCAATGAAGGAGGCATGGACGAGGGAGGAGAGCAGCTTGTGCGACACAAAGCGCTGCAAAGCGAAGAGACAAAGCAGAGCAGCACAGCAGAAGACGGAGATCACCCACATGAGCCTTGTCACGCACAGAAGGTGAAGCCGTTGGTGAGAAAGCCAGCAGCCGCAACCGCAGTGGTGGCAGCAGAGGGGCCGGGAATCACGCTGACAGGGACTGCTGACTCAGCGCACGCGGCGACCAGGTCAGCACCGGGGTCGCTGACGCCCGGCATGCCTGCGTCAGACACGAGCGCGAGCGATTGGCCGGATCGCATCCGACCAATGAGAGCCTCTCGACGAGCCGTGGCATTGAAGGCATGGTAACTCATCTGCACATTGTACAAAACAGACGGACCGGAGGGAGGTATAGCACGTTGGAACGTTGTAACAGGCTGAATAAGAGAGGGAGCAGGGGAGAGAGGGGAGGAAAAGAGCATGTGTTCTCAACGTGTAGGATGCTAAAGCAAATAATATATATATATATATGTATATAAACAATAGAGAAAGCAGCGCACCATGGGTGTGGTGATGCCGTAGAAGCGCAGCAGCTTGACCGAGCGGCGAGTGTCCTCTGCAAGAATGAGGTCGGCACAGCGCAGCACCCTCAGCGCCCTGGTGGGGGCAGGGGGGTGTGGTGCGGTGGTGTGGGGTGGTGATGGGGGATGGTGGTGTGGGATGGTAACCACACCCATCTGATGGTAACCGCAACCATCTGATGGTAACCGCACCCACCTGATGGTAACCGCACCCACCTGATGGTAACCGCACCCACCTGATGGTAACCGCACCCACCTGATGGTAACCGCACCCACCTGATGGTAACATCTTCTAAGTTGCCGATAGGTGTTCCCACCAGATACAGTCCGGGGGGCAAGCGCAGCTGCAGGGGTGCATGATGGGATGGTTGAACGGAGAAGAGGGAAGAGGAGTGTGTGGGAGGGGGGAACAAAGGGGATGGGAAGGGGAAAGGTTAGGTGGGGCAAAAGAGGGCAAGTGCAAAGATTCAGGAAAAGGAGGGGGGGAGTTGTAAAAGGCATGGTGCTCCTTGGAACCACGTGGAACCACGTGGGACCACTTGGAATCACACAGATTCCTACACAACGGGTGATACCTTGTCCGGCCATTTGCACATGTCCTCGTTATAGAGCCGTTCGTTTCTGCCTTCTCCGTCCTCTGCTAATACCTCCTCCTCCCCAGCTCCTTCCTCCTCGCTGTTCCCCCTCAGCATCAGCTCCGTGTCGCTTCCCCCCGTGTCGCCTCCACTCGCGTCGCCGCCAATCGCGCTGCGCCTCTTGACTTGCGCTCGATAGTTCTCGCCGTCGTCAGCCGTCGTCCCGCCAACCGCGGCAGAATCGCGTCGCGCGATTCCACCAGCCGTGACTCCGCGCTGCGCATATCCCCTGAAACCCCCCTCCGAACCAACGTAGAACCCGCGAGTGCACAGAAACGCTCTTCTCCGTTGTCCTCGCGATCTTGCATTCCATGGTTGCGACGGATCCCCTTCAGGTGATTCCATCCGCCCGTGTTTTCCGGACACATTTGTGAAGCCTCGAAAATCAAAATGTCGATAAGCTGCGTGTATTCTTCGCGGGAGATTCGGAGTTACGCTGCGAGTCAGCCTTCCTGCGGCCCTTGATAACACCAGCCTGCCCGCAGCGTGCGCTGCAGCCATGGCACCTCGTCAGTCAACAGTTCAGAGGCATAGGCACGTCAGAGAGTGTGTGAGTTGCGGCGAATCTGACGACAACTCGTGAGGTGGGCCCCTGAAATTCGGTAGTTTCTCGTTCTCCGCACAATTCGCCATGAAATGCGGTGCGTGTTGTGACATCGAGAGGAACTCGAGAATCCAATTGCTGGCACATTTTTCCATTCATGATATTCAATAGCCTACGATGTGTGTTACTGTACGAAACGTGAGAGCCTACAAATACGAAACTGCAACCTATGAGACGTGGCATTTTCAATATCGAGGATGGTCCAGATTGATTTGAAACTTGTGGAGGTATGTGAGGCGAGAATCCCAGTTGTTCGCCGAGAATTTTCGCGAATGCGCGAAGGTTTTGTTGGCGAGCCGGCTTCACGAATCGGAAACATGGCCTCGTCAGTTGCACGTCTGATGGCTAGCGATGATTTCGTAGACACGGGACACGTGTCGCAGAGGACCACGATTCGCCAACCGCATCTCCGCTCTACCCCCTCGGAATTATGCGTCTCCCCGTAGCTCACAACGGCGGCACCGATTCCTCTAGTCACTGTTCATGGGGTCCCTGATTCGCATGGCATCGCAACTCCTTTGTGCGACTGGAAAAGTCGTCGCGTCGTGAATCGTGATGACATGCTTGCAGGCTCGCACGGCCCTTGAATCTGAACCTGGTGACCAGATTCGTAAACTCGCATGGTCAACACACTCACGCACAGCTCAACGAGGAAGACGATTCGTCAGGCCCTCGTGAAGTCTCATCAATGATGCATCGTGCCGAATTGGGTAGATGAGGCGCGTGTCGCTCAACCACAACCATCGGTCGCAACGACTTGTCGTTCCCGAATTTCACCGTAATTCTGCGCCTCGAAGTGCCCTCACCTTCCCCTTCCCCCTTCTCGCCCTTGCTTTCGTCATTCGCTCCCCTGCAGTGTCACACCCACCCGCCATTCAAAAGCTCAAAGCAAGCACCATTGCGAAACAATCAAGCCAACAGAGCAGTTGTCTTTATCCCAGTTAGCTGTAGTGAGGTCAGGAAAGCAGGGAGAGCAACTAAAAGCACCCCCAGCTTCTCCAACAGCCCGACGAGTTTATTCGTAGTGCTCGCTTCTGCTGTTAGGGAAGGCCGTTGCAGGAAGTTTACTTGAAACCTCACTTGAGTAGGAGCTAACATCGTTCTCGGCTCAGCCCCTCCCTTTTCACTCCGCGTCCGTCGACAACTGCGAGCCAAAATGGTGCAGATTAAAGAATTGTAAGAAGCATTTCTTTTACATCGTTGCGTCTCAGCTCGCCGCTCCAATTCCGATTGGTTCTCAATCTTCTATCTGCTTTGCGCGACGCGAACTGTGTGATTCTCGCCTGTGGTAGGAAGTTCTGCTTGTTTTGTTAGAGTTTGCGTCTCGAAACTCCAATTGAGTGCTGTTGTCAAGATTTCGTGCAAGAATTACGTCTGACCCGCCTCGTGCTTCTGTTTCTGCTTTTGTTTCTTTTGCGTGGACCCCGGGTTCCTCCCTCGCGACTATCGACCGTTTCCTTGTCAATGGCAACGGCGCTCATTGTGCGCGTCACTCGTCCCTTCTAAATTGTTTCGCGCCCGTGATCGCCTGTGCTCCATCCTCAGCCGGATCACCATGCCTTTTACTCTCGACGAGGTACGCTTACGTGAATCAACCGGCTCACTCGGCTTTTCGCGTCCCTTCCAACTCAACTTAGACCAGCGAGTGAAGCACATCAGCGCATATTCCTCTCCATGCCCTTACCATCCCGCATCCTCACCTTTCTCTCATCTTTCCCCGTCTCCGCCCTCCATTTCTCCCTCACATTCCATTCTCAAATGTGCCAGTATCGAGTGGGGAACACGTACATGCGGTCGCGCATGCAAATGGAGAACACCAAGGGGCGCGAGGGAATCGAGGTGATCGCAAGCGAGCCGTTTAAAGACGACGTCTTGGGCGAGGGGCACTTCTCGCACGTCGTCTATCACTTCCAAAGCCGTGCGCCCGCGTGGATCCGCGCGCTCGCTCCGGTCGAGGCGCTGCGGCTCGAAGAAAAGAACTGGAACGCGTTTCCCCGATGCCGTACGGAGATTAGCGTAAGCCTGCAGGGGGTGGGGATGGAGGGGGGGGGAAAGGGAGGGAGAAAGCGGGAGCGGGGACGGCGGGGAGTGGGCGCTGAGAAACCAAATCGTGGTTTAAAGAAAGACGTACATGGAAAATCATGGTGTGCGCTGATTGCTCCCCTACCGCGTGCATGAGATATTAAAGACCGTGCTCCACCTCTCCTGTCTTCCCCGTTCGTCACAGTGCCCGTACTTCTCCAACTACAAGATCACCACCGACTCGTTTCACGTCGCCGACCGTGGCGAATCCGAGAACGTGAGTGTCGCACACACTGTCGCAGGGTAATTCGCATGCCAGGGGAATTTTCAAGTCTGCTAGAAGCTCGCATTGGCTGAAATTGAACTTGTCGATGTGGCATGAAGAGCACTGAAACATTCCAGATTGTTCTGCGAAATCCTTTGCGCTTACCTCCGTGTGCGACCTGCTCGCGAGCCGTCTTGGTCCTCAAACCCCCATGCGACTCGTCTCATCCCCATCCGCGTCGTCCGCCAGGCGTTGAAGCTGTCGGATGCTGAGCTGGAGCTGCGCAAGGTGGATCACGTGGACATCGCGTCGGCCGACAGGGACATGTGGTCGCGGACCATCGCGCGGAAGCGCACCGACCCCTCCAAGATCGCCCTGCTGAAACTCAACCGCGGGCCTCTCGCCCCCGGGTGGCAGGTAAGCAAATCCTGGTAACGATATTATGGTGACCAGCCAGATTTTGTCGCAAATTTTCTCTTTTGAAGGCCCACCAATCCCAATTTCGTTACACTGGTTGGCATGTAATGACTGGGTGCCCCTGGATGTTGACGGCTCAAGTTCAAATTTGAATTCCTCTTCTCTGTTACCGGATGCAGGCCACGTGTCAGCCTGTAATGACGGTCTACAAGGTGGTACACGTGGACGCGCCTTACTGGGGGATCGGCAGGCAGATGGAGCTCGCAACAATCGCGGTGAGTGTGCTGTCGTGTGGTGTTCTGTCAGCTATCGCAATCGGTTTTCGTTGCACCCCTTTAACAACTGCAGCTGTTGCTGTTTTCATGAGTGTCATAGCTCTTGCAAGGGTCTCTTTCAGTGTAAGCCTTATCTAACCCTAGTACATCCCCGTCCCACCTCCCCACCATTCTCAGGCGCAACGCGCGCTTTATCTGGAGGCGCACAGGAAGTGCTATGGGTGGGCGGACGATTGGTGCTCATTGACTGTGGCTGATGCACGGCGGATAGAGCAGGAGAACATTGACAAAATGCGAAAGGTGAGGGTCTGGTGGCAGTTTGGCGTGAAACACGTGTCAAAGGCCAAAAGGCACCTATCATCATCACCCTAATCGTAACCTTGTTCGTGTCCTCATCCCACCATTTGCCCACAGAGCCTTTCCTTGAGTGACCGCTTTGACGAAGAAGCTTTTAGCGAGTCAACAGAGGATGCCGAGGAAGTGGAGGAGGAGGAAGAAGAAGAGGGCATGTTCAACTCGGTGGCAGCCCTGCCTGCCGTTGCTTCTGTAGCTGCATGAATTCTAGTCATGGACGACAATAAAGTCGCATCGCTGCGGTGCCATGGGGTCACTGGACACACTAAGATGACCAGCAGTGGCTGGGTGGAGAGTGCAAGAATAGGCTTGCAGTAGGTGCGAAACTGAGTAGGCAACAAGGTGGGTGGCAGCATGGCACATCTCACTACAGCAAGTGTCATGACTAGGAGGACAGACAGTTGGTACCACAGATCTATTTATGTATAAAACTACTGGCTTATTGGCCTGCTGTTATTCCCTCCAGGGTGAGGTATTATGGTAATATTTACCAAGAATAGGGGCATGGATAAGGGAAGAGATGGTTGGCTTGGCATGCCTGTTCATGTACAACCCCACAACTCCAGCACTGGAAGAGATGTGGCCAGAAATTTTGCACGACACCAAGGTGTGTATGCGTGACCTTCCCTTGCACCAAATCGCAGGAGAGGAGAGATGGGTGATGTTCAATGTGTTCATGAGTGATGTTCAATGTTGAGGAGAGATGTACACAGACTTCGATATTTTTTTCTGGGGAGTAGGTGATAAAACACTTGCTCTGATTTCTCATATGCTTTTGCGGCTTGATTGTTACCGGAGCTGTTCTTACTGTTGAGATGAATGTTCCCCATCTGAACGGCATTATCCAATCCAAGCATCACAATTCATGACTTCGGCGCGTCGTAACCCAATTGCTGCAGTCGCTGAAAGTTCGCACGACGGAGTCACTTCCAACCATCGTCGCATTCTGCGCGAACAGCACGTACTGGTAACAAGGCACTCTATACGCCCGTCGATTCGCGAAGCTCTCGCGAATGCCAGTCGTGCAACTTTTTGAATCCAACAGTCGAAGCGCATATCGTTCCACCATCACCACCACCATCCGCTTCCGCGACACAACAAGCGGTCGCTCGCCCTATCCGCAACACAGCTGCCACTTGAATTCCCCCACCCTTGCCGTCCGCTCGAATCTATCGTCCCCTACCCTCCTCCCCAGTCCCCGCTAAGCTGAAAACCCTTTTCCCTCGTTCCACTCCATCTGCTATACAAATAGCGAGGCAAGAATCCCGTTAGCTCCCATTCCCCCAACCAACCAACCCCACCAAGCTGCTTCCGTCGCCCTCGCAGCCCGACCAAACCAGCTGACACCCATCCCAGCCCTCTTCTCCTCCAACGACAGAAGACGAGAAAGAGCAACTCAACGCACCGCCAACTCCTCGAGCACGCTTTTACGAACATCTAGTCTCTGCTGCAAAAGGTGTCTGTAGAAGGAAAGTGTCGAATTGGCCGGGAATCCTCGCTCACCTCACCCAACGATCTTGCGTCAACCTCAGCTCTGCCCCCTCCCGTTTCGCTCCGCGCTCGTCGACAACTGCTAGCCAGAATGGTGCAGATTAAGGAATTGTAAGATGCAAAACGATTTCCCGTACGCGCTAATATTGCTCGTTTACCAGAGTATTCTCTAACTTGTTCCCCTCCTGCGTGTTTCTTGTTTTGCGTCGTCGCGGTGCTCCCTCGCCGCGATATCATTGTGGCGATATCGACGGCCATCTGCGCTCGTCGCTCGCCTCTCGTCGTCCGTCCCGCGTGGTCCACCATCTTCAGCCGCATCACGATGCCCTTTTCACTCGACGAGGTACGCACACGCACGCGCATACCCTGCGCACGCGCACCCGCATACCCTGCGCACGCGCACGCGCATACCCTTGCGCATTCACCCTTCAACTCATGCCCCGCAACGCAACTTGAGGCAACAAGAAAATTTACCCACCCTTTCTTACTAAACGGAAGGGGCACACGTACATGCAGTCGCGCATGCAACCTCCCTTCACTCACCTTCCCCGTCTCTCTCCTCAACTCTTCCCCAACATTCTCCCCGTACACGTGACAGTATCACGTGGGGCACACGTACATGCGGTCGCGCATGCAGATGGAGAACACCAAGGGGCGCGAGGGCGTAGAGGTGATCGCCAGCGAGCCGTTCAAAGACGACGTCTTGGGCGAGGGGCACTTTTCGCACGTCGTGCACCACTTTCAGGGCCGCGCGCCCGCGTGGATTCGCGCGCTCGCGCCGCTCAAGGCGCTGCGGCTCGAGGAGAAGAACTGGAACGCGTACCCGCGCAGCCGCATGGAGCTCAGCGTAAGCTCGACGGGGAAGGGGAGGGGAGGCGGAAGGGGAAAGAGGGTAGCGGTGTCGAGAAACCGAGGCGGCATTTCTAGTGTGTCGTGCGCGTTGTGATTTGGCTACGCGCTGTTTGCTGTTTGCTTCCCCTATCTCATGCGTTAGTATTTTCTGACTCATTTTTCGCCTCTCCCGTCTCCCCCTGTTTCCCCTTCCCCCCCCCCCGTCACAGTGCCCGTATTTCACCAACTTCAAGATAGTCGTCGACACATATCACCTCGCCGACCGAGGCGACACGGAGAACGTGAGTGTCTCCCGTCCCGGGTTTAGGATGCTGGTATTCGCCAGGGGTAGGCGTAGAGGTCTAGAATAAATGAATCTCGAAAGCAATGTGAGACATGTTTTTGTGGTTTTTGTGGTTCCCAGACTCCATTACTTGTGCTCCTCTCGCCTTAATTTGGTCCTCACCCCGCCACTCCCCTTCCGCTCCCCCCACCCCCCATTCGTCTCGTCTCGTCATCCATTCTTCTTTGCCCTTCAGGCGCTGAATCTCCCAAAAGCTGACCTGGCGCTGCGCAAGGTGGACCACGTGGACATCGCGTCGGCCGACAGGGACATGTGGTCGCGAATCATCGCACGGAAGCGCACCGACCCCTCCAAGATCGCCCTGCTTAAACTCAACCGCGGCCCGCTCGCCCCCGGATGGCAGGTAAGAATGGAGGGTAATCAGTTGCCACTATTAGCTTGCATGTGGCTGCTAATCATAGCATGTTATATTGAACGAAATTGACGAGTACATTGTTCCCGACCGTTCCTTTCCGCGTGCAGGAATCGTGTGAGCCTGTGATGACGTCGTACAAGGTGATTCGCGTGGACGCGCCCTACTGGGGGTTCGGCAGGCAGATGGAGCTGGCCGCAATCGCCGTGAGTGCTGTCTTGTCGTCGTCGCTGCTTTGGTTCATGCCATTGTTAGGACGCTGCACAGGTCGCTATTTCTATTCTAACCCGTGTCTCCTCCCCTCCTCTCATTCTCCCCCTCCAATGCTCCCCCCTTCACCCCCCTTCCCCTTTCTCCCCGCGCTCCCCATTCAATCTCAGGCGCACCGTGCTCTTTACTTGGAGGCATACAGGAAGTGCTACGCTTGGGCGGACGAGTGGTGCGAGATGACTGTGGCGGACGCGCGCCGGATCGAGCAGGAAAACATCGACAGAATGCGAAAGGTGAGGGCGCGTTGTAACATCCGCTTGTAACATAATTTGCAACTTCGACTATAATCTACTGACATCCCACGCTCATATCATGAATCACCAAAGCACGTTACAGCCCTTATTTCTATCCTATCCCTTTGTCCTGACCCACTCGTACCCACCCTCTGCCCATATCAGAGCCTTTCCTTGAGCGACGGCTTGGATGAGGAAGCTTTCAGTGATGCAGTGGAGGATGCAGTGGAGGGGGAGGAGGAACGAGAGGAAGAGGGCGTGTTCAAGTCAGTAACAGCTTTACCTGCTGTTGCTCCGGTGGCCGCATGAAGGTGACAACAGACAATAACAGCTGCATGGCGGTGCGGCTTGATTCTTACCATAAGCTTTCCCATAAGCTCAACTATACAATCTTTACGTTGCACCACTGCTCTTAAAGCATAAGCTTGCAGTGGTTGCACCACTGAGCATTTAGCACAATACATAGGTGTGTAAAGGTGGCCTGTCCTTCCCTTACACCTAGCCAGTAAAAGCAACTGTGGATGATCGTCAAGAAAATGGACACATACGGTAATTCGATATTTTGGGCTGGTACGACGTTCTAGTTTCTGTTCTCTATAACACTAATTACCTCTGATTCTCATATGCTTCTGCGGCGGGTAAGGAGCTGTTCTTACTAGTCTGTTGAATGACCACATCAAATTCTTGCATCACAATCCAAATTTTTTTTTAGGTGAATGATATTACACTATAAGAAGTGCATACATTCTCAGTCGTAACTGATTGCCAGTCCATGAACGTCCTGATTGCGACTACATTTACGATTTGGTCGCATCGTAACCCCGCTACACCCGCTGAGACGTCGCACGACGACATCTCCAAACATCACGTGCTGGTAACAAGGCACTCCCACAAGCACGTCGATTCGCGAAGCTCTCGCGAAGGCAGTCGTGCGACTTTGCGAGTCCAACAGTCGAAGCGCATGTCTTTCCAAACCATCCGCTATCGCAACAACAATGGTCGCTCGGATGCCCTTTCCGCAGCTGCCACCTGAATCCCCCACCCTTGCCGTCCGCTCAAATCTCTCCTCCTTTTCCCCCCTCCCCCCCACCCTTGCTTTTTCCTCGTTCCCCTCCATCCGCCATACAAATAGTAGTGAGACTAGGAGAATCTTGTTTAGCTCCCATTCCCCCAACCAAGAAACCCAAGGTCGTCACAAACCGACCAAGCCGCTTCCGTCACCCAGCCCATAGCCTTTCACCAACGGCAGGAGACGAGCAAGAGCAACGCAACACACCTTCAGCTCCTCGAGCACGCTCATAATTCGTTTCTGCTGCTACTAAGGGTGTTGGAAGAAGGTGTCGACTTGACAGGGAATCCTCGCACATTTCACCCGACGACCTTGCGTCAAACTCGGCTCAGCCCCGTCCCGTTCCGCTCCGCGCGCGTCGACAACTGCTAGCCAGAATGGTGCAGATTCAGGAATTGTAAGACGCAAAATAAATTTCCGGACGCGCTTCCTCGTTTATCCAAACATTCTCTAACCTATTCCCCTCGTGCTTGATTCTTGTTTTGCGTGGACTGCGGGGTTCTCCCTCGCCGCGATGTCGTTGTGACGATATCGACGGCTCTCCGCGCTCGTCGCTCGTCTCTCGTCGCCTCGCCGCCTCTCATCGTCCGTCGCGCGTGGTCCACCTGCAGCCTCATCACGATGCCCTTTTCTCTCGACGAGGTACGCACTCGCGCTCGCGCACGTGCACGCGCACCCACCCTTCAAGTCAAGCCGCGCCTTGGCAACTTGAGGCGAATGAAAACCCTATACTTGTCCAACGAGACGCAAGCCACCGCCAACGCCAGTTTGCGGCGCTAAACAACAAGGAACATACCAACCAACCCTATCCACGCAATCCACGCCAACCCAATCCTTCCTTTCTTCCAACCCCCCGCCCTCCGTCACCCTCTCCTTCCGACCGACCAACCATACCACCTCACGTGGGCCGCTCCCACATGCAGTCGCGCATGCAATCTCCCTTCGCTCCCCTCACTTCTCCCCCCACATTCTCCCCGTGCATTATCGGACAGCCACGTGGGGCACACCTACATGCGGTCGCGCATGCAACCACTTGAGCTCACTTCCCCGCTCTCTTTCCTCACTTCCCCCCGTACACTATCCGACGTGACAGTATCACGTGGGGCACACCTACATGCGGTCGCGCATGCAGATGGAGAACACAAAAGGCCGCGAGGGCGTCGAGGTGATCGCCAGCGAGCCGTTCAAAGACGCGGCTCTGGGCGAGGGGCACTTTTCGCACGTCGTGCACCACTTTCAGGGCCGCGCTCCCGCGTGGATCCGCGCGCTCGCGCCGCGGAAGGCGCTGCGGCTGGAGGAGAAGAACTGGAACGCGTACCCGCGCAGCCGCATGGAGCTCAGCGTAAGCATGCGGGGGATGGGGAGGGGGAAGGGGGGAGGGAATGGGGGAGGGGAAAGGGGGAAGTGGTAAGGGGGAGAGGGGGAAACTGGCGCGGCATTTGAAGTGTGCGCGCGTGTGGTTGATGCAGCTACTTGCTATTTGCAGCTACCTCTTGTGCGAGTATTATCTAATCCATTTTCCACCGCTGCTCTCTCCTCTCCCCCGCCCGTCACAGTGCCCGTATTTCAACAACTTCAAGATAGTGGCCGACACGTATCACCTCGCCGACCGAGGCGACACGGAGAACGTGAGTGTCCCGTTACAGTGCCCGTATTGTGGCTCGCGAGGGAAAAGCTTACATGGCTGGGATGGATATAGCTTACAAGCCTAGGTGAGAATCAAGATTCACCCAGCAATGTGACTCAGCGTGGGTGATTTATTGTGGTTCCTGTGCTCTCTCGTTCTACAGCTACTTGCGCTGCTCTCGCCTTGGTTTGGTTCTCAACCATTCTCGTTTGTCTCCTCATCATCTTCTCTTCTTCCTCCAGGCGCTGAATCTCCCAAAAGCTGACCTGGCGCTGCGCAAGGTGGACCACGTGGACATCGCGTCGCCCGACAGGGACATGTGGTCGCGAATCATCGCGCGGAAGCGCACCGACCCCTCCAAGATCGCCCTGCTTAAACTCAACCGCGGCCCGCTCGCCCCGGGATGGCAGGTAAGCATGGAGGGTAATTAAATGGCTCGCTATTAGCTTGCATGCGCATGCTCGTCTTATCATATTCTCTTGAACGGAATTTGACGACTAGTACGATGCGAGTCGAACATCGTTCCCATGCGTTCCTTTCCGCGTGCAGAAAACGTGTGAGCCAGTGATGACGTCGTACAAGGTGGTACGCGTGGATGCGCCCTACTGGGGGTTCGGCCGGCAGATGGAGCTCGCCGCAATCGCGGTGAGTGCTGTTGCGTTGAGCGCTGTCGCGTTGTGTTGAGTGCTGCCACCGTTGCCGTCGCTGCGTATATTTTATGCGATTGTAGCAACGCTTTTTCCTACCGTCAGAATCGCCGCACCGGTCGCTATTGCTACCCTAACCCCCGTCTCCTCCCCCCCTCTCATTCTCCCCCTCCAATGCATCCCTCCCCATTTCCCGCTTCTCCCTTCCCCGTTCCCGCTTCCCCTTTCCCCCTTCCCCTTTCTCCTCGCGCTCCCTCATTCGATCTCAGGCGCACCGCGCTCTTTACCTGGAGGCGTACAGGAAGTGCTATGCATGGGCGGACGAGTGGTGCGAGCTGACTGTGGCGGACGCACATCGGATCGAGCAGGAGAACATTGACAAAATGCGAGAGGTGAGGGCGTGTTGTAACATCCGGTTGTAACATTTGTTACAATTCGACTACAATCTACTGACATCATCTAAATTTGTTAATGCACTCATGGGCATCCCAGGCTTGTATCATGAATCACCAAAGCATATTACAATGCTTATTTCTACCGACACACTCATTCCCACCCTCTGCCCACATCAGAGCCTGTCCTTGACTGATCGCTCAGATAATGAAGAATTTAGCGATGCAGTGGATAGTGAAGAATTTAGCGATGCAGTGGAGGGTGAAGAATTTAACGATGCAGTGGAGGGTGCAGTTGAGGTGAAGGAGGAAGAGGAAGAGAAAGGGGATATCAAGTCAGTAACAGCTCTACCTACTATTGATCCCGTGTCCGCATGAACACGACAACAGACAATCACAGCCGCATGGCGATGCAGACTGAGCTATCTAACAGACCATCGATGGCGTCTACTGTACAGTTTAGAAGAGGTGACGGACAGTGGTTGCACCACTGTGCAAAGTTGAAAGATACCCCTGTGCAAGCCGCTCGGGCGGAGGTGAGCAGCGGGGTGGAGGGGAGTTTGCAACATGATAGTACCAACCAAGAGGCACATCACATGCTACCCGGCTACCGTCAGCCAGTCGTCCTACCAGTACTAATGTACCTTGCTTCCCAAGCATATATTTTCCAATTTACTAGTTTGGATGGGGTTCAGGTGCCGAGCCAGGCGCTCTAGGATGTGGTGGTGGGGGCTGGGCCTGGTCAGCTCGAAACACAAAAAATGAAGATGCTATGCTACCAGTAACCAGCAACAAGATGGATGGGGGAGGAACAATTAAGATACTGTGAATGAAAAGCAGCTCAAATCCTGGAAGCCATTTTATATCCAGTTCACTTCATCCCAGATGTGGTATTCTCAGCATACCGGTATCGTTTCTTCATCGATCACCACCACCACCCATCACCACCACCCATCACCACCCAACCCAACCCAACACCTAACGAAGCCATGAACATTGACCACATGTTTCCATGCGTACACACATCTGTGACAGGCTGACAGCGATAGAAACTTCCCCTCCAAGCCTGTTTCGAATCCGCCATCCCTCACACCAGCTGCTTCACATCCACAGCCCCCACGATCACAAAACCCAACAGTCTCCTCCACTTGAAAACTCACCCTCACAATCTGACTCAACTGACAAGTCATCTCACCTCCCCCGCCTCCTCCTCGGTGACTCATCTTCACTTTCACTCTCCTCCCTTCCCCTGCGCCTCCTCCCCCCCTCCCTGTCCCCCCGACCGGCCCTGCCCTCAAGAGAGACATCCCTCCCCCCTGCCCCCTTGCCCTCGCCCATCATCCCTCGAGAACCCCCCTTGCCGCCCCTTGCAACAGGAGACACATCCCTGCCCTTGCCCCCAGCCCTGCGCACTGGAGACCCATCCTCCCTCCCCCTAACCTCTGGAGACCCACCCCTGCCCCTACCGCCACCACTCCCACCTCCCCCCCTGCCCCCGCCACCCCTGGGCGCGGGGGACGCGCTCCTGCTGTCGTGGCGGGGCCTGGGAGCAGCAGCGACCGGCCTGCGGGGGGGAGGAGAGGGCGACCTGGAGGGCGAGCGAGAGAGAGATGACGAGGGCGAGGAGGGACCGGACGAGCTCGTGGGGGAAGCGGCAGCGGCAGCAGCAGCAGGGGCAGCAGCAGCAGCAGCAGCCCTTACTGGGCGCCGCTGGGGGCTGGGGGAACGGCCTCTCCTTGGGCTGGGGGAGCGGGCGCGCTTGGGGCTGGGGGAGCGGGCGCGCTTGGGGCTGGGGGAACGGGCGCGCTTGAACGTGGGCGGAGCGGCGCGTTTAGGGCTGGGAGAACGAGAGCGCTGGGAACTGGGGGAAAGAGCGGCTCTGGGGCTGGGGGCGCGATAACGCTTGGGGCTGGGAGAACGGGCACGCTTGGGGCTGGGGGAGCGTCCGCGCTTGGGAGAGACAGAGCGGCGATTGGGCGAGAGGTCTTTGGGCTCGGCGCGGAACGACCTCTGCTGCCTGCTGCCGCGACCCTCGGAGTCCCTCTCAACCTGCGCCGCCTTCCTTCCCCGCCCCCGCTCCTTCTCCTCCTCCTCGCTCTCCGATTCCCCTCTCACCTCCCTCACCCCCTCCCGCTTCTTGAAAGATATGCTCTTGCCAGCCATCCACCTGTCCTCGCCCTCATCTATATCCGCAGCATCAGTAGCGCGCGCGTCCCTCCGCTGCTTCTTCCGCTCACCCCCCTGCTCCTCCTCCCTCCCCCTCCCCCTCCTCTCGTCTCCCCTCCGCGTCTCCCCTTCAACCTTCCGCCGCCCTTCCTCCCTCTTCCGCTCCACGCTCAACCTCTCCGCCTCCCTGCGCTCCGCCTCCTCCTCCCTCCGCCTAACTTCCTCTTCCGCCCTCCGCGCCTCCGCCTCCCGCGCCTCTTCCGCCCGCCGCGCCTCCTCCGCTTCCCGGAGCTTCCGCGCCTTCTTTTCCTTCCGCCTCATCTCCTCCTCCCGCTCCGCCGCCTCCTCCTCCGCCCGCCTCCGCGCCTTCTCTTCTTTCTTTAGCCTCTTCTTCATCTCTTTCTCCTCCTTCCGCCTCTGCTTCTCCCTCCGCCGTTCCTCCTTCTCCCGCTCCTTCTCCTCCCGCCGCCGCGCCTCCTCCGCCTCCTCCCGCGCCAGCTGGCGCTCCTGCCGCCGCTGCTCCTGCAGCTCGCGGTCGAACGCGTCCCCTTCTTTAGCAGACTCGTTAATGCGCAGAGCGGCCTTGAGCGTCTCCATCTTCTTCTCCTTGCGCGCCACGATCTGATGTGTCTGGTTCCTGCCAGCCGTCGCCACCCGTCGCCACCCGTCGCCAACCGTCGCCAACCGTTGCCACCCGTCGCCACGAAAGGACCGGAAAACAAGTCGAAGCAAAGATCGAACACAATCAGGAGCCGAGAAACCCTAAGCAAGTCCGAGCAGTCGAGAAACGAGCGGAAAATCAGCGAGTAAATGAGCCACCGAACAGAACTACCAAGCTAGCAGAATCAAACAGCAGTGAAGACACGTGGTTGGGTCAGCTCACCCTAGCGACTCAAGCGCCTGGTCCTCCGATTCCTCGCGCATGGCGGCCTCGAGCTGCGCGCGCGCCTGCTCCATCTGCTCCTCCATCTCCTCCTCCAGGTACCCCTGCTCCTCCAGCGTCTCGCGCAGCAGCAGCAGCTTCAGCTCGATCTGCCGCTTCCGGTCGTGCTCCAGAATCTCCTTGTTCGCCTTGCGGCTGATTCCGCCCGTTCCCGCGCCTTCCTGAAACTCTTTCGCCTCGAACTTCGTGTGCCGGTGGCGAATCACGAATTTGTTCGCCTGCACGTAACCGTTGGTGCCGGACCCGCGGGCCGTCTGAAGCCCTATGCCGTTATACATGGCTGCTCGTTTTCACCCGCACTCAGCTCCGATAGACTTGAAGTTTGACTCAGTCGTATTAGCGATTCGTAAGCTTTTATCGCAGAAATACAACGGCCGGATCGAAAATGGCCAGGTTCAAGATTCAAGAAACGCGTCGAGATGAAGAACTCGATATCCAAAGCACGCGAAATCAGCAGCGATAGAGAGGGAGGGATGGAAGTTATTGGGGTTTACTCGTGGTTGGTTAGGGCAGGGCAGGGCAGAGGGCAGGCTGTCGTCCGCTGATCCTCCCTATGGTGGAGTTCTTTATTAGCCCGACTTGGGATAAATACCTGTTACGGGCACGAATGTTACGGGCAGTGTTGGATAAGCCCGACCTGACAGTGTGGCAACCCGTGTTGACGGTGACTGTCAAGCGACAGCTGAGGGCGGAAAAGAACTATTCGCTGCAGACAATTCGCTACCCTTCATTACATAAACATAGGAGATTGGCTCACAAAAATGAAACGTCCGATAAAAAGAAGAAAAAACATTTCACATGCTGCACACTTTGTGCAGGCACAGCACTGACACGAGTGATTCCAGGGGCATTCAACAAAAATATGCAGTCGCTATGATAACCCGGCGTTCTTTTACTCTTATTTGTCCATTCCACTTGATAACCCTCCTCCGGAGGCTCCTTCACTTTTATCCAAACCTGCTTCTTTCCCATCAACTCCACTCTCCTCGCCTTGCATGAATGGTGGGACTTCACCAGTCACAGCACCAGCCGCCACATCAGCAGCTGCCGCTTCTGCAGCTGCCACCTCAGCAGCCTCTCGCCGCCGTTGCTCCTCGACGACCCGCTCAGCCGCCACCCGGCGGGCCTCGTCCACATGCTGCCACATGTCATCGCCTGGTTGGACGCCCGCTCGCTGCATATCTTCCAAGATTGCAACTGCTGTGTCTATCTCCAGGAGCCCAAGGCACGTGTTGACCACCGTCTTGTAGAGGTTGCTGCACGTGACGCGGAGGAGAACAGAGGAAGGCAGGGGGGGAGGGAGAGCAGACCGGGATGGCAGAGCAGGAGCAGGAAGGAGAGGCAGTTGGTTAGGAATGAAAGGGCAGAAAAGCGACAATGGAAATGGGGTGGGAAGGAGGTGAGCGTCACAGAGCTTTCAAGTTGGAACAATTTCGGACAGGAGCAAGGGCAAGAAGAGAAGCAGGCTTGCATCGAATGTATGCAACATCCTTATAAACTCCATAACCATGTCAGAATTCGTGATACGGAGTGGTAAGAGACATGCTTACAATGTACACCAAGGGACATGCTTAACGTTTCACTCACATGCCGAACTTGTGACCAATCGCGTGCGACTTCTCGACCACCCCCTGCATAATACGACAATCGTTGCCGTCCACTGCCGCCCACAGCACCATGCAGCAGTCTGCCAGGGTCAGCACGCCGCCCAGCTCAATCACCTGAGGGAGCAACAAATGGCACGGGCAGTGGGAATGGTGAGAGGGAAGCTTTGTCCCATATAAGCACCAAAGACAGATTCATTCGCTCGTCGCATTGTATCATCATCTCTTTGTCCCAATGCCTCACTCCCTTATTGTCACTTCGTCACTTCCTCTCATCCTCACCAGTTGAAAGATGCTCCAAGCAATATCAAGCTCCACCCTCTCGCTCCACGGCTGCACGACCCGCTCCTTGTCAGCCCGCTCCCACCAGTGCCCCCACCGCTCCTCCAAGGTGAATATGCCGTCCAGAGTGGTGGAGAGCGGAATGAGGTCCTCCTCCGCTCGGAACGCCTGCATCTCCTCGTCCTCCTCTGCTGCCTGCGCGGCCGATCCGGCTAGGATGGCTGGTGCTGCTGCATGCACCTCCCCCTCGTCCTCATCGTCATACAGGTCCTGCTTGGAAAGGGAGGAGGGGGGGGGGGAGCGGAAGGGGGAGTGGGAGGGGAAGCGGGAGGAGAAGCGGGAGGGGAAGCGGGAGGTGAGTGGGTTTGAGAAAGCTGCTGCTGCATGCACCTCCCCCTCGTCCTCATCGTCGTACAGGTCCTGGGGGGGAAAAGGGAGGGGAAGGTGGGGAAGGAGAGAAAGAGGAGGGTAACGGAGAGGGAGGAGATGAGTGCCTCGGCTGCGTGCGCCTCCCCCTCGTCCTCATCGTCGTACAGGTCCTGGGGGAGGGGGGAGATAGGAAGGGGAGGAAGGGGCAGAGATTGGGGGAAAAAAAGGCTGAAGGGGAGCACAAGTGCATAAGTGCAGGAGCGAATGAGGGGAGAAGAGCAGGAGCGAATGAGGGGAGAAGAGCAGGAGCGAATGAGGGGAGAAGAGCAGGAGCGAATGAGGGGAGAAGAGCAGGAGCGAATGAGGGGAGAAGAGCAGGAGCGCACGCATCTGTGCACTTCATCCGTCATCTCACCGACCACTCATCTCACCAACCACTCATCACACCGACCACGCATATCACCGACCACGCATCTCACCGACCACTCATCTCACCGAAACACTTCTTCAATCACCTCCCTCTCTGCTCCGTGCAAGAGAGGACGGGGGCACAAGTGCACACATCTGTGTGGCTCAACTCACCGACGATTTAGCCTTGGCTCTGCCTGCAGCGCTCCCACCACCGCTGCCCACAAGCTGCGATGTGAGCAGCCCGCCGCCGCCCCGCATGCCCTCCTCCTCCATGGCCAGCACCGACACCTCCCTCTCTGCTCCGCCGCCCAGCATGCCGCCCGCCTGCCCTGGCGCCACCTCCTCCTCGTCCACCGCCTCGTCCTCTTCCCCCACCGCCCCCTCCTCCTCCTCCTCGTCCTCATCCTCCTCATCATCTATCACATCGTCAACTTCTAACTCCTCCTCCTCCTCCTCCTCCTCCTCCTCTTCCTCCTCATCTTCATCATCCTCGTCTTCTTCCTCCTCCTCCTCTTCTTCGTCCAATTCTTCATCCTCCTCCTCGTCCTCTTCCTCCCCGCCGGACAGTGCCGCCCGGATCCGCTTGTCTTCCACGCGCTGCCGCTCGTCGGCCGCCCGCTGCTTCTCGTCTGCTTCCCGCTGCCGCTCGTCCTGCTCGCGCTGCTGCTGCGCCTCATTCGCCCGCCGCTCGCTCTCCCTCATCATCTCTATCACCTGCGGCCACGATGCTGCCGTGCCGTCCAGGGTCAGGTGCTCCAACAGATACTCCACTCTTGCGCTCGCCTGTAAAAACATAGGGGTTGTGGGGGGGATGGCAACGGAAAAAGAGGGCTCTCCCTCATCATCTCTATCACCTGCGGCCACGACGCTGCTGTGCCGTCCAGTGTCAGGTGCTCCAACAGATACTCCACTCTCGCACTCGCCTGTAAGAGCAGGGGGGTGTGGGGAAGGAATGGGAAGGACTTGAGCCGATCATCTTTATCACCTGCAGGCTGCAGCCACAATACGACGCTGCCGTCCAGTGTGAGGTGTTCCAGGAGATACTCCACTCTCGCACTCGCCTGTAAGACAAGGGGGTTACAGGGGAAGGTAAGGAGGAAAGGAGTCTCTATCATCTCTATCACCTGCAGCCACGATGCCGCTGTGCCGTCCAGGGTCAGGTGCTCTAGCAAGTACTCCACTCTTGCGCTCGCCTGGAGAACCAAGGGGGGTACAGGGGACGATATGGGGCGGAATTGAGTCGATCATCTCGATCACCTGCGGCCAGGACGCTTCTGTGCCGTCCAGTGTCAGGTGCTCCAACAGATACTCCACTCTCGCACTCGCCTGTAAGAGCAGGGGGGTGTGGGGAAGGAATGGGAAGGACTTGAGCCGATCATCTTTATCACCTGCAGGCTGCAGCCACAATACGACGCTGCTGTGCCGTCCAGTGTGAGATGTTCCAACAGATACTCCACTCTCGCACTCGCCTGTAAAGTAAGGGGGGTAGAGGGGACGAAATGGGGCGGAATTGAGTCGATCATCTCTATCACCTGCGGCCAGGACGCTTCTGTGCCGTCCAGTGTCAGGTGCTCCAGCAGATACTCCACTCACACACTCGCCTGTAAGAGCAGGGGTGTGGGGAAGGTGAGAGAGAAAGAGGAGTTTATCCTCCCTCATCAGGAGCTCTAGCAGATACTCCACTCACACACTCGCCTGCACATGTAGGGGCTCGAGAGAGAAAAGAGGCAAGGTCATGGAGAGCAGGAGACTATCCTCTCAATCTCCTAGAAACACAATGATTGACTCAAATCTGATGATTCACCAACCACCCACCTACATGACGGGCTCCCGGGCCTGGGGCGTCCACTAGAGCTTCCTCGGCAGCAGTCACCTCCACCTCCACCAGTCAGCACCCCAATCTCACCTGCATGACGGGTTCTCTGGTTTGCGGCGTCCACAGGGGCTTCCCAAGAGCCTTATTCAGCCGCCTAGCACGCTGCACCCGCGCATACAGCACGGCGCGGTTCCCATCGGTGGGCAGCCCCTGCCCCGCCAGCTCCTGCCTCAGCTCCCCCACCCACCTGCACCACTCAGCACCATAATCTCACCTGCATCACAGGTTCCCGGGTCTGGGGCGTCCACAGCGGCTTCCCTAGTGCCTTATTCAGCCTCCTAGCGCGCTGCACGCGAGCATACAGCACGGCGCGGTTGCCATCGGTGGGCAGCCCCTGCCCCGCCAGCTCCTGCCTCAGCTCCCCCACCACCATCTTGCTCGCCGCCTTCGGCGCCCTCGCCCCCCCCCTCGCCCCCATCAACCCCCCCGTCAGCCCCCCCGTCAAGCCCCCGGTTAGGCCCCAGCTGCTGCTGGTAGTGCTGCCAGTGCTGGCAGCAGCGGCGGTACCAGCAGCAGTGGCAGCATCAGCACCAGAAGCACCGGCAGCAGCAGCGGCTGGGAGTAAGGCGGATCCGCCTCCGCCCATGGGAGTGCCTGCGCCCGCCCCTGTGGGGCCCTGGATCTGCAGCTCCATCTCTAACCACTCCGCCACCTCCACCGCCTCCTCCTTGCTCACCCCTAGATCCGCCGGCCACGCCGCCACTCCCTGGAAGAAAGGAGAAACGGTAGACGAGAGAAAGGTGGGGGGGCGGAGGGAGGAGCGGGGTGATGTGGGGGAAAGGGAAGAGATGGGGCAGGGTCAGACCTCCAGCCACTCCGCCACTGTCACCCACCGCCTCCTCCTTGCTCACCCCTAGATCCACTGGCCATGCCGCCACTCCCTGGTAGATGGGAGGAGAGGGGGCGGAAGGGAATGACGAGAAGGGGGAGGAAATTTTAGTGGCGGGATGGTCGGATCTCCAGCCACTCCGCCACCTCCACCGCCTCCTCCTTGCTCACTCCCAATCCTGCCGGCCACGCTGCCACTCCCTAAAGGGTGGACGGTTGGGAGGGTTGGAGGGCAAAGCAGGAGGGAAGAGATGCTGGAAAGGTATGACCTGCACACGCTCCTTGCAGAGTGTAGTAGGGCTGCAGAGATTTTTTTAGTATTCTAAAAAAATCCCCGCAACGTCAAGAATTTCTTAAAAATCCCGGAAAGGTATGACCTGCACACACTCCTTGCAGAGTGTAGTAGGGCTGCTTGCACCACTCTCAACGCTCTCCCCCTCTGCTCTCACACGCCACATGAGGGTGGAATAAAGCTGCTTGCACCGCACTCAACCACCTTCACCTCCTGCACACCACCATTCCCTAAAGAAGCATGTGTTGTAGAGAGCTGCTTGCACCGCGCTCAACCACACTCTATCGTACTCAACCGTTCTCACCCGCCACATGAGTGTGTAGTAGAGCTGCTTGCGGTATGCCCGGAAGCGCCGCACAAGGCTCTGCTCAAACGGCACCGTTTCGTGGCGGCAGCCAGAACTAGCACACACTTTACCGCACTACACTGTTATCTCCCTCTATCCCCTCACCCGCCACATAAGTGTGTAGTAGAGCTGCTTGCGGTAGCCCCGGAAGCGGCGCACAAGGCTCTCTTCAAACGACACGATGGGGGGGGGCAGCCAGAAGCCAGGCAGCTCGTCCGTGTCCATCTTCACCCGCCACCACCCCCCATGGCGCTCCATGTCCCTCTTCTCCCTCCTCTCCCTGCTCCACTCCTCTGACTCCTCTGCAGCTCTGTTCAGGGCATGGGTGCATGTGTGAGTAAGGGGTACAGAGGCACACAATCAAACAAAGAAGAGGGGATCACGACAGAAGGATTGGTAACAGAGGAGGGAGCAGCGCAACCAGAAGCCCGGCAGCTCGTACGTTTCCATCCACCACGCCCCATGGCGCTCCATGTCCCTCTTCTCCCTCCTCTCCCTGCTCCACTCCTCTGACTCCTCTGCGGCTCTGGTGGGGTGGGGGTTTATGTGGGGGTAACGAAACAAGGAGCACAGGCAGACGATAAGAATGGAAGGAGAAGTAAGTGCGTTTGGCTACAATTGGGCTCCATGTCACACGGCTGCATCCATGTCACACGGCTGCATCCATGCCACACGGCTGCATCCATGTCACACGGCTGCATCCATGCCACACGGCTGCATCCATGTCACACGGCTGCATCCATGTCACACGGCTGCATCCATGCCACACGGCTGCATCCATGTCACACGGCTGCATCCATGCCGACTCCAGTGTGCGCCGCTTAAGCCACTGGTGGCGTTGGTATGCTGATGCTGATGCTGATGCTGATGCTGATGCTGATTCTGATGCTGATGCTGACGCTGACGCTGACGCTGACGCTGATGCTGATGCTGATGCTGATGCTGATGCTGATGCTGATATGCTGATATGCTGATATGCTGATGCTGATATGCTGATATGCTGATATGCTGATATGCTGATATGCTGATATGCTGATATGCTGATATGCTGATATGCTGATATGCTGATATGCTGATATGCTGATATGCTGATGCTGATGCTGGCTGATGTTCCTCCTATAATGAAGCTCATAATCCTGTAGTCACCAGCATCTCACCGTTGAATGTAGTCAGTGGGCTGGCCATAATCGGGTTCCATGTCGCACGGCTGAAACCATGCGGACAGCAGCGCTGGTGATGATGCTGGTATACATGCTGATGCCGATGATGGCACTTGATACGATGCTGGCGCTGAGCCTTCTTACCGTTGAATGAAGTCAGTGGGCTGCCCATAATCGGGCTCCATGTCGCACGGCTGCATCCATGCCGACACCAGCGCTGATGGTACTGGAGATGATTCTGGTAATGATACTTCTGCTGAAGCACTGCTCGCGTCTCACCGTTGGATGAAGTCAGTGGGCTGCCCATAGTCAGGTTCCATGTCACACGGCTGCATCCATGCCGGCACCAGCTAATTCTGCTGATGATGCTCATGTTGACGCTGATGCTAATAATTATTCAAACAGTTAGCCCTGGTGCTGCTGCAAGCAGCAAGCTCATACCTTTGAATGAAGTCAGTGGGCTGCCCATAATCGGGTTCCATGTCGCACGGCTGCATCCATGCGGACACCAGTGTGCGGCGGGTGCGCTTGTCCACCAGCAGTGCCGACGCCGGCAGCCTCACTCTGTCGCGCACCATCGCCTGCAACACTTCCTGCATCTCCTGCACCAGACCTGGCAGGCGGGGGTGGCAAGGGAGGGAAAGGTCCAAGCGGTCTCGACACCAGAGTGTGGCGGGTGCGCTTGTCCACCAGCAGTGCAGATTCCGGCAGCCTCACTCTGTCCCGAACCATCGCCTGCAAAACTTCCTGCATCTCCTGCACCAGACCTGGGAGGCGAGGTGGGGGGGGTCGAGAGAGGAAAAAACGGATCATTGCAAATGGAATTGGGAAAGGTTAAAGTGGTCTTGGCACCAGCGTGCGGCGAGTGCGCTTGTCCAGCAGCAATGCCGACGCCGGCAGCCTCACTCCGTCTCGCACCATTGCAGTCAGCACCTCCTGCATCTCCTGCACCAGACCTGGGAGGTGGGGGGGGTGATGGAGGACATGACAAGCATATTTCAAGTTTTGAGTCGACTCAAAACTCGACTTATCACATGGGGGGGGTGATGGAGGACATCATAAGCATATTTCAAGGAAACGGGCAAAGGGTCAAGCTGACACACACCCACCTGTCACTTGCAAACGCCCCATTCATTGTTATCTCTCACATATCCTGTGGTAGCACGTTGATTGCGACCTGCGTTCCTATCAAATTAACCAACCTATCCATCATCTGAAACGTCCATCAACTGAGGCTCACCTGCTCGGCAGAGCACTCTGAGGAAGAGGGCGGTGGCGTGGTAGCGCTCCCCCCTCTGCACGTTCAGGCAGGTCATCTGGCCTGGCAGCCAATATCGGACTTTTGAGGCGCCTCACAAGTCGGGACCCACCTGCTCGGCAGAGCGCTCTGAGAAAGAGAGCCGTGGCGTGGTAGCGGTCGCCGCTCTGCACGTCGAGGCAGTTCATCTGGCCTGGCAGGCGCTGCAGGGCCTTTTGAGGCGCCTTGAGGCGCCTCAGAAGTCACAACCCACCTGCTCGGCAGAGCGCTCTGAGGAAGAGAGCGGTGGCGTGGTAGCGCTCCCCCCTCTGCACGTCGAGGCAGGTCATCTGGCCTGGCAGGCGCTGCAGGGCTCGGAAGTGGCGCACGGCCTCTGATAGGAAGTTCCAGTCCTTGCAGAATATCTCCACTAGCAGACTGGGAGGAGGAAAAATGAGGGGGGGTGGGGGAGGGGCAAAGGCAGGGAACACAGCTATGGGGAAGAGGTGTGGGGGGAAGGGAAGTGCTGCACGGCCTCTGATAGGAAGTTCCAGTCCTTGCAGACTATCTCCACCAGCAAACTGGAGAGACGAAAGGGGGCGGGGGGGGGGGGGCATAGGTAGAGGACAAGGGTATGGGGAAGAGGTGTGGGGGGGAAGTGCTGCACGGCTGATAGGAAGTTCCAGTCCTTGTGGTATATCTCCACCAGTAGACTGGGAAGGGGAGGGGGAGCAGGGTGAAGGGAGAGGTAGAGGACCGGGAAATGGGGGACAGGTGTGTGGGGAAGTGGCGCACCCACCTATGGGGAAAACGAATGCCAATTGACACATACTCACACTGAAGCAGCAGTGATGGCGGCACAGAGAAGGGATGGAAAGCAAGGCCACATATGCACATACATGCTCTTGAGAATTCTCATAAGTGATATGCACATACATACTCTTGAGAATTCTCATAAGTGATATGCACATACATGCTCTTGAGAATTCTCATAAGTGATATGCACATACATACTCTTGAGAAGTCTCATAAGTGATATGCACATACATACTCTTGAGAAGTCTCATAAGTGATATGCACATACATACTCTTGAGAAGTCTCAAATGTGATATGCACATACATACTCTTGAGAAGTCTCATAAGTGATATGCACATACATACTCTTGAGAATTCTCATAAGTGATATGCACATACATACTCTTGAGAAATCTCAAAAGTGATATGCACATACATACTCTTGAGAAATCTCAAAAGTGATATGCACATACATACTCTTGAGAATTCTCATAAGTGATATGCACATACATACTCTTGAGAAATCTCAAAAGTGATATGCACATACATACTCTTGAGAAATCTCAAAAGTGATATGCACATACATACTCTTGAGAAATCTCAAAAGTGATATGCACATACATACTCTTGAGAATTCTCATAAGTGATATGCACATACATACTCTTGAGAATTCTCATAAGTGATATGCACATACATACTCTTGAGAAATCTCATAAGTGATATGAACATACATACTCTTGAGAAATCTCAAAAGTGATATGCACATACATACTCTTGAGAAATCTCAAAAGTGATATGCACATACATACTCTTGAGAAATCTCAAAAGTGATATGCACATACATAATCTTGAGAAATCTCAAAAGTGATATGCACATACATACTCTTGAGAAATCTCAAAAGTGATATGCACATACATACTCTTGAGAATTCTCATAAGTGATATGCACATACATACTCTTGAGAAATCTCAAAAGTGATATGCACATACATACTCTTGAGAAATCTCAAAAGTGATATGCACATACATACTCTTGAGAAATCTCAAAAGTGATATGCACATACATACTCACAATCAAGCAACAGCGAGGGCACGGATACGGCAAGCCATGCAAAGCAATGCTATGCGAGGGCACAGATATGGCAAGCCATGCAAAGCAATGCTATGCGAGGGCACTTACGAAGAGACATATCAACAGGGAAGGCGCAGTGAAGGCATGAGATGCAAGGATTTGGCACGTACGCATAGGTGTTGCCGTTGGGATGCACGGTGTTGTCCTCCACCATGCGCCCCATGAACTCCAACGTGTCCTCGTACCTGCCATGCCATGCCATGCCGGGCAGTGGGACGGGGCAGGGGGCAGGCAGCAGGGGCGCAGGGCGTATGAGCCCCGCGTATGGGCAGAGGCCATGGCAGAAGGAGGGGACAGGCAGGGGTACCAGGAAGCGCAACAGGAATTCCCTGACCTCACGTGCGCAGAGCTTCATTGGAATGACTTTGACTGCACAGATGTGGCCGATGCACAACTTTGGCGCCCAATATCCAACTCTCCAGTCTTTGTACACAGGAACGGGGGCTCAGCTGAGTTGACCCAGCCTTTGGCGCCCAAAATTTGGGTTATGCACAGGAACGGGGGCTGAGTTGAGTTGACCCAGCCTTTGCCATAACCCACCTCTCCTGGGGGTGGGCAGCGAAGGCCTCGAGCACCCAGTTGTACGAGTGCACGTCTGGCTTGCCCTCCCTGCGACTCTCCTTCAACCCCTCTGTCGTGTGATGCGATGTGATGGGTGGCGCACATGGCACAGATAGGCGAGATGGGAGAGATGGGAGAGAAGGGATGCATGCACATAGAACAAGTGAGATTCTGAGTAGCAGGGGGGGAGGGCAGGGGTAAAGCTGACAGAGGGGAGGTGGAAGTGAGGTGGTGTATAGAGTTTCCTCTGATGCATGCACTGCACTGCATTCGTGTTAAAAGTCCCAGAATGCAAGTCTCTCAACGTACCCACCCTCACTCACCCCCGTTCCCTCAACCGCCCTATCTCCACCCCTGCCACTCACCGCGTTGCTCCTCCACCATTGCTTCCAGCTTCTGCACTGCTATGTCACACACCCTCCTCGCCCACACCCGCTTCTCAAACTCACCAACTCCCCCTCTCCTCTCCCCTCCCCTCCGCCCACTCACCGCGCTGCTCCTCCACCATTGCTTCCAGCTTCTGCACTGCTATGTCCGGCACGCCCGCCTTGCTCTGGTTAGGGGGGAGGGAGGGGAGGCGAGAGTGATAGCTGACAAGGTGTGTGAGGGGGTCAGGAGGGGTTTGAGGGGTGGAGCGTTGCTCCTCCACCATGGCTTCCAGCTTCTGCACCGCAATGTCCGGCACGCCCGCCTTGCTTTGGTGAAAGGAAGAGCGAGGGGGGGGTTGAGAGGTGATTGTTGACATGACAGGAAAGGTGGGGTTTGAGGAGTGTTGCTCCTCCACCATGGCTTCCAGCTTCTGCACTGCCATGTCTGGCAAGCCCGTCTTGCTCTGGTTGGGGTGGGGTTGATGGGGGCATGGAGGGGGTGGGGTGGTGTTGAGACGCAGCAACGCCAGGAATCCCGCTTCGCTCTGTTTAGGGAAAGTGGCTTGGTTGATAGCCGACAAGAAAGCGGGGGCTAAAGGGTTAATGGTTGTCAAGACAACGGGGGGTTGGGGTGGGGGGTTGAGCACCACGCCCCACACACATACCACATACCACATACACCACCCACCCACCATGCTCATGAACATGCGGTTATGATGGAATGTCGCGGGCATCCACCCCCATTCATAACGTCATGTGCGTTCTGAGACGCACATGACGTCAGACGCCTCAAAACCCCGCGCTCCCCACCACCACCCACGCACCCCCCAATGCCCCACGCACCATGCTCATGAGAACGCAGTTGTGGTGGAACGTGGCAGGCGTCCATCCTCGCTGCTCCAGAGCGTTCATCACGTCATGTGCATCTTGAGACAGCTCACCATACATGTTCTGAGACATCTCGAGCACCACCCTCAAACCCCCTCCCCCATGCTTCACGCACCATGCTCATGAGCACGCAGTTGTGGTGGAACGTGGCGGGCGTCCATCCTCTCTGCTCCAGAGCGTTCATCACGTCATGTGCGTCTGCATGCCGCCCCTCCCGGCAGCTGCTCTCCACCACGGTGTCTATGAGGCCTGCTGTGGGCCACACCCCGTCCTCCACCCCCCGCAACAGCAGAGCTTTCCCTTCAGCATGGGAGCCTGATGCGAATAGCTCCTCTGCAGGGAGTGGAAGGGAAAGGGGAGGGCAGACGCATGTGGGATGGAGAGAGGCGGCGCTCCCGGCAGCTGCTCTCCACCACGGTGTCTATCAGGCCTGCTGTGGGCCACACCCCGTCCTCCACTCCTCTCAGCAGCAGCGCCTTGCCCTCTGCATGACTGCCCGATGCAAATAGCTCTTCTGCAGGGGCACGGTGGGGGAAATGAGGGGGGAGGGAAGAGGTGGGAAAGGAGAGGGGCGACTAACGGGCTGAACGGTTTAGAGCTGGGGCGTTTTGGGGAGTGCAAGAGGAAGGGACGACAGACGCATGAGGCATGGCAAGAAATGAAAAAAGGATGCTCCCCCCATTTCTTGCTCCCTTCCTTATGAGGAATGGTCTTTGTTTACACCCTCATAACAGAAGCTCTGCCCATTCCACGACCATCCCACCCCACACGCGACCTTTGTCACTAACCAATAAGGGACAAACCATGCCACCCTTGTGACTCACCGATAAGGACAACCCACGCCGCCCGCTGGTTGAGCTGCAGTTCCCCCATGAGCGCGAGTATGCCCTCCCCCTCCGCCACCTGCCCCCTCCGCCCGCTCAGCCGCAGCACCGCCACCAGCGTCTCGTACAGCGGGAACACGCCGCTGTTCAGCATGCGCCTCAGGGCTCGGCGCTGTTACGAAGGGGGGAGGGTGGAAGGGGACGGCAAGAGAGGAAGGGGGGGGGAGGGGTGAAGAGGGAGATGTCACCTCTCTGCCGCCCACTCAGCCGCAGCACCGCCACGCCACCAGCGACTCATACAGCGGGAACACGCCGCTGTTCAGCATTCGCCGCAGGGCTTGGCGCTGATGGGGAGAGAGGGGACGGAGGAGAAAGGGGGAGAGGATGGTGGTACGAGAGGCACTATGCCTCTCTGCCTGCCGCTCAGCCGCAGCACCGCCACCAGCGTCTCATACAGCGGGAACACGCCGCTGTTCAGCATGCGCCTCAGGGCTCGGCGCTGATGGGGGGAAGGAACGATTGGGGGAGGGGAGTGGTGGAGGTTAGGCAGTGGAGGGGGGTTCACATAGTAAGCTTCCGCTCAGCCGCAGCACTGCCACCAGCGTCTCATACAGCGGGAACACCCCGCTGTTCAGCATGCGCCGCAGGGCTCGGCGCTGATAGGGGGAGAGGGGAGGAGGAGAGAGGGTTAAGGGAGGTTCGGGTTAGGGGAACAGACGGGAAGGTGTGGGAGAGGGGGGGAAGTGGGTGGTCAAATAAACCATCACTGCTCAATTTTCAGCTCACCGTTTCAAAGAAATCCCCCTTGGCCGTGTGCTGTGCACGACCACCGCCGCATGGTGCGCCCTGCCCTCCCTCTTTCCCCCGTCTTCCTTCCTTACCCCCTTAGCCCCTCAGTTTATAGGCACGCCGCACAGTCCGCTCACCGCTTCAAAGAGGTCCCCCTTGGCCGTGTGCACGACCACCGCCGCGTGGTGCGCGCGCGCGCCCGCCCGGAGCCCCAGGCGGCGCATCTCCGCCATGCGCGCCTCCACCTCCTCCCCCGCGCCCGCGCGGCTGCTGCGCGCCAGCGACTCCGCGAAGAACAGGCGCAGCTGCTGCGCGTCCAGCGCAGATACAGGCACTGGGGAGGGGGAGGGGGAAAGGGGGTGAGAGGGAGGAAGAGGAGAGGGGAGAGGGGAAGGTGGTGGTGGGGGGGGGGGGGGTGGGGGGGGGGGGGGGGAGGGGGGGGGGGAGAGGGGGGTAAGAGCCGGGGGAAGCGGTAACTAGGTTTGGGAAGCCGCCATAGTGACGAGACGATATATGCCGCTGGCGAAAACCGAACGTTTCAACACCAGGTTACCCCACCACCTCTCACACACCGTTGAGCCTTGGGATGGGAGCACGTGCACATCACATTTCTCACGCTACGAAATGAACACCTAGAGAGACGAGCTCACCCGGGGGACTGCAACGCTTACCTGTGGATCCGAGCTGGTCGAAATTCAGCAGCCATTGCTCCGACTGCTGCCTCCTCTCCCTCCTCTCCTCCTCACTCTCCTCCTCCTCTTCTTCCTCCTCCTCCTCCCATCCCTCCTCCTCCTCCTCTCCCTCCTCCTCATCCTCCTCATCCCCCTCCTCCTCCTCTTCCCATTCCTCCTCGTCGTCTTCCTCTCCCCCTTCCAAACCACCATCCACCGCTCTAAACCCTTCCACCTGACCATTCACTCCCGCTCTCCCCCCCTCCGCCTTGACTTGCGCGTGCGATCCATCGTGCGCCAAAGCCTGCTCCTGGCCACCGCTCGTGGCCGAGTCCGTCGCAGTTGTCGCGCGTGTCGCACTAGCTGCGTCGCCGTCGCTTGCTCCGCCGACTACAGTCGTCCACGACTCGGAATCAGACGACGACGCTTGCGACCGAACGACCCGCCTGTGCTGCTTGCTCTCACATCTACCCCCATTGCCGCACTGCGGTACCGGACTGCACCTCGCAACTACGGGCCCAACAGCCTCTCCTCTTAATCTAGTCAACGATGTGACTATATCGGGGACCGTATAACGGGTTATAACCCTAGGAACCGCGATTCTAGAGACTGGAAGTCGGATCCCCAGCAGCTGAGAGCGAGAAATCGGAGGAAGGATGACGCTGGCGGGTTTGGGTTTATGATAAGGCTTGACCAGAGGTAGTTGGTACGCGGGCCTCGAGTGAGCCGAGACAGAAGGATACGATGTCGCCATCAAGACTGCCGCGGAGATTTAGAACCGTGCGATGCGATTTGACGGCTCCTGGCGAATGCGATATGTCAGAGCCACATCAGGGACTGGGCTTCGCTTCGCCTGATGACCCGTTAGTCTAATCCGGCGAAAGGTTAAACAACAGCGCGATCGACTCTCACCATTCCAGGCGGGAGAGTTAACGACGACCTAGGACTGGCAGCTGGAAAGGCTGGTTTCGACAATCCCAAGGCTCAGATACCCACGACGAGCCAGGGTCAGTGTCAAGGTGGAACTATGGAGGGAGGAATGGATTATGAAGCCAGACAAAATCTGTCCCTAGAACCGCCGCTGACACCACACCACGCACGTATCCTCGCTTCACAATTACTGGGTATGACGTATAAGCACAGCTCTGATAAAAGGCGTAGCGAGATGGAGACAGATACTGCATATAATTACAATCATAAAATCTCTGTACCTCATTCAACTATCTTCTTGAGGTGTGCCAAGCCGGGATGTGTGTGATCAAGCACTATAAAGTTTCAGACACTCAATGTTCTCGCCATTTCTCCCATTGCACAAGATACTAGCTAAAAATATAACTTACCCCAATATCTTTGTGCCTCCAGAGTCTCTACTTAGTGTGTCCCCGCCCCGGGTCTGGCTGGAGCTGCTTGGCTGCTAGGTTGCTTGCAATCTTAGCTGTTTGGCTAGTTCGTTAAGTGATGGCGGCTGGTAGTGGGTGTGGGATGGCAGCTGCAGATGCAGCCATGAGGATGCAGCAATAGTACGTGTGAACGACTGAGTGGCGTCTACTATTCTCTTGCTGCACCTGATAGCTGTTGGAAATCCAAAAGATAAAGAAATGTTTATGCTGTTAGATTTTAATGTATTTCTCTTTATAAGACTCCAGCCCTCCAATAATTGTACAATTATTGGAGGGCCAGAATTATTGGAGTCTAGAATTATTGGTGCACCATTATTGGTGTGGATGGGGCCATCCTTGAGGGGTTAGCTGCATGCATAAATATCCTCCTCTGTGAATTCATTAATCATTCCATTGTTCTGAATCCTTTCAGTTGCAAGTTTCTCTTGCTATCTATTATACAATCAAGGCTTCCGCTTCAACGGCACTATGCCTTTCTAGCATGGTATCAGAGCTACTCTAGGGGGCATGCTGCCGAAATTTGGTCATAACTCTACCGTCATTCATTGGACAGGCACGCTAGCAAATTTACATAACAAGTGGTTACGTTTGGGTTGAAGGCATGGCGCAGTTCGACGATGAAGTCGATGCTGGATACGAGGCGTTTGAAGAAGCAATCTTGACTCAACATGAGCACATGGAGAGCATGATTGCAAGGGCACCACCGGCACTTCAAGCGTCATTAAGGGCAAAGTTCAACATGCCAAGGGCATCACACTCTCCATCAAGCACTCCGCGTACTAATCAAACCCACGCTTCAAATGTGCATGCAGGAATTGAAGGTGAAGGGGAGGGAAGCGTACCCCAAGGAGGAGAGTCATCCCAAGGGAGGGATGCATCCTTCCAAGGAGAGGGGAGCTCCCACCCCGAACCTCAATCAACCATGCAAAAGGAAGCAACGGGGAGGGATGATGAGTACAGGAGTGGAAGGAATGTGAGGGAACATGGTAATGGGATCGGCGCGGAAAGAAACATGAGAGGGCAGATTGGTGAAGGGAGTGGTAGAAGCAGTCATGTGGGCATGGAAGGTGTGGGATTCGAATCCTACACTATTGGTGCTCCCCCATTACGACGACTTGCCACTAACTCTCATCCCATTAGAGTTCCCGTAATGGGCAGATCTCACATTTATGGCAACAACGTCGTACCTCCTCGTGCGCTACGGTCTCAAACGGAAGCTGTACATGGGGGGAGCATTGGGCGCATAGGGCACGGGATGCAGTCAAGTGGGGTTATGCGACGTGATCAAGTGGAAGTGGTGGAACGTGAAGGCATACAACGCACGGTACAACTACATCGACCGTCTACCGTGCCTACACTCTTCGACCCGTCTCCACGCGAGTACACGGAAGAAGACAAGGACAGATTGTCACGCAAGATGGTGGGAGCAGCGGTGGACAAAGCATTCACAACCACTCCATTCGACGGCACTAACTTCCGAGAGTGGGCTCTTCGGTTTCGCATGAATGCGCGCGTGACAAATCTGTGGGAGTTTTTCGTGACGTTACAATACCCGGTTACAATGGCGAATGGAGAAATGCGAGATGCAATGGAACGGCTGGAGGTTTTGCAAGCAGACTACTCACAACGTGCTACGCTAGCCTTTTGGGTGCTTCTGCATAGCGTGAGCGCAACGATTCAGCTGCAACTTCACGTGTTCCAAGAGTCATACAGTCCGGCATTCGAAGCATGGGAGTACCTGATGGAGACTTACCAGGCAAGGGATTCTGTGGCAAAGGCGTCCCTCCAGAGGCAACTGGACAATCTGAAGATGAGGAGCCAAGAAAGAGTGGAGGAATACATCAACCGAGCAACTGCAATTCGGGACAAGCTATCAATGGCGGGAAAAATGGTGGATGAAGATTCCTTCACCTTAAATATGATTACCGGGCTGCCGCCGTATTGGGAGGAGCTGAGGCATTCGGCAATGCTACACGACATCTCGGACAGCTACACACTACAGCGAATGATGATTCAGGAACAACGCTACCAAGACCTCATTAGTAAGACCAACCGTGATAAGCGTCCTCCCCGCATGGCTGGCCAAGCACGTGGAGATAATTCACCAGCAAAGGAGAGGACTGAGACAAAGGGCAACCAGAATGTGGTGAAGTCAACGGGAGGGCAGCACGCAACGGTTGGGGAGAAACTCAAGGGCAACGAAGGAAGGGGAGGGCGCTCCAACCTTGTGTGTTGGTACTGCAAGGAATCTGGCCACCCGTTCTACAAGTGTCCTAAGGCGCCCCCGGGTTGGTCACCACCAGGGTGGGAACCACAAAACAGAGGGAGGACAAACCAGTGCACCTGGAGTAGCCGTTCGTCCTCGCCTCGAAGGAGTGAAAGCCCCAAACGTGACAACCAAGCGTCAAAACAGCAAGGGGCAGCCGGGGGAGACAACAAACGCACTGTTACATGCGTTGCAACGGTTCGGTCGTCACAAGCAACGTTACCATCAGCCGGAGGGTCGATGTGGTTGCTGGACAGCGGATGCAGCCAACACATGACTTCAGAAAAGGATTGGTTTGAGGGTCTAGAGGAGCTGGACGAACCAGTTTACGTTGAGCTTGCTGACGGGAGCCACCTGTTGAGCTCGATGGCGGGAACAATCCGAGCAACGGCACCCGATGGAACAATAGTGCGCTACACGGACGTGCTCTACGTACCTAGCTTGAAGTCCAACCTGCTCTCCTATTGCCAGCTGCACAAGAAGGGAGCTCGGATTCGCACTCGTGATGACGGACGCACAGAGATTACTATGGCGGCTGAAGATGAGCATGTGGTCATTGGGGTTGGAATGATCATGCATGGTGTGCTCATGGTGCAATATGAGCCTGCACTTGCATCTGCCCATGGACCTGACCATTACCATGAGAATGACGCATTGCATGATCATGGTCATAAAGGGCTGAATCCACTTTCTGCTCATGTATCCATCACATACCGCATGGCCCACAAGCGCTTAGGTCACCCATCATACACATCCATGGATGCAACATTTCGGAATGGTGATGTTGAAGGACTCACCATATCCGACAAGACTAACCCTCTCAAACCCCCATGTGACTCATGTCTTCGAGGGAAGATGAGCAAGGCCCCCTTTCCCACATGAAGTACCAAAGGCACAACTCGACCTTTGGAGCTCGTGCATAGCGACATCATGGATCTGGGTGATGCTCACCCTTCACTTCGCTATGTGCTGACGCTCAAGGACGACTACACCAACTACCTGTGGGTGGCGCCGTTGGCTCGCCGGTCCGACATGGCTGCAGTTTTCTCGGCTTGGCACCGCGAGATGAAGACCAAGCTGCCCAAGAAGCCGCTGGCTGCCTTGCGCACGGACAACGGAGGGGAGTATACAGCAAATGCTTTCACGGATTACCTGAGTTCTCACGGCATCAATCACCAAACGACTTTACCACACACGCCGCAGCAGAATGGAGTCGCCGAACGGGTTAACCGCACACTCATGGACCGAGTGCGTGCAATGACCACCGGAGCCAGCCTTTCCTCTAAGTTCTGGCCTTATGCGCTGGAGTATGCAGCATGGTTACACAACCGCATCAGCTGCAGCAGCAACCCATCAGCACACTCACCGTACTTCATGATGACGGGAAAGGCAGCAGATGTCTCAATGGCAAGAACCTTTGGGTGCCTCTATTACTATCTCCCTCCCCAAGGCAGCTTTGGGAAGTTTGAGCAAAGAGGAAGGGTTGGGATGTTCCTTGGACTCTCCAACGCTCGGAGGGCATGGATCGTGCGGGACTTGGCAAGCGATGTTGACACGGACACACGCTCAGCTCGTTTCTTTGATGACCTCATGATTCTGGACGCTGAATCAGTACTCGAACGCCACCGCTACATGAAAGAAGTCTCACCTCACATCGACGGCTGGACTTCAGGGGGAGAAGGTTTTGGGTCCGAGTTTGACTCGTTTCCTGCATCCTCACCATCGCCTACGTCGTCCACGGACACATCAACCACACGAGGACAGGAAGCTGACGCAAATCAAGAGGATTCACCCATTAACGACGCAGCCAATAAAGGAGAAGGGGATGCAGCAAGTGACTTACCTCCAGCTGGCGTCTCTGTTCCTGAAGGTGCTGAAAGCAACGAAATGGAGAATGAGGCAAGTCATCTCTATGACTTTGCCTACCCACCTGATGGGATCGAGCTAGCAGCTCATGACGCGACTCCACGGCGGGTTCACTTCAACCCAAATGTGACTGTGCTCGGAGGAGAAAGACAAGGGACGGACAGCATGACAGGATTGGACGTGCTGCTTGGGAAAAGGCAGGCAGCACAAGCGTTCAACAACCTTCCCAACTTGCAGCAACACGTCCTAGGATGTGCAGCAACCGACGTCCCCATGGTGGACTTGACGTACAAGGAGCCCAAAACGCTCAAGGAGATGATAACAGACCAGTACGCACATCTTTGGCAAGCCGCTGTGGATGCAGAATTGGCCAAGTTCAACGAACTGGACGCATACGAAGTGGTGGACAGAGCGGACGTACCCAAAGGAACGCCGGTGCTGACGGAAGGAGTCGTTTTAAGGGTAAAACGAGATGAGCACGGACAACCAAACCGGTTCAAAGCGCGCTGGGTGGTCAAGGGATGCGGACAGACATGGGGAACATACGACGAGACGTATGCACCGGTCAGCCAAGGACCTACCTCCCGCATGTACGTTGCTGGTGCATCTGCTACAAAGCGGAAGGTAGTGCAACTGGACATCTCCAATGCGTTCCTGTACGCTCCAATCGACCGAGACGTGTACGTGCGACCTCCTGAACCTCGGCGTGATGGGGACAAGGTCTGGAAACTCAAGCGCAGTGTATACGGACTGAAACAAGCACCACGCTTGTGGCATCAGCACTTACGGGGTGTCCTGTTGGAGCTGAACATGGTGCAGTCTGAATCTGACCCATCGCTATTCATATGGAAGAGAGAAGCCAAAGACACGGTATGGCTGCTTACCTACGTTGACGACATCCTCATCCAGTCTCATGACGACGAAGGGATTGAAGCTGTGATTCAACACTTGAAGCAGAGCTTTACATTGACCGTCAGCAAGACCATGACACAGTTTTTGGGGCTCAACGTCGCTGTTGACGACGACTCGATCTCACTCGGACTGACCAAATACATCTCACAGGCTTTGGCAAACTTCGGGATGGAAAGCAACCGCTCAGGAGTCCGGACACCAATCACCAAGGAACCTGGACCACAAAGAGAGCCACCAGACGAGATTGACAGTCAATTGGTGCTGAAACAAGTGGGGACATTGCTCTACATCTCAACAGCAGGAAGGCTGGATATAACATATGCAACGCACGTGTTGGCTCGACAAGCCGGCAAGCCAACAGCTGCAACCGTGCTTGGGATTCAGCGTGTCTTCAAGTACTTACAGAACACCGCGAATGTGGGGCTGGTTTATGGAGGAGGGGACTTGGTGCTCCGGGGATACACGGACTCAGACTATGCGAACGAAGTGGGGTGTCACTCGGTTGGCTACGTGTTTACCTTGGGAGGAGCTGCTGTCAGTTGGAGGACTAAGCGACAAACAGTCATTGCAACATCGACAGCTGAAGCAGAATACATTGCACTGTTTGAAGGGGCAAGGGAAGCTACCTACCTTCGGCGCTTGTGTGAAGACCTCGGTTTGCCACAGCAAGAACCCACTGTTATCTTTGTGGACAACCAAAGCGCAATTGCGCTTGCAACAGGGGAGCAGATGAGTCAACGCATCAAACACATGGAAGTCCGTTACCATTGGACGCGGAAGGCAGTCCGCGATGGTGTTGTGTGGCCGGAGTATTGCCCAACAGCTCAGCAAGCAGCTGATTACCTCACCAAACCCATCACAGCAAAGCAACATCTCACCTGCAGCCTCTTGTGCGGTCTCCAACCAATTCCGCCTGGAACACTGCCTGCAACCAGTCAGCAGATTGAAGGCGCTGGAGCTGCACTCACATGTTCGGGCTTCTTAAGGGGCGCTGGACAACAAGGCATCACGTAACTCCACACATCTCACTCATGTGTTTGGTGTTGTGTGCATGCTCACGCATGTGCATGACTACAAACACACGAGTGAGAGGGGGAGTGGGGTGTGGATCTTGGGGTGCAACAAATCGGGATTTGATTTCAAGACCATCTTTCATTTTCGTCATTCCAAGAGTCAGCACATTTGCATCATGAGAAGACCTACTGCAATCAGTGACAAGAGCAGCCATAAAATATTCTGCTGGATAGTCGCTGCTGCTGGTCGGTCACATCCACTCGCCAACTGCAGCAGCCGTTCCTGAATACTTCAAATGCCTGCTGGTTCCAGGGGAAGAAGAAACAAGACAGCATGAGTCAAGAAAATCGTCCAAGACAACAGAGACAGAGGACATCACAAGAAGCAGCTGACAAAGTCCTACTACATACAACTGCATAATTTCAATGGGAGGCAAAGGGAGACAGCTGGAGACAGGCGCTGCTGGTGCTGCTCACCACTCACCATGGTGACGCAGGTGCTGCTGATACCGCTGCCACTCGTCAGTCGCTGCTGGTGTTGCACAAGTACAAGCGGCCAGCGCGTCAGGGGGAGCTGCTGTAGGGCCTCGGTGCTGCAGCCCGCCAGGTGTAGGAGCAGCCCACCAGGAGCAGCCCGCCAGGTGTAGGAGCAGCCCGCCAGGAGCAGCCCGCCAGGTGTAGGAGCAGCCCGCCAGGAGCAGCCCGCCAGGTGTAGGAGCAGCCCGCCAGGTGTAGGAGCAGCCCGCCAGGAGCAGCCCGCCAGGTGTAGGAGCAGCCCGCCAGGACCAGCCCGCCAGGTGCAGGACCAGCCCGCTGGTGCTGGTGTACGCCAGTTGCAGCTGCTTCCGTGCGCCACCTGGTGTAGGGGGAACGGCACAGGGTAACATGGAGCAGCACAAGGTAACATGAAGCGAGCGCGGGGTAAACATGGGTGAAACAGTCATTTGACCTAGGATCCTCACCTCGGCAGAAAATCGTGCGCCACAGGTGCTGCCGTGCGCCACAGGTGCTGCCGTGCACCACAGGTGCTGTAGCTCGCCACAGGTGTGGCCGTCGCTGCGGTCGTGGGCGTCAGCAGGAGAGGCAGTCGCGCGACGAGGGCCGTGGCGTCATGCGCAAGGCGCTGCAGGATCGCCAGGTCGACCGAAATGGCAAGGGGAGGTTGCGCACCAGCAGAAGTCGCCAAATGCGATGTAATGCAGCAGCGCGCATGATGCAGCAGTCGTGCGCCAGCCGCTGCTGCCAATCGTCACGGGCGCCGATGCAGCAGAGCGACATGAACAGCAGCACGCAAGGACCTGCAGCACGCAGGACGTCAAGCAAGGAGGTTACTGCAGCCGCGTGACATGCTGCAGCACGCTACACGCCAGCGCGGCATGCTGCTGCTGAGAACGTAAGCAAGTAGCAGTCGCGTGTAAGGGTGTGGAAACAGCACGCGAGCAGCTACTATGCGCTGATCTGCTGCTGCAACAACTAATCTACACTATTTCGAGGAGACTAAGGCGAGAGCGCGTCATGCAGTCCTGACATTTCGGTGAAAAATCGGGCATAGTCTCATCAGCAGCAGCGGCAGGAAACGATAATCAAGAAACTAGATCGGGAAGAAGTGTTGAGGACCCTGAGACAATCGGTCGAGAATGAGCCTGAATGACGAGTCTGGAAGACCCCTGCTGGAGAAGGGTATGGGAAAAACGGGAGCTGTGAATGGCGACAAACTGAACCAAGAGCCTGACAGGGGAGCGTACAGTGCACGGGAGTTCGAGAGGCAGGGACGAGAATCAGAAACCCTCGAACTGCACAAGGGTCGCGAGAATTGTGAGGAGGAGAAACAGGGCGCAGCAGCGAAACACCTGAACAAGGAAACGTGCATCTGAGGAAATTGGGAACGTGCGGGAGACACCGTAACTGCTGCAACAGTGGTTTCGACCAACGCGGTGTCAACGGAAACCCAACGGCTGAGTCTTCACCGCAATTACCGCTGTCACCAAAAATCACTCACACAGTTACCTCCACCACCCTATCGCCTCCGCAATCAACGCCATTTACACCCTATCCTCCAAAAGCAGACTCAGTAAAATCCACAGCAAGGGGGAGTGTTGGAAATCCAAAAGATAAAGAAATGCTTATGCTGTTATATTTTAATGTAGTTCTCTTTATAAGACTCCAGCCCTCCAATTTTTGTACAATTATTGGAGGGCCAGAATTATTGGAGTCTATAATTATTGGTGCACCATTATTGGTGTGGATGGGGCCATCCTTGAGGGGTTAGCTGCATGCATAAATATCCTGCTCTGTGAAGTCATTAATCATTCCATTGTTCTGAATCCTTTCAGTTGCAAGTTTCTCTTGCTATCTATTATACAATCAAAGCTTCCGCTACGACGGCACTATGCCTTTCTAGCAATAGCATGGCTGCCTGTCATGCCTGCGGTTACTGCACTTGACACAGCAGCAGCATCGTGGCATCTGCTGTGCAGTTCTGGGCATTCATGTGCTGCAGATCTCGTGCAAATTATGGGCACCCCATGCTTTGTGTCAGCCCTGCCATGGTGCAAATGTCACCCCCTGTTCTCTGAATCCTCACCAGATGCTTGCTACTGCACTGCATGCAGCAAGCATGTGCGCTCACCATTGTCGCTCATATGAGTAAAGGTTTTTTGTCTCTCTCCTCGCCCCCATCTCTTAGACCCCATCAGCGTGCACATGCCTCCCCTGCCAGCAGCATCTCACTCTCACTCAGGGCCGTGAACAAGTGCTTGGCCTGACGCAGCCAGGCCCTCCTCATCATGCCATGGCACGGCACAGCACCTGCAGGAGGACACTCCGTCCTGCTTGGGTGTTTGTGCCCAGGCGTCTTCCAGGCTGCCCACCCCACCCACCTTTTCCACAACATGCAGGCCCATCGAAGCACAGCACAGCACAACACAGCACACCTAAGCACCACTAAGCACACTTAAGCACGCCTAAGCAAACCAATGCACGGCTGCTAAGGACAGTGGCGGTCCATCTTGAGCTCTTGGCTGTCCACCGCCATGCGGCAGCCCAGATGTCCTATGCCTCGCCCTGCACTTCACCACAGAAGAGCCTCCTCTGAGATGCCAACAGGACATCAACGGGACATGGAAGAAAGCAGAGGCGAGAGAACAGAGAGCCACTTAGAAGCTGCAAAAGCGCACTTCACCACAGAAGTGAAGCTGATCAAAGGGCACAAAATAGTTGTGAAGAAAGCATGAAGTGAGAAATGTACCTACCCCAGAGATAGCCATTAGCAAGACCAGCAACTCCCCCTTTCAGAATCTCCCATCACACCTACCATGTAGAATACACAGCACCGATGTTGCTGCCACTGCTTCCGCCACAGTTGCTGCCAGGAACAACATGGAGAGGGGAGAAAGCAAGAGAGCCATAGCATCAGGATACAGAAAGATGAGAGAAGGAGCAACACAAGGAGACGGACAAAGGGAGACGGATGGAGACCAGGTCACATGAGAGGAAGGATGAAGGGAGAAGAGTAAGACATCAAGCAAAGATAACTACGCAAGCGACATGAAAAAACAACACATTGAGGAAATCTGAAGCACTAGAGTAAGCTGTACTCACCCTTCCATTGCTACAGCCGCAACCATTGCAGTGGCAATGGATGCTCCAACTGCTCCTGCCACCATTGCTGATGCTGCTGCCACCGATGCTGCCCGTGCTGCTGGTGCTGGTTGAAAGGTGCTGCGCTGCGGGCCATGGAAGAGAGGAGAGCAGAGAAGAGAAGATGGCCGGAGGGGAAGGATTTGATAGCTGAGGACAGTGGCATGAACATCTGGTAACACAGTAACGGGCACCAGTGTGGCAAGAAGGTAGACAAGACAGAATTGCATCAGAGAAAGCAGGAAAATGGTGAATGGAATAGCAAACTGCATCAGATCAATGGTATACTCATTGATCTGGTCCACTCACAAGTCCGTGTGTGCTTCACATCATCCTGCAGTCGCTGCAGCAACTGGTGATCCCTGAGTCGCTGCAGCCTTGAGTGTTGGAGGTGAGGGGAGGAAGGATGGGAAGGATGAGCAAGGAGAGGAGAAGCGAGTGGATGAGAGGCTGAGGATGTGGAAGAACATTGACATGCCAGAGGAGATGGCAGAAAGGGGACTGAGACAAAAAGCAACGGAGAATGCATTCTCTCTGCTGCTGCATCCTCACTCTGGTTGCCTCGTGTCTTGGAGAAGCAAGCAACGGATGTTGTCCCCATCCCACGGGCGCACAGGCAAGTTCTCAAAGCACAACGCACTCCACGGCTTGGAGCCTGAGAGACACACTCACAGGCATGCACACGCACACGCACACAAGGACAGGCACCAACCCCCCAACCCACCCCCTACTCTCCCCCTCCCAACCCCCCCTTTCCACCCCTCCCCCCACCTCCTCACAATCATGGGGAGAGAAAACACACACACAGAAGCGGCAAGGGAGGGTTAGGAGCAACAGGAGATGAGGCGGGTGGCAGAAACAAGAACAAGAGACACGACTCTTGCCTCTGCGCGGCGACTCACTTCACGCCCCCCCTGCAAGCACCCCCTGGCACGTACCACGTTCCCTCCGCTGCTCTCCCAGTTTTGCGCCACACCTTCACTTGAGGTGTCCCCGTGCTGCCATTGCTCTCCGTCTCACAGGCCACAATGCACACACACACACGGGGAGAGAGAGAGACACACACACGGGGAGAGAGAAACACACACACATGGGGAGAGAGAGAGACACACATACAGAGAAGAGGGTTAGAAGCAGCAGGTGGCGAGTGGTGGACCCGCAAGCAACAGACACGACTCTTGCCTCTGCGCGGCGACACCCTATGACAGTTCATGGCCCCCCTGCAAGCACTCTCTGGCACGTACCAAGCTCCTCCGTCTGCCACTTTGCCACTCGGCCGTCTTGCCTCTTGCACTACGCCTGTGTGCTGCTCCAGGCTGCTCGATTGCTCCTGCGCCAAGCCTTCGCCCCAAGCAGCGCCCTGCTGCTGCCCGTGCTCCAGGTTACTCAGTTGCTACTGCTGCTGCAGTTGTTGCTCTCGTTGGGTCCACCACGCGTTGCTGCAGAGAAGAGGAGAGGACAGGAAAGGAGAGGTTTGGGAGCAGAGAATAGCGGCATGAAAACATGGCAGCACAGCAGCAAAGGCTCTGGGAACCGTAGGAAAATAGTAGACAAGACGGAACGGAACACAGAAAGCAGGAAGACGGTAAACTGCTTGATCTGGTCTGCTTGACTCACAAGTCCTTGTGTGCTTGCGTGCCATCATGCTGCGGTTGCTGCAGCCATTGCCTCCTGTGAGTGCTGGAGGTGAGGGAAGAAGGGACGGCAAGGAAGAGAAAGAGAGGCGTGAGGATGTGAAAGAGCAGATGCTAGCTTGGAAAGGGACTAAGACAAAAATAAATGCATGTTGCATACGCCCTGCTGCTGCAACTTCACTTCAGTCTAAGTTACCTCTTGTCTTGGAAGAGATAGAAGCTTGTTGTCCCCACCGATGGGCAGGCAGGTTCACAAATAGAAATCCGCCACACTCCACAGCTTGAAGGCTGAGAGGAACACTCACAGGCATGCACACACGCACACGCACACATGCACACCCCTACCCCACTTCCCCCTTTCCCCCCGCACGCACACGCACGGTCCCCGTCCACTCGCTGCCATTCCCGTCAGTCTCGCAGGACGTGAGGCACACACAAGCATGGGGAGAGAGAAACACACACACATACACAGAAGCGGTGCAACAAGGGAGGGTTAGGAGCAGCAGTAGAGGAGGCTAGTGGCAAAGACAAGAACAAGACACGACTCTTGCCTCTGTGCGACTCACTTCACGACCCCCCTGCAAGCACCCCCTGGCACGTACCACTCCTGCACCATGCCTTCACTTCAAGCGTGCTGCTCCAGGTTGCTCCCCTTTCTCCCCTTTCTCCTCGCAGGACGGTTGTCTCTCATGCACGCCAGCAACGGAAGCAGTGTCGATTCCCCGTCCACTTGCTGCCATTCCCGTCCGCATCGCAGGCCATGAGGCACACACATGCACGGGGAGAGGGACATGCACACACACAGAGGCGGTGCAACAAGTGATGGTCAGAAGCAGCAGGAGGCGAGTGACGGAAGCAATGGCAACAGACACGACTCTTGCCTCTGCGCGGCGACACCCTACGACTCACACTGCACTCCCCTTTTGCAATCACCCCGGGGCACGTACCATGGTCTAGCTGATTGTTTTCCCCTACTTGGCAAAATCTGCAGCTCCTTCAGCCCAAGCTTGTCACCCCCCGTCCACTCCCTGACATTCCCCTCCGTCTCGCAGGCCGAGAAGCACACGCACGCGAGGGGAGAGACGAACGCAGACAGAAGCAGAGCAACAAGGGGAGGGTTACACGCAGCAGGAGAGGAGGCGAATGGTGGAGGAAAACGGAAACAGACACGACTCTTGAACCTGCGTGGCGACGCCCTACGACTCACTTCACGGCCCCCCTGCAAGCACCCCCTGGCACATACCACGCTCCGTCCGCCGCTCTCCCACTCCTGCGCCACGCCTTCATTGTCTCTCCGAGCCAGCAACAAATATCCCGTCCGTTCCCCAACCACTTGCTGCCATTCCCATCGTCTCGCAGGCTGCGAGGCACGCACACACATGGGGAGAGAGGCAGCCACAAAGGAAGTATGCAACAAGAGAGGGTAGAGTGGTGGAGGCAAGGATGAAAGACATGACCCTTGCCTCTGCACGGCGACGCCCTACGACTCACTTCACTGCCCCCCTGCAAGCACCCCCCTGGTACATACCACACGACCGCCACTGTGTCTCTGCCTTGTGACGAGCCACTGTGCCGTTGCTGACCCTTCTCCTCGCTGCACGGTTGTCTCTCGTGCGAGCCAGCAACGAAAGCCCTGTCCACTCCGCGCCAATCCGCGTCCACTCCGCGCCATTCCGCGTCCATTCCGTGCCATTTCCCTCCGTCTCACGGGCCGTAAGGCACACACACGCATGGGGAGAGAGACGCACACAAAAACGGCGCAACAAGGGAGAGTTAGAAGCAGGAGGAAAGTAGGCGAATGGTAAAGGCAAGGAAAACAGACGACTGTTGCCTCTGCGCGGCGACGCTCTACACTACTTCAGTGCCCCCCCGCAAGCACCCCCTGGCACGCACCATGCTCCGTCCACCACTCCTGTGCCCCGTCTTCACTTCAGGCGAGCCAGCAACCGAAGTCCCGTCCATTCCGCGTCCACTCCGCGCCATTCCGCGTCCACTCCGCGTCATTCCGCGTCCATTCCGCGTCCATTCCGTGCCATTTCCCTCCGTCTCACAGGCCGTAAGGCGCACACACGCATGGGGAGAGAGACACGCACACAGAAACGGCGCAACAAGGGAGAGTTAGAAGCAGGAGGAAAGTAGGCGAATGGTAAAGGCAAGGAAAACAGACGACTGTTGCCTCTGCGCGGCGACGCTCTACGCTACTTCAATGCCCCCCCGCAAGCACCCCCTGGCACGCACCATGCTCCGCCCACCACTCCTGTGCCCCGTCTTCACTTCAGGTGAGCCAGCCACGGAAGTCCCGTCCATTCCGCGTCCACTCCGCGCCATTCCGCGTCCACTCCGCGCCATTCCGCGTCCACTCCGCGCCATTCCGCGCCCACCTCGCAGGCCATGAGGCACACACACGCACGGGGAGAGAAAGCACGCACACACAAGCGGCGCAACAGGAAGGGTTAGAAGCAACACGAGAGGAGGCGAGCGGCAAAGACAAGAACAAGAGACACGACTCTTGCCTCTGCGCGGCGACGCTCTACGACTCACTTCACTACCCCCCTGCAAGCACCCTCTGGCACGTACCACGTTCCGTTCGCCACTCCTGCGCCTCGCCTTCACTTCAGGCGTGCTGCTCTTGGTTGCTCGGTTGCTGCTGTTGCTGCTGCAGTCGTTGCTATCGTCGCGACCGCTACCTCGTCGCCACCTATGACAGCGCAAATAGCAGCGACTTCGCTTTGATGATGGAAACAGTAGCAACGCTGCTCTGACGGCGGAAACGACAGTATAACGGAAGCAGCAGCAGCGCCGTTCTGACGGCGGGAATAGCAGCGACTTTGCTTCGACGACGGAAACGACAGTAACGGAGGAAATAGCAGTGACTTGGCTTCGATGACGGCGGAAGCAGCAGGGACGTCGCTTCGATTTCAGAAACAGCAGCAACGTTGCAATGACTCGGCGAAAACAGCAGCGCCGTCGGTTTGACGGCGAAAACGTCAGATATGTTTTGTAGATGCCGGACGGCAGGAACAACAGTGATGTCGCTTTACGGGCGGAAGCAGCAGGATGGCTATTGCAGCGAAGACGTCGCTTTTCTAGCGGAAATAAGGGCTACGTCGCCTTGATGACATAATCAGCAACGACGTTGCATTAACGGCGGATGACGTAAACAGCAACGACGTTGCATTGACGGCGAAACAAGGAAATGTTGATACGATGGTCGAAGCAGCAGCAGCGTTGTCTTAGCGGAGTGACGTCGCTGACTGCTTTATATCCGTCTCTAGTGAAAAGCCGTCCTGCTATGCATCTCAGCTGGAACTCCATCTGAATTAGCATCTTAACATCGCATCTTAACATCGCATCGTCCTGCTATCCATCGCAACTGACGTACGAAACCTCCTAAACGTCCTAAGAACCTTTGACATTCATATGTTTATCGATTGCCAGAAACGTCGCGGCTAAAAACTTATGACCAAAAACTAAGGTTAGTGCAGGTATGCGAGTGAACTAGGGCTAGTGCGACTAGCAGCTCACACGGCTGGACCTGGAGGTCGGAGCGGAGATAAGAACATGGCGGACATGACTGAAAGATAGTGCAAGTTGAGCAAGGAAAGCGAAGAACGGAGTTGAGAGGCGAACAGTGAATTCCGCCAAGGAGAACTCTAGGGACTCCCTCCCTCGTCCCTGTCAACAACCAGAGGAGAAAGGCCACACCAATGTCTGACAGATCGGCTGAATTTCCAAAGCCACATGATGTGAGGGAGCAGAAAGGAGGCTCGAAACGAAGCGGCGAGGTTCGGATCATCAGAGAGCAGCGGGGATTTGAAAACTTTGGAGGGAAACTGAAGGCTCGGTGCGAACAGACGAGACCTGGATGGAAGAGGAAGGGATATAAAATGTTCACTGAACAAGGACCAGGTGTGAGATTTGCTCATCCGGTAAAGGTCCTAACGATATGAGAAATATATAGACTATATACGGTAATTATGTACAAGCATAAAATCATGGTCCAGTTTAAAATACCTTTGAAAACCATGCTTTGTTATGTGTACCATGATGATGATGGGATGCTTGTGATCGGGCACTGTGATGTTCGAAGCACTGCCGTGTGACTGGTTGAAGGTCCTGCTGCTTCCCTGTTTGGCTGCTGGGCTGCTTGCCTTACACGCACAGATGTTTTGCTGGTTGGGTGGGAGACGTTGGCTGGTAGATTGGAAAATGTTGGCTGGTGGGTGTGGGCACGGCAGCTGTAGATGCAGGCATGGAGGATGCAGCAATACTCGGCGCGGAAATGACTGTCATGCTTGCAACTACTGCACTTGTCACAGCAGCAGCATTGTGGCACGAGATTAGCTGTGCTGCTCTGGTCATTGTTGTGCAAAACATGGGCACCCCATGTTTTGTGTCAGTCAGCCCTTCCATGATGTCAACCCTGTTCTCTGAATCCTCACCAGATGCTTGCTACTGCACTGCATGCAGCAAGCATGTGCTCTCCATTGTCACTCATGCTTGAAATGACTTTTGTCTCTCTCCTCGCCCGCCTCTCATGCCAGCTGCTTCTCACTCACTCAAGGCCTAGCCTGACGCAGCCAGGCCCTCCTCATCATGCCACGGCACAGCACAGCACATGCAGGAGGACACTCCGTCCTGCTTGGGTGTTTGTGCCCAGACACCTTTCAGGCTGCCTATCCCACCCACCTATTCCACAACATGCAGGCCCATCCCACCACCCGCACAACACAGCTAACCACACTTAAGAACACCTAAGCAAACCAATGCACGGCTAAGGACAGCGGCGGTCCATCTCTTGGTACTGTAGTTCACCGCCATTCGGCAGCCCAGATGTCCTCTGCCTCGCCCTGCACTTCACCACAGAATAGCCACCTCTGAGATGCCAACGGGACAGCAACGGGACATGGAAGAAAGCGGAGGCGAGAGAAGCTACAAAAGCACACATCACCACAGATGTGAAGCTGATTAAAGGGTACATGATAGTTGGGAATTATGTTCATGCGAGATCGCCATTGTGAAGTGAGCATGAAGTGAGAAACGTACCTACCCCAGAGATATCCATTAGCACGGCCAGCAACTTCCCCTTTCAGAATCGTCCATCACACCTACCATGTAGCAGACACAACACCGATGTTGCTGCCACTTCTTCCGCCACAGTTGCTGCCAGGAACAGCCACGGATGGTCTTGGAGAAGCAAGCAACGGATGTTGTCCCCGCGGCTTGGAGCCTGAGACACACTCACAGACATGCACCATGCATGCACATGCACACGCACACACACACAAGGACAGGCGCCGCCCTCCTCTACCCAGCCCACCCCCTCCTCTCCCCCTCCCACCCCCCCACCCCTTTTCACCCCTCACCCCCCCTTCCTCACAATCATGGGGAGAGAAAACACACACACAAAAGTGGTGCAACAAGGGAGAATTAGGAGCAACAAGAGAGGAGGCGAGTGGCAGAAACAAGAACAAGAGACACGACTCTTGCCTCTGCGCGGCGACTCACTTCACGGCCCCCCTGCAAGCACCCCCTGGCACGTACCCGTCCGTTGCTCTCTCATTCCACTGTTCTCAACTCCCATGCCCCTCGTCTCCTGTCCTCTCCTCTTCTCTGCAGCGACACAGTGGTGGTCACGACAAGAGTGACAACAGCAGCAGCAACGGAGCAACCGGGAGCACGGGCAACAGCAGGGCGCTGCTTGGGGCGAAGGCCTAGCAGCAAGTGAGCAACATGAAGCAGCTCGCAGGCATGGTGCAGGAGGCAGAGCGGCCGAGGGGCAAAACGGCAGACGGAGCGTGGTACGTGCCGGGGGGTGCTTGCAGGGGGGCCGTGAAGTGAGTCGTAGTGTGTCGCCGCGCAGAGGCATGGGGAGAGAGAGACACACACAGAAACGGCACAACAAGGGAGGGTTAGGAGCAGCAGGAGAGGAAGCGAGTGGTGAAAACAAGGGCAACAGACAAAACTCCTGCGCCACACGTGCTGCTCCTCATTGTCTCTCGTGCGAGCCAGCACAGAAATCCCGTCCGTTCCCCGTCCACTTGCTGCCATTCCCCTCCGTCTTACAGGCCGAGAAGCACACACACGCGAGGGGAGAGACGCACGCTGACAGAAACAGAGCAACAAGGGGAGGGTTACACGCAGCAGGAGAGGAGGCGAATGGTGGAGGGAAACGGAAACAGACACGACTCTTGCCTCTGCGCGGCGACGCCCTAGGACTCACTTCACGGCCCCCCTGCAAGCACCCCCTGGCACGTACCATGCTCCTTTGGCTGCTCTCCCACTCCTGCGCCACGCCTTCATTGTCTCTCGTGCAAGCCAGCAACGACAGTCCCGTCCGTTCCCCATCCACTTGCTGCCATTCCCGTCCATCTCGCAGGCCGTGAGGCACACACACGCATGGGGAGGGAGACAGACACAAACACAGAAACATCGGCCGCTTTGCACCGCCCCTCACCGCCATGGTTCAAGCCACAGCGGCCGCTTTCCTCCCGCTCGCCCTGCGTGCCTTCTCCTTCCACCCGCCTCTCCGCTTTGCCATCCTCGACCCCACAGCTCTCGCCCTCAGGCAAACTGCTGCCTCCCTGCTGCTCTCCCCAGAAGCTGTGTGCCTGGCAGGCCGAGGCTTGTGGGAGGGGCTGGGTGCGGTTGAGGGGGGTATAAAGGGAGAAGCCAGGGTGGGAGAGAGTGGGGAGTGCAGCAGTGCGAGTGTGTTTTGGAGGGTGGCACTAGTAGCAGTGCAAGACCCCTGTTGGGATGTGCAGCTGTCGGCTCTCCGATCCCTCTCCCACCTCCTTGCCTCCCCTCGCTTGCTCGCGCAGCTGCTGCCACCGCTCCAGACCGCGCCTCACCGCAGCAGCCACAGCAGCGAGGGCGGAGTGGGGGCGGTGCTGCTGGCAGTGGTGCAGGGGGTGCAGCAGGAGAGGCGGGCACAGGGGCGGGACGAGATGCGGTGCCGGCGGCTGCTCAAGGTGCTGCTGCCTGCCCTCTCCCTGCCCTCCCTGCAGCCCCTCCTGCTGCCCCTGCTACCCCACGCCCTGCAGCCCGCGGAAGCACCACTGCCAGGGACAGCAGAGCAGAGGCAACCTGGAGGCCCCTCCGACATGCCCGACAGCACTGCAGCTGGGAGCGATAGGAGCGGAGGTGCAGCGCTGTGGGCGGTGGTGCTGGAGGTGTTTGAGACAGCACGCGTGCTGAAAACGAGGGAGGCGGCGCTGAGGTGCCTGGGGCACTGCTTCCTCCTGCTGCTCTCCCACCATGGCCGCCTGGATGGGTGTGGACTGGAGCAGCAGCAGGAGCAGGGAGGTGCCTGGCAGCAGGAGGGCGCGAAGCAGTCAATGGAGGGGGTGTTGACTTCAGGAGACTTTTCCCTGGGTCAGGGCCGAGGTACGGGGAACCTGCTGCAACTGGCTGCCACGTGGCTGCAGCTGATTGGCGAGCAGAGCGCGGCACACCGGCCGGTGAGTGTGCGGCGGGCGGCAGCAGAGGCGGTGGTGTCGTCAGGACTGCTGCTGAAGGTGGGTAGAGTGGGGCACGTGCTGCGCTGTGAACCACATGTAGTGGAAGGAGAGGAGGGAGAGGAGGGTGGGGAGGGTGGGGAAGGAGGAGAGGGTGCGGTGATGGAGTATGCAAGGGTGGTGGTGCGCACATGGCTGACAGTGATTCGCGTGATGGAGGATGAGGATGAGACGCTCCGCAAGTCCCTCGCCACTGCCGTCCTCACCATCACCACCACTGCCGCTGCTGGCACCGCACACCCACACGCCCCATCCACTACAGCAGCAGGGCAGGTGTCATCTTCCTTTGTGCCAGCGCAGGTGGAGCGAGCAGTGGAGGCAGCTTTGGCACACGTGTCGCTGTGCCTACGTGCTTGCCCGCCCGCCCTGCTGCCCGCACACCTGGCTGCATGGGTGCTGCACCCCGACTTGGTCTCCCCCTCGGGCTTTCAGCGCCTCACTGCCTTGGACCGCCTGGGAGATGAGCTGGTGGGTGAGGAAGATGAGGAGGAGCAGGAGCAGGAGGAGGAGGAGAGTGGAGCGGAGAGTGAGAGGAGGGATGGGGAAACGAGGGCAAGTGCAGAAGCAGCCGCAAGAGAAGGAGGAGTAGTAGCAACAGTGGCAGCAGGGCGGGCGGTGCCGGGGTTTGTGCGGAGGCTGTTTGACCGGGAGGTGGATAACCACCACGAGGAGCCGCTGCTGCTCGCTCACCTCTGCTGCCTGCACCTGCACCAAGCGCTGCAGCACTGCCCGCCGTCCCCCGCCCTCCTCATAACAATCTCCACCTTGAAACTGGTCTTTGCGAAAAGGTTTTTCACCGAGGCTGCCCAAGCTGCCCGGCTGTGCAAGTCGATGAAATGGGTGGGCGGGCCGACGTTTCACCAGGATTCTTTTTCTGCCCTGATCCGCCCGCTGCTGGGGTTGTGGGCGCTTAGCAAAGTGTCGTTCGCAGGAGCTGGGCGTGTCGAGTGTCTTGCACTGGGTTGGAGAAATAATAGCAGAGATGAGTGTGAAAAGGAGAGTGTCGAGAGCAGCAGTGGGGATGGGAGTGAGCGCACGTCAGCAGTGAAGCATCGCAAGCAACAGCCGAGGAAGAGCGGAGGACGAGGATGCTGATCAAGGCAGCAGCGAGGAAGCTGCAGGAGATGCCTGTGAATCCCATCCTGCAGAGTGTGCTCTCAGATGTGATGCAGGCGAATGCTGATGCTGATGCTGATGCTGATGATGATGCTAATGATGATGCTGTTGATGATGCTGGTGCCGGAGAGAGGGGTAGGAAGGGGATGCGGTGGGAGAAGGATGTACTGTGGTGTGATCCGCTTTTCCTCTTGTATGCACAGTCGTACGGCATGTGATCAAAAGCTACTCAGGTGGTTGCTTCATTAACAACAACTGAGGTCTGAAGTTAATTTTGGGTTCAGTGTTTCCTTCTCAACCGGCAAGTACCGTATATCAAACCGGTTCAGCCCACACCACTGGAATTTCTTGAAGCTTCCGTTCAGCGCCACGAGCAAGCTGATCAGTTGTCTGATCAGCGATTCCCATTTCTCATTACAGTCCACCTTCACATCTCAATTCTCAACGCAGCTCAAACTGTTCCTGAGGCATTCAGCGCCGCGGGAGATATACCTCTTTTGAGTAGCGGCGTGCGACGTCATGGCTCCGATTGTCGCCCGGGACTCCGTTCGCGTCGCCGTGCGACAAATACTCGTCGTCGCGCTGCTTCTTGCGCTATCGCTCGCGGCATCGCCAATCATGGTCGCTGCTAACGCGTCAGCAGCTGACGGGACACAGCATTCACCCGCAGAAAGAGCGGAAGCGGCTTCCGCAGCAGCGCAACCAGCGGACGCGGAGGGAGCAGGCGCAACCGGCGCAGCAGCGGAATCTGCAGCGGGCTCACCAGCGGAAGCGGTGTCGGAAGCGGCAGTGGCGGCGGATCCCGAGCCGTACAGCGAGAGATTCGGACCCTGTACCAGGACAGCTAAGGCATGGAGGGCGTGGCGGTGATCACGCTGGGCGGCAAGGTGCAGCACGGGCTGAAACACGTCGAGGTGTTCCTCATGACGTTCGCCCCCGGGGCCAAGACCCCCATTCACTCGCACCCGCAGGTCAGGCATGATGACCTTTGTGCTTGCAGGCGCTCTTTATTTTCCGTGGATCGTTCCACAGTGCTTCAATTCCTCTGTGCAAGCACGCCTTGGGTGTGTGACTGACCGGCGGCATGTACGTGGTGTGGTGTGAGCCTCTCGTTGCATCCTGCGTGCCGCTCATTGTGTGTTGTGTGCTGCTTGTGCTCGGCTGCTTGTTGGTGGCGTGGTGGCGGTAGCAGGAGGAGGTGGGAAACCTGATGGGGAAACTGATGGGGAACCTGATGGGGAACCTGATGGGGAACCTGATGGGGAACCTGATGGGGAACCTGATGGGGAACCTGATGGGGAACCTGATGGGGAACCTGATGGGAACCTGATGGGAAACCTGATGGGGAACCTGATGGGGAACCTGATGGGATGGGGAACCTGATGGGGAGGGGAACCTGATGGGGAACCTGATGGGGAACCTGAAGGGGAACCTGATGGGGAACCTGATGGGGAACCTGATGGGGAACCTGATGGGGAACCTGATGGGGAACCTGATGGGGAACCTGATGGGAACCTGATGGGAAACCTGATGGGGAACCTGATGGGGAACCTGATGGGGTGGGGAAACTGATGGGGAACCTGATGGGGTGGGGAACCTGATGGGGAACCTGATGGGGAGGGGAACCTGATGGGGAACCTGATGGGGAACCTGATGGGGAACCTGATGGGGAACCTGATGGGGAACCTGATGGAGAACCTGATGGGGAACCTGATGGGGAACCTGATGGGGTGGGGAACCTGATGGGGAACCTGATGGGGAGGTGAACCTGATGGGGAACCTGATGGGGAACCTGATGGGGAACCTGATGGGGAACCTGATGGGGAACCTGATGGGGAACCTGATGGGGAACCTGATGGGGAACCTGATGGGGAACCTGACGGGGAACCTGATGGGGAACCTGATGGGGAACCTGATGGGGAACCTGATGGGGTGGGGAACCTGATGGGGAACCTGATGGGGTGGGGAAACTGATGGGGAACCTGATGGGGTGGGGTACCTGATGGGGTACCTGATGGGGAACCTGATGGGGAGGGGAACCTGATGGGGAACCTGATGGGGAACCTGATGGGGAACCTGATGGGGAACCTGATGGGGTGGGGAACCTGATGGGGAACCTGATGGGGAACCTGATGGGGAATCTGATGGGGAACCTGATGGGGAACCTGATGGGGAACCTGATGGGGAACCTGATGGGGAACCTGATGGGGAACCTGATGGGGAACCTGATGGGGAACCTGATGGGGAACCTGATGGGAACCTGATGGGAAACCTGATGGGGAACCTGATGGGGAACCTGATGGGGAACCTGATGGGGAGGGGAACCTGATGGGGAACCTGATGGGGAACCTGATGGGGAACCTGATGGGGAACCTGATGGGGAACCTGATGGGGAACCTGATGGGGAACCTGATGGGGTGGGGAACCTGATGGGGAACCTGATGGGGAACCTGATGGGGAATCTGATGGGGAACCTGATGGGGAACCTGATGGGGAACCTGATGGGGAACCTGATGGGGAACCTGATGGGGAACCTGATGGGGAACCTGATGGGGAACCTGATGGGGAACCTGATGGGAACCTGATGGGAAACCTGATGGGGAACCTGATGGGGAACCTGATGGGGAGGGGAACCTGATGGGGAACCTGATGGGGAACCTGATGGGGAACCTGATGGGGAACCTGATGGGGAACCTGATGGGGAACCTGATGGGGAACCTGATGGCGTGGGGAACCTGATGGGGAACCTGATGGGGAACCTGATGGGGAACCTGATGGGGAACCTGATGGGGTGGGGAAACTGATGGGGAACCTGATGGGGTGGGGTACATGATGGGGAACCTGATGGGGAACCTGATGGGGAGGGGAACCTGATGGGGAACCTGATGGGGAACCTGATGGGGTGGGGAACCTGATGGGGAACCTGATGGGGAACCTGATGGGGAATCTGATGGGGAACCTGATGGGGAACCTGATGGGGAACCTGATGGGGAACCGGATGGGGAACCTGATGGGGAACCTGATGGGGAACCTGATGGGGAACCTGATGGGGAACCTGATGGGAACCTGATGGGAACCTGATGGGAAACCTGATGGGGAACCTGATGGGGAACCTGATGGGATGGGGAACCTGATGGGGAGGGGAACCTGATGGGGAACCTGATGGGGAACCTGATGGGGAACCTGATGGGGAACCTGATGGGGAACCTGATGGGGAACCTGATGGGGAACCTGATGGGGAACCTGATGGGGAACCTGATGGGGAACCTGATGGGAACCTGATGGGAAACCTGATTGGGAACCTGATGGGGAACCTGATGGGGTGGGGAAACTGATGGGGAACCTGATGGGGTGGGGAAACTGATGGGGAACCTGATGGGGAACCTGATGGGGAACCTGATGGGGAATCTGATGGGGAACCTGATGGGGAACCTGATGGGGGAACCTGATGGGGAAACCGATGGGGAACCTGATGGGGAACCTGATGGGGAACCTGATGGGGAACCTGATGGGGAACCTGATGGGGAACCTGATGGGGAACCTGATGGGAACCTGATAGGAAACCTGATGGGGAACCTGATGGGGAACCTGATGGGGTGGGGAACCTGATGGGGAACCTGATGGGGAACCTGATGGGGAACCTGATGGGGAACCTGATGGGGAACCTGATGGGGAACCTGATGGGGAACCTGATGGGGAACCTGATGGGGAACCTGATGGGGAACCTGATGGGGTGGGGAACCTGATGGGGTGGGGAACCTGATGGGGAACCTGATGGGGTGGGGAAACTGATGGGGAACCTGATGGGGTGGGGAACCTGATGGGGAACCTGATGGGGAGGTGAACCTGATGGGGAACCTGATGGGGAACCTGATGGGGAACCTGATGGGGAACCTGATGGGGAACCTGATGGAGAACCTGATGGGGAACCTGATGGGGAACCTGATGGGGTGGGGAACCTGATGGGGAACCTGATGGGGAGGTGAACCTGATGGGGAACCTGATGGGGAACCTGATGGGGAACCTGATGGGGAACCTGATGGGGAACCTGATGGGGAACCTGATGGGGAACCTGATGGGGAACCTGATGGGGAACCTGATGGGGAACCTGACGGGGAACCTGATGGGGAACCTGATGGGGAACCTGATGGGGAACCTGATGGGAACCTGATAGGAAACCTGATGGGGAACCTGATGGGGAACCTGATGGGGTGGGGAACCTGATGGGGAACCTGATGGGGAACCTGATGGGGAACCTGATGGGGAACCTGATGGGGAACCTGATGGGGAACCTGATGGGGAACCTGATGGGGAACCTGATGGGGTGGGGAACCTGATGGGGTGGGGAACCTGATGGGGAACCTGATGGGGTGGGGAAACTGATGGGGAACCTGATGGGGTGGGGAACCTGATGGGGAACCTGATGGGGAGGTGAACCTGATGGGGAACCTGATGGGGAACCTGATGGGGAACCTGATGGGGAACCTGATGGGGAACCTGATGGAGAACCTGATGGGGAACCTGATGGGGAACCTGATGGGGTGGGGAACCTGATGGGGAACCTGATGGGGAGGTGAACCTGATGGGGAACCTGATGGGGAACCTGATGGGGAACCTGATGGGGAACCTGATGGGGAACCTGATGGGGAACCTGATGGGGAACCTGATGGGGAACCTGATGGGGAACCTGACGGGGAACCTGATGGGGAACCTGATGGGGAACCTGATGGGGAACCTGATGGGGTGGGGAACCTGATGGGGAACCTGATGGGGTGGGGAAACTGATGGGGAACCTGATGGGGTGGGGTACCTGATGGGGTACCTGATGGGGAACCTGATGGGGAGGGGAACCTGATGGGGAACCTGATGGGGAACCTGATGGGGAACCTGATGGGGAACCTGATGGGTGGGAACCTGATGGGGAACCTGATGGGGAACCTGATGGGGAATCTGATGGGGAACCTGATGGGGAACCTGATGGGGAACCTGATGGGGAACCTGATGGGGAACCTGATGGGGAACCTGATGGGGAACCTGATGGGGAACCTGATGGGGAACCTGATGGGAACCTGATGGGAAACCTGATGGGGAACCTGATGGGGAACCTGATGGGGAGGGGAACCTGATGGGGAACCTGATGGGGAACCTGATGGGGAACCTGATGGGGAACCTGATGGGGTGGGGAACCTGATGGGGAACCTGATGGGGAACCTGATGGGGAATCTGATGGGGAACCTGATGGGGAACCTGATGGGGAACCTGATGGGGAACCTGATGGGGAACCTGATGGGGAACCTGATGGGGAACCTGATGGGGAACCTGATGGGGAACCTGATGGGAACCTGATGGGAAACCTGATGGGGAACCTGATGGGGAACCTGATGGGAGGGGAACCTGATGGGGAACCTGATGGGGAACCTGATGGGGAACCTGATGGGGAACCTGATGGGGAACCTGATGGGGAACCTGATGGGGAACCTGATGGGGAACCTGATGGCGTGGGGAACCTGATGGGGAACCTGATGGGGAACCTGATGGGGAACCTGATGGGGTGGGGAAACTGATGGGGAACCTGATGGGGTGGGGTACATGATGGGGAACCTGATGGGGAACCTGATGGGGAGGGGAACCTGATGGGGAACCTGATGGGGAACCTGATGGGGTGGGGAACCTGATGGGGAACCTGATGGGGAACCTGATGGGGAATCTGATGGGGAACCTGATGGGGAACCTGATGGGGAACCTGATGGGGAACCGGATGGGGAACCTGATGGGGAACCTGATGGGGAACCTGATGGGGAACCTGATGGGGAACCTGATGGGAACCTGATGGGAAACCTGATGGGGAACCTGATGGGGAACCTGATGGG